GAGCTCTATGTTATAAGCTACAAAAATTAAGAAGCGTATTATATTTTATGTTATCATAAAAAATGCAGCATTTTTACAGAGGCGGATCTGAATGAGCCTCAATCTGCATATTAAATGTTTTTTTAAAAGTTCATGTTAACACTGTAGAGGTGCAGCAATATGATTCCATGGGGCCAATATGTATGGAGGTGGACATTGAAATAATAGAGACTATGAACAAACAGTGTACCTGAGTGCCAAGTACAGTAAAATCATTAAGCATTAGGCCTTCTCAGTTTAAGAAATTTGGCCTCATTAAATGCATTTTTAGATGAAGTACTAGAAACAGTGACATATTGGAGAAGAAAGAAAAACCTGTGATCGTACATCAAGATCTGGGAAGTCATGTTTCGTACGATAAATGTTGCCTACATGAACATGCAATGACTCTGTAATGCTCAGCTTTTCATTTCAAGTATACCACTCTCTATTCAACAAGAGTCATCCATAATTTATTACAGCTAACATTAGAAGAATACGTCCTTCAAATCTCTCTCCATCACCATTCTAATCACATTACTGCATTGGTTTCAGCCCATTACACTTCAAATTTACATACGATGTATCTCTTTCAACCTCCCTCTCTTTCTCTCTCTACTTCTCTCCTCCCTGCATGCAGAGAATGAACTCCAGTTCGCATGTTCGATCCCCAAGAGCACAAAACATAAAATTTTCATATCCAATTGTTCTGTCTTCACTGCTGTGAAGTAATGAGATACGAAACGAAACTCAAGGAATTTCGGCGCTCGACTTTACACCTCCCTACAGGCATCTAACAATTTAATTTCTACTCATCGTTGAAATCCTGCATTCAATGGCCATGTCCTCACCTCGGCAATGTTCTCGAAAACAAACTTCACGATGTTAGTTGTCTAGAAGTTATGTGCAAGTTAAGTTCATGTACAAATGTAAAATGATGAAAGTAAGCTTGAGACAATTCAGGATGAAACCCACCCACTAGAAATGTTGCCTCCCGTGAAAGTAAAATCTCCCATGAAATCATGATAATCCCAATTAATGTTCCAGATATTATACTTCATATTAGAGGAGACTTCCCAGGTTTGTTCTCGAGTCAAGTGTGATACAAACGCCCTATAAAACTCTACGAAAAATATGTAACCCGACTGCTGCAGACCAAACTCAAGCGACACATCAATGTATCACGATATTCAATATTAGGGGCATTTACACTATAAGCAAAAAACATGGGTTTTTCTTACATTCGGGAGATTCATAGCAAGTTGCTAGGCAACTGCCCACAAACACAATAAAAAAACCCACTTCTGAAGCGTGGTTTTATGAAACTCCGGACGACTCTCCTCACCATCCATAGAAATCTATGCAGCAATTGCAGGAGCAGCATGAGCACTACTCATCAAAAAACCTGAATGTTTCAATATCAAGCAACAGTTTTATAAAGGGTTTCTGGTAGTGTAAATGATATTTCTAATGGTGTAAAAGGTTTTCAAATTGAACTTTTTTTTTGGAGTGTAATTGAACCTCATGAAGAATCTACTATAAATCTCCCTTCTGGCAGTCAGATAAGTTGAAGCATGTGGCTGCATCTCCTAGTCAGTCTCTTGTGCTTTGCCCGGTATTCCTCTCGCCTCTTGTGCCTTGCCTGGTATTCCTCTCACCTCTTTCAAGTTTATTACCAAGTCCCTGGGATGTATATGGTCTTTTGTCCCAGACCTTTTCATTGCTTTCTCCTCGGGAGACGCTGCATATCAATCTCTTTTCAAAGCGCACTCCCTCCATCAACAGTTATACAGACACTCAATCAGCCATTCAAATTGTTTCAATGATGTTGGAATATTTCTTCTCCGAGTATATTAAAGGGGTGTTAACGCAATTTGAGAGGTACCGGTAGTGAGAATGGGAGATGATATTCATTAATATGATTAGACAGATCTTACTACTGGTATGCTCCTTTGATTATCATAAGCCTATACTTGAACGTGAAATGTAAAAAGGGATCCAACAGCTTTCTTGTTTCATTTTCAGAGACACAGGTGTAAAATGAGGTAAGATTTTGTAGAAAGGTGCATAAATTACCTAAGAAACTACGTTCTTTATGATTCTACTATGACACAAATGGAGAGTTTTTCCTTACAGAAGAACTCAAGATAAAACATACGGTATCATGCTTTATTGTACAATCCCCCTATGCAAGTTGCTATGGTGACTGTAAGCTTCATTAAATGCACTGTAGTCCCATGCGATTGACAGAAAGATGAATTTCTTCAGAACATTAACTCTTTTTCTCTATTGTGCAGGCATGTGTGCACTGTACCTATGAAACTCTTAGAAGTACGATAAAACATGGCTGCTAACTTCTGTAAACTGAGCATTGGTCAGGTTTAATGCCCACCGTGCATATTCCATGTACTACTGGTGCGTTTTTTTAAATCAATTAAGAGGTGTCGTGGTCTAGCGGATATGTCACCGGACTGTGGATCAGACAGTTTACGGTTCGAGTCCCAAGGCAGCACTAATGTTCTCTGGCAAGATTTTAAAGGAAACCAAAACCTTCATTCTAAGTTACTTTTATTGTAAAGTTTAAGATATTTGAATAAAATCATTGAAAATTTGAACAAAATCGGGCAAGGAATAAGGAAGTTAAAGCTTTTTTAAATGACTAGTCATTAGAGGGCGATATTCAATTCGATGCGTCATTTGTGGACCACTCTCCATGCCTTTTGTTCTTCAAATTTCATGTTTTTCCTTCTTTCTTGTGATTGAGATAATCTACTCCCCCGAAAGCAAGGTATAGATTGCAAAATGATATTCTACTTCACATGTTAAGAAGTCGGATCAAGAACACAAATAAATACAAAGAAAACGAAAGAATTGTAAAACTTGAAGTACAAAAGGCATGGAGAGTTGTCCACAAATGACGCATCAAATTGAATATCGCCCTCTAGTGACTAGTCATTTAAAAAAGCTTTAACTTCATTATTCCTTGCCTGATTTTGTTCAAATGTTCACAGATTTTATTGAAATATCTTAAACTTTACAATAAAAGTAACTTAGCATGAAGGTTTTGGTTCCCTTTAATCTACATTTGCTGCTCTCAACCCAGGTGTTAAATGGATAAGTAGGATGTCAACATTAATGATGATTGACCCTAAAGAAGAAGAAGCAGATTAGCAATTGAATCCAATGACGGGGTATGATTACAATGAGAATTTCTTAGAAACATAGCATCAAGCGCTACACAAAATGTGACTAATATTATTATCCCATCAAATCCATTGATGAGATACAGAAATGGCATTGCTATCTCTACAATCTTTAATACAACCCATCAATCTTTTGCAATACAGTTGACAAGGAGTGAAGCCATCTCTAATTAGGCTTGGTTACCATGGTTTTCTATAAGTCTCTGGAGCATAAAAAAATCTCCAGCCCCACACAATTTGTCTGGATCGAGGTAGGTACGTGTAGAAATACTTGAGTAATTTTGAGAAGACAATCGTACATATTGTACACCTGGTCATTCATACAATGCACAAGTACAAACATTGCATTGTGATTGTATCCACAGACAGCTGAAATAGGTGTACATGTACATTTTCATTTGGGAAAGAAAAGACATGTCTTAAAGCGGCAATGCAAGCATATCATCATAATACAATTCTAAATCTAGTCTTACCCCATGTCTCAGTAGTTAGGATATGTATTACATGGCAATAGGGAATAGGCTTCTATCGAGGAAATGTGCTTTAGCATTTTACCTTTAAAAAAATGATATTGAATATACAGTGTAGTAGAGGCCTACAGTCTTTTTCTTTATCCATATTTCATCTGGTCAATTGGTTCATGTGGGTATACAACCAGCGCATTACAATCCATTTGGCAAAAAGATCTCCCGTAACCAAACATTCTCCGTCTTGCCTAAATGAGATTAAGAAATCTATACAAATCTTGTTAGTGGATGCACAATGAGGAGTTGAATTATGGTCTAAGTGCATGCATCCATCGTGGGACTGTCTTATGCCTTGAATGCATCCATGTGAATCGGATGACCTTCGATACAGAGCTCAAGATAAAACTATAACCAAATCAGTGGAAAATACAGATTGGGTGGTTAACCGTGGAGAGCTTAACAATTGCTCTGGAAAATTGAGTAATATCATTTAATCTGATCCAGCGAAATTTCATGTTCATCTGATCCAGAGAAAATCTTATGTCCATCTGATCCAGAGAAAATCTCATGTCCATCTGATCCAGAGAAAATCTCATGTTCATCTCTAGAAACAACAAATAAATCTCTACAGCTATTAAGAAGGGGGTTCATAATGTTCAATTGTACTCTGCTTTGGAATCACACTCAGACAGATGTGAAATATATGAAAAAAAGAAGACTAAATTATTGATATTATCATATTACCCCTAAGTATGTACACTGTACATGACCATGCACGCATGTTAAATTCTGATTGAATGAAGTATCCCTCAGATCCAGGGTGATATTCACACAAGCAGCTTTAGCTGACCTACTTACAAGAAAGCCCTATCCTCATGGATACACACCCACCCGTTTCCAGACAATCATTAATTCAACTTTAGTCAGAGATTTTATCTTTCAAATAGAATTCACCCTCCTACATGTCCTTAAAGGGAGGTCTACTCTGATATCAATTTGGGTTTAATATAAGCAGACAAAATGGAGGAACAATTCATGGAAAATTTGTGCAAGATCCGATTTAAAATCAAGAAACTTATTGGAGTTGCGATCAATCAAACAGAGAGAGAGAGAGAGAGAGAGAGAGAGAGAGAGATAGGGAGAGGAAGAGAGGGGGATAGGAAGAGAGGGAGAGAGGGGGAGAGGAAGAGATGGGGAAAGGGGAAGAGAGATAGACTGAGAGAGAAAGAGGAAGAGGGAAAGATCCAGGCATAGAGAAAGAAAGACAGAGAGAGAGAATGGTTTACCCTGTACTTTAAAAAGGAGGCTAGATTCAAAACACAACCTGTATACTTTAGAAATCAATACAATTTGTGTAAAGTCTACTGGCTTTGTATAGAGCCAAACAAAACAAACACTGGACCCTGGAAACCTAACATGATGTAATAGGGAAAGACCCTTTCAGTCACCATCATTCCACCCCAGCAAAAGATCCAGTATCAACAGTTTTTGGCCCATACAATACACAATTATGCAGAACAAACAAAATAATACTGGAAGGAATAGTTATGCAGCCTTCTTTCTGTGTATACTGTTTGGTAAATGAAACCAAGTAATTGCAATCACACCTACAATCACAAAGGTTTTGAAATTTCAATAGGTTATTCTTCGATAATTTTCTTCCTACTGTGAAATGAAATTATTTGATTAAAAACTTCATTTATGTTAAAACATGAGCATTGTATGATATAATCAATGGCTGGGGCAAGAATCAGAAAAGTGATATTGGCGCAACTAATTCTCTAATGAGAATGTAATATTGTTCCATCTGTGCCTTTCTTATCTATAGGTAAAACTAACTTTTCTAAGCTAAAATCAAACAATTTCTCCACTTTTTTCATGGTATTAAGTACAAAATATTATGAAACTGAAAGAATACAAAACAAAGGGGCTGAAAGGGGACAGTATAAGGTCTACCCTTAAACAGTAAAAACTAATACACACATCTCAATACTACAAAAGCAACAAATAACCAAAGAAGGTGGCAGTGCATAGCCACACTCATGAAACAGAGCTGTAATGATTAATGGCAAACACAGACACAGTAACTAATGATCAAACAAAACTCTTAACTCATCTCTCAATTAGCATTGAAATTGAATCAAAAATAACTCATTATCTACTTACAGTCTTCAGTACAGTCTCTGCCTGACTCAATAATACAGGATTATGTCTAATGCAATGTATGTAACTAGACTAATATAGACTAATTATTTTCTTGATATGGTACAAGAAATGAATGGACAGATTTATCATGCTGATCAAGAGATTGGTTAAAATTCAGACAAGAGAAAACATCTTCAGACAAAGGCATAAAGTGTAAAAAGAAGAAAAAACTATTTATTCAGGGGAGTTTATGGTATATTAAAAAGAGCTCTTTTAGGGCTTAATTACCAGGGTTAAATCCTTCTCCATTCCTGTTTAATTGTTTGGGCTTTTTCCACTTTGCAATTACTGTATCACAAAAAGGATGTGAATGGACACACAAAATATTCTAAAGAAATATGATATTAATTTTTTGTTTTAACAGATGTACACGAATCAAGAACTTATAAATTTGTTTAAATGTGAACAGGGTGAGTTGGTGGCTTGTGACCTAATGGGATATGATCAAGATTAGGATTAGGCAAGAGTTACACCCTTGATGTACCCCTTGGATTGTCTGAGGGGTAGATTGAGGGGTAGATTGAGGGGTAGATTAATGGATTGCACTGAGTGATGATAAATGCAAGTTTTAAACTCCTCAGCATCAACCTTCAAGGAAGCACTTTCATATTTTCAAAAACGTCTCCTATTAACTAATTTATTTAATTTGATCATTATGCAGAAACAGAAGAAAATTAATATGTACATATTTGTTTAAAATTTATAGTGAATTGGTCACTTTACAAAGCATTCACCTTTCCTTTGTAAATAACTTGTCTTTACAAGGACATCCACTGAAGAAAAAAAAAAGGAATTTCAAAAAGTTGAAATGAGACTATAATGTCACAGTTGTAAATCAATTCAGATCATAGACGTTTCTGTTGAATGACTGCTCCTTTGTTTACAAAAAGGCTATGAAGATGAGAAACACCTTGGCAAGGGATGCTTTCAAATGTCAATGAAAAATTAAAAGCTACAGCTAAAATAGAAATCATTTAATTAATCCTTTCCTGCTATGAACGTTGCTTTTTATACCTGACAAATAGGAAGTGCATGTTTATTGGAAGAAGACTTCAAGATGGCTTCCAAGTTCCAATGCACTTTCTCTGCTCTGGCCACCTCTGCTCTGTGGTCAGTAACCTTTTGCTCTTAACCTTTTATTTTAGTCTCCAAATATGGACCAAACACCATGGCTCACATTAACCCTAACCTTTAACCTAACCAAAACACCAAATTGCAACCCTAACCATATCTTTATCTTTGACAAAATGAAGCCTGGAGCTACTTTCGTAGTCTGTGTATGTCAGAGCACTACTTCATCACATACATGTATTTGTGACGGACAGACGGACGGACGGACCTGGTGCACTTAACAAGAAGCCAACATTATTATTATTATCATTATCCACTTCTCGAATGCGTACAATAAATGTTGAGAAGGCATCAATTATTTTGATAATGCTCAAGGTAGTTTCCAAATTGTTTCCAATGAATGGAGAAAAAAAGGGACGATTAATATACAAGTACCACATCAATTAAATCTCAGATTGAATAGATACTAATTAATTGGAATTTTGATAAAAAAGCAATAGGCCCTACTATACAGAATTGCAACAGAAATCCTTCAAAAAAGTGCATTCGCATGACTCATCTGCAATATAGAGAAATGAAGGTCAATTTTAGTAACAATGTTTTTTTCAATTAATGTATTTTGTCTATGTTTTATAATGAAATTCCTTTCTCTTGTGAATCACCTTGAAACCTCCTCTAGACCTCATATGTAGTTCAATTACAAACTATGAAACCCAATACTGCGCGTACATGTTAATACAACATGTATGGTAAAATTATAGTCACACACAGATGCGCATGTGTATGTTTTACGGGGTAACATGTATATCTGGCGCAATAAACTGTTTCTCCTTATCTCCTCTTCATTTTTAATCCTAGGTTGGAAATGGCCATGAGAGTATTACATCTTATCTATCTCTTCTTTTTAATCCTAGGTTGGAAATGGCCATGAGAGTATTACATCTTATCAATCTCTTCTTCTAAATCCTAAGTTGGAAATGGCCATGAGAGTATTACATGTACATCTTATCTATCTCTTATGTTCAATCCTAGGATGGAAATGGCCATGAGACTATCAAATATGTCTCCACCAATGTTCATTTTGAGTTTAAGCTACAAGTAAGAATCTGACAGACTACCTCTATAAAGAGGTCCCTAAGACTACGCCAAGAGATGCAAGATCTAGATAACATTGGCAGCTTTCCCAGTTTTCCTATTTATTTTGAAACGATGATGTCATATTTGTTTACTCCCACTCAAGTTTGTATTTCTTCTAATCTGCTCAACTTTACAATGATTGTTTTGGGGTTTAGGAAAACCACATGAAACTACAGTTGTGTAACTTGCACTTTTCAGCTTACAAGATCAATGCTTCTCAAACTTTCAGAAACTAATTTTTTCAGGTACTTCTGCTTCTACTCAAGCCAGCCTTCAACGAAGGGTGAAATCTCCCTAGATATGTCCTGACTAACATTTTCAATCTCTGCACCCACTGGCAAGAAAGGCTCATTTACATGTACGTACAGTATAATGCACTAAAACACTGACTACTAAGTTACTAAGGCACCAAGCATAATGATGTATTGGTGAGTTATAAAATGTATACTGAAATGTGACTTTGCTATGGCAGATTTCTTAAAGAAGTTACCACATCACATGGGGATGAGACTTAAAACAGGCTTGATGTAATGCTTCATACCAAAATATCAAAGCAACCATCTATCACCAAGATGACATCATAATCACATTAACACTTCCTAAAATCAGCCCTCACAATAAGACGCTGTGTGTGCCACAGCCATTGTTAATATCATCAGATCATCAGGCGGTAGTATCATGTGTGAAAAGGGGATTCTCACAATCCCCCTTCTAGCTAAGTTCTGACGCATGGGATGGGATCTTGGAGAACATAAAAGACGTCAGGGTGTATTCTTAGTCTCTCCTTCCTCCTAGAGATTGTATGAGAGGGAAGAAAGCATCACCACGGTGACATGATTCTGATTCCGAGCATGTATCGTCTAGGGTTCTCTCTCATCACCATGCATTGCATGAGATGGAAGAGGGAAATCTAGAGCTCTGTTCAGAAAACTTTCAGAAAACTTTGAGAAGCTAGAATCTTAACCCACCAGTTAAAGGTGATTATCGGGAAACACACTACATTGATTCTTAAAACTGTTTTTATGCTGAAATAGGTTATTTATTTCACAAAGCACTAGCTATAGCATAGCCCATAATGCAGACTTTGACTTACTTTTCTAATGTTTTCACTTTACAGTATAAGATGTCTGATGAAAGCCACAAGTGCAATAACTCTGTCTCTATAACACCCTTCTCACTCTCCGCAGAATAAATATCTTACTTTTGTTTTAGTCTTGGTTCCATTTTTTAACCAACATGTATGTTAGTGTTGTGTATGTACAGTATGCATATCAGTTTATAGAACCTGGACAAAATGAGTGATGTGGGGTTTGTGATTACAGATTTATCTACTCTTTGACTGCAGTAAAACATACTAGACATTATGTTATATTCAAGGAAGTCTAGAAGGTATGATTTTAGCAAAACCAGGTTTCCAAATGGACCGAACCATGTCTTAAACTGAACATCTTTCAAGACTGTGATTTATGGCTGAAATATAGCTTTATGAACACGGCCTTAGAGGGGGAAAGCTGGGAGAGGGGAACATTTTGGATGAGTATGGCAGGGTAACTTCCTCCTGCTTAGCTGAATGTGACTTAGAGATAGAGACGCCCCGTCGCGCTCGATGCGTAAAGCATACACTGCTAGATCAACCGATGAAAGAACATTTACAGAGAGTCTAGTCTGCCTCCAAGACGATCCAATAATAAGAGGCCTAACATCATTACTCGTGTAAGATTAAGATGGATAAAGCTTTCTGTCTTGTTTGATGACATACAATGCAATTGAAACCATTTACCTATTGCATCCCTTTTAAATAAGTGCATTAAAATAGAGAGTCAAATGGAACCAAAGGTGTGGGCCATACTTCAAAGTTCAGCATTTACTTTTGAGCATAATTTTTTTAAAGTTTGTTTTAACTATTTTTATTTTTTTTTTTTTAAATAGAATTATACAAGTTAAATGCCATTTACATGTACATAGTAAGCTGTCCCATTCTGTATTAACATGATAAAACCAGACAAAAATATCTGCGTTTTGAAATCTTGATTTTCATGTTAATTTTTGATAACTTTTAATATGCATATTGCTGATACCTACAAGCCTAAATGTATAACCAGAATATGTGCCACATTGTATCGATGTCAAACAAGCCTTTGGCAAGCTTGTTTAAAGCTGAAATTACAGAGTATATCTTGAAATTTCACAAACTAATTTCATAAATTTCATGTAGGCCACAGTTTCTGTCTTAACCCACTTAACCCACTGCCGAGTGGAACCAGGTGGTTCCTATAAAGAATATGGGAATTTAGAAGTCAACTTCTAATCTTTAGTTAGGAGTCTGGAAGGGAGCCTAGATGAAGGAATGAGTCAGGTCCTTTTCTCAAATCTTATCATGTTACCAACATGGCAGGTTGAAAGCTAAGGACCCAGGGGTAAATCAACCAGTGTTGAAAATGTCACTGTTTCTTGAATACAAGAAAACTCAAGATAAATTTAGAAACTTCTTAGACAAGTGCCGAAGTTTTGCAAAGATTTCATGCATTCTAAAACAAGCGTCATAGCGTTAATCCAGCTCAGTCTGATTCTTAATAGAAAGATTCATAACACATCGTACAGGTGCAACATGCAGTGAACACATTAAGTGAAGTTGTATTTACAGTTAAATATGTTGGCATATGAAAAGTATTTATCTGTACATTGTGAGAATTTTAATACATCACAATTTTCTTTTTAATTGTTTTTTAAGTTATGAATAACAACTCATTAATGGCACACACAAATATGTACATTTACGTAAAAATAATGATCAAAGGATTTTAAACTGACCTATATTTCAATCTGTGTACTTCATATTGTCTGGAAATAAAAGATAGCCAGCTCAATGCGAGAATAATTTTTTTTGCAAACAATTACTAATAAATAATCAATGACTGGTGTTTCTTTTTTAGTATTATTTAATACAGTATCTGGAAGAAAAAAAGTCGGCTAAATTTATGAGAATCAATTTTTTTTTAAAGAAAACTGTTTTAAAAGAAAAGAAAAACAATAATTTTCCATTTCTGAAAAGTGTAGTAAAATCTTTTGGTTTTTTTTAAACAATAAAAAGCAAATTTAGTTAATGCCATCAAGCTGATATTTGTGGTCTATTTTGAAGGCAAGAATAGGTGTTACACGTACATTTCCTGATGAAATTGAAATTGAAAATGCTGATTTGGGTTTGAAGTTTATGATGACTCATTCCTAGAGCAAATGAAAAGAAATCATTTGTACAAAGAAGAAAGTACATGAGCTCAACCCTCCGCTTTTGTTAACATTCAATGTAAACAAAAATGAACTATAGACCACAGGTTTCTATATAAAGCCTAAGGACTTTATTCACATATGACATAGAAAAAAATTACAGAGAAGAAGAAAGAAACCGCTGTGGCAATACTGGCTAATAATGATATCATAAAACATAGTGTGCTATTACCATCACAAACTCCACAAAGAATTATTAAGGACAATGCTTCCGGGTTTTTTAGTTGAATGCACCTACTTTTTTTTACCCCAAATTAGCATTGATTAATCTCAGTTACTCACTGAATCATTTGTGATTTTGTCACGGTGGTTTCTTGATGTCTATCTCTTCATGTGTGACCGAAGTTTAAATGTGGTTCGAGGTCCACATACATGTGCAGAGTCTCTCAAATATATACGCAACTGGTTTGAGTCATCTTGCCATTCATGTGAAAACATAACGGATTTGCTTCTTTGGACTACAAGTGACAAGTAATTTTCCTCTAATAGACAAACCTACAATGCAAGGCAAAGTCTGGTCTCATTCTCACAAAACATCTCATGCTTAGTTTTAAACCTATTTAAATATTTTTAATTTGGATAAAGTCTTACGATTGAAAATTAATTTCAAGACCTGTAGTCCTGTACCCTACACCCAAAATGAAAAATAAAAGAGAACCTTAAAATGTGATGAAATATATATCCAGCGATATTAACGTATTACACATATAAAATGAGTATAATTATGTCTTCTACTTTCTTTCTATGAATGTACAATATTTGCACTAAAGGCAGAAGTGTGATCACAATCTTGCAAAGTGAAGGCAACAATATAACAAATCATTGATGCTGTGAATAAAGTGTACTAAATTGACATTCAAACCTGAGAATGACTAGCTGCCAGTAACTTTCAATCCACTTCTCCTTCTATCAAAAGATGGAAACTAAAACCAGACATGAACATGGTAGGTATCACTCCTCGCAGAAACCACTTTAAGTCTGTCCGACAGTTATACAACAAAGGATCCACTTCCAATGTCTGAAAAGATTACAACAACTTTGAACAATAGAGAGCCATGATAGTATCATCTCCGTGTTCTTGATGCTTCCAGAGCAAGCGATGTCACTGAGGTTTGGATGATAGTGACTGAACGACGACGACGTCACATGTCATAGCAACGTTGGCGGGAAATGAGTAAATTCAAGAGGAGGAGGGGATACGGTCTTAACCCTTAGAGACTGGTGTATAACATTATCACTACCTTCCAGACTGACTGGTGCTCAATGACAGACACAACAGCAATGAAATGCTGACTCTCTTGTGCTGCCCCCTCCTACCTTGCTGACAAGGCTGTCCCCTACTTTATATCCACGCATCATCTTGATTCTTCTTTGTCTTCTAGACTTGCATTCCCTCAATCCTATCCAAAAATGCTTGGGTGTAACCACTTCTACAACTTGAAACAATAATTGTTCTTTTCCCAAATCAAGATTCTCGACAGGATTTTTTTCACCCTTGGTCGAAATGAAGTGAAATATGGTCTTGCAACATCCAAAGAGGTAGATTTATGAGGATTGAGGCTCAAAGCAATTTTGCAAGTTAAAAGTATTTCCTTCTTAAGTTCTCTGTTTTTACAAGAAATCATACACTGTTATTAAAGAGAGCTATTACTTCATTAAAATGTAAAAGTCTACTCTCTTTTCCTTTCTGTGTTGGTTGATGAAAATGGACAGGGTCTTTCACTGAGTATATCACTGTAGCCATGTACCTCAGAGACCCATGCTAGTTTTATCAGAGCCATACAGACCAGCCGACTACATGTAGGCCAGCGCCACACTGACAGACAAGCTTACCAAATCATACAGAATGATTTCACAGCATGAATAGCAGCTTTAAATATGAAGTCATGCTCCACCCCAAGGCAACATTTACCTCATTCAACAATATGTACATGCACTCAAACTACGTGTATCCAGCATAATATCTAACATACTTTATAACCATACTATTCTTAAAAGCATATAGATTTTGCTGGATAAAACTTTCACAAATCTTAAGTTCAAGATCATGTACATGTACTTACAAAAAGTCCTGAACATTTCATGCATTGTGAAAGTATCTAGTATGTACAACAAGCAGTCACAATCCAATATAATTCACTTACTCTAGAAATAATCACGACATATGTTGTCCTTGTGATTAATGTATTGAAATCAACTCAACCCAATGGTTACCTTACTGAATCCTCATCAAATGAAGTCTATCAGCACACCAAGTACAAAAGAAGGCAAATTTCCATCCAACTGTGCTTGAATAAAGACAAAAAGCTGTATGAAAACAGAAACTTCTTCAGTAATTCTTTGACTTGAAGTTAGACTCTTATTATGACTACCGTCACAAAGACAATGGTCGGCATATATCCTTGATGTCCATTTATCACGCTCAATGGTTGTTTAGTTCCTTCCTCATTTATCTAAATGACATCAACTGAGATCTAACTTGGTCATGTCAAGATTTTTTCTTCTGAGATGCAGATTTTATCTTCGATGTTAGGGAATTCATTCCTTTGAGAGAAAATCTAAAAGAAACAAATTTTAGGGTCTAATTGCCAAATTCCAAGCTAGAAATAGCAAGTGAAGTTGTACAATTCCATGAACTGATTTGTGAACTCTGAAACCTTTTAAGGTGATTATCCCCAGAAAATTATTTTTTTAACATTAGCTCTTTTTTCACTAAGCTGACTAAAAGCATGTGCAGGTTAATGAAGTAAAGGCAGCAAGGTATCATCTCAGGTTTCTAGAGATTCTTGGTTTGTATCTCATTATCATGCATAGAATGTGATTAAATATTACAATCACAGCGAAATATTCCTTCGTATAAACACAGCGTACATGTACAACTAATCACCATTACATGAAGGCTCACTTTCTAGTTTCCCCCTCATTTCAATCCCATTTATCATGATTAAGGTAGATGGATGCTAAACTGGGGACCTCTTAATTCTGTTTCACTTTCATGTTCAAACTCTTTTATTTCATACAACTGACTTGGCAAGGCTTACCAGCACATGTATAAATGAGGATAGATAATGTGTTGCTATTGTTCATATTTACAAAAAAAAACCTTGGTTGTGGCTGGCAGAAGTGATGAGCATCACTTTGTTGATTTACTTTGATTAATCATTTTTTTCTTGGAACTTTTGAAGCTAAGACATGCAGAATATAGTTTGACTTTGGAACATGTGTGTACACATTTTCAAAAGACATCAGTCCAAGATATTTTGGGCACTGTCATCAATGAGTTAAATCATGAGGCAGGAGAGGGGAAGAAAGAGGAAGTTAATTTTTGGAGAGAATAAAGATATTTTGAGGGAGAGAAAGAGAAAGAGAAAGAGAAAGTGAGGCGAGGAGAGGAATTGAGAGACAGAGAGATATAACAGAGCAGAGAAAAAGAAATGATAAGAGAGGGAATGAAAGAGAGAGAGAGAGAGAGAGAGAGAGGTGGGGAGAGAGGAAGAGCAAGAAAGAGGGAGGGTCAGGTGACAGAAAGATTGATAGAGGAAATAGTTCAGGAAGTACGAAGGTGGACTCTCGGTTCCTCTAACAAAGCACATCCATCCTAAAGTCATTAAGCCACAATCAATTTGTATTGTTAAATAAGATTCACTATCATAAAATGCTATTTAATCACACATGATGAAATGCTATTCAATTACACATACATGTACAAGTAAAACATGTGTTGGCTTACATTGTAGCTGCAGTACCTGTATCTGTGCAAATTTAATTGATGGCTCTATCAACATTTTTAAAAATCTTGATTGCATTCCATCGCTGTACATGTAGGGTGATTCCCTATATTGGAAAAGGGACCTTTTTATAACAGCTTCTACATTTTAGCCAACCAACCAACTACTGACAACTGATTAAGAATTGTTTATTGTGGTCTACATTGTAGTCAAAACATAGTAATACACAAGAAAGAAGAATCAAAGTTCATACTGGGTGCTTTTTTTTTTTTTTGGAGGGGGGGCATTTTCCACCTGAACAATGGGTAAACCACTGTAAACACATGATACACTATTATGAAATTCAGAGATAATCATACTGAACCTTCTGTTAAACACAACTGCCATGAGGCTAGACAAAAATCAAGCATGCATTAGCCAGTTGTTAGGCTCCAAATTATGTCATAAATTCTCATCTTTTGTTACAATAAATCTGTCATTCGTGTCAACCACAAGATCGCTCGTGCATTATAACTTCAGGTAAACCTAAAAGTTATAAAGTTGTGTTTGCATGGTCCTTTAGTACAAGATAACCTCAAATTTTAAACCCACGAGCTACAGGAGTTTACAGACCCTCTCGTGTGAACTTTGCTAGAGTACATTATTCATATTTATAGAAACAAGTAGATAGGAGGGCTGGTGAGACTGGAAGCAAGCACTTACTGGACTTGGGAAATATAAACATCACTTTATATACACCCTCCCAGGCTTAACCCAAACTCAATATGAGTCAGATTCGGGCCATTGACTGCCAGCCAGGCAGCCATTTATCCACATCAAACATAGCCCTGTTCACATATGGAAGATAGACCAAATTTGAAACAGAGATATATCTATAAGCTTTATCACATCATAAAGGTAACCTGAGCTACATGTATGTGAAGGCTTTATACTGTATATCCAAACTTCCAAAGACAACTAACAACTGACCAATGACAGCACCTAATTGATCCACTGAAAACCCTCCCTGTTCATACTAGAATTATAACCTAAATGTGGACTAGTAGAACCTAAAAATCTGGTTTGTGTACAAAACTGACCATAGAGCGGTCACTCCAACATACTATACGTCACATCCTCAGCTTTGCTTCAAACCTAGCCCTAACCACCTACACATGTATGAAAAGTGACATGAAACAGGTTTTTGAAAATTTTAAAAAACCTGTTTCATGTCACTTTAGTTGCTACCTACTGTTACCGGCTTGTTGAAAAGCTCTGTGCATACTCTAACCAGGATCAGGCAACTAACCTCTAACTATCAATCAAACGAGGGCTAGCTACAGTGTAGCTAAAGACTTTAACTTTGTACGAAATTATCAAAATATGGTTGATACTGATAGGCTATAAATGGCAATGTCATTACTGATGTTAAATGCATTACACCCTGTATGCAAGAATATTATCTTAACTAAAGTGCTAGACAGTCAATCACAGCTTTACAGCTGCAACATCAATCTTTGCTCCAGATAAGGCTGTGGGTACATACCTGTAGTTAGCCCTTCATTACCTCCTTGTTTATACAAATATTTTATTTTCCTTTTTTTTTCCCCTTCATTTTCTTTCTAAAATTTGATCAACAGCCACACTAAGCCTACTCTTACTGCACATTCAGAGTGCTTTTGCTATGTGACATTATACATGTATGTATAAACTATTAGGTATGCAATAAAGGCCTTAGCATCTTCATTAAAGGTAAAGACCAGTATTGGAAACGCCCCAATTTCAAAAAATGAAATGGAAGCTCTCATTACCAATCATGTGAAAGAATATGTTTTGAGTTGACTAATACATGATGATAAAAAATTTGCCGGGAAACCGCCAACTAATTCATATATTTGGTAAATTTGTTTCTCTCATGGTCTGTGAGAGATATAGGGTAGTCCCATATACATCTTTCTGTGTATAGTGCTTGTAACTTTACGAAGAATGGGCCAAATTTCTTATCATTTTGATGATTCCAGAACCTTGCAGATGCTAGATGATCAACCTTTTCTGATCGATCCCACAACGTTTCTTTCACAATCGCATGACCATAACTGGTCTTTACCTTTAATACTACTACACTGCAAATACCAGTCTGTAAAATCAAAGAAAAAGTATTTCATATGGAGCTTCATAAATACTAACAATTAAAATGTCTAACAATACTCACACTAAACAGATACAAAATCACACGGGGACACCATTCAGAGTACAATCCATGCATAGTTTGACTTGCGTCACAAACTCATGTTCTGAGAGTGACGCAAAGATGAAGAAATCTATTCACCATTATGGAAACAATTCCCTGGGCATCATTAAATGGGCTGACTGACGAATGTAGGAAGAGTCATGCCAATGCCATTAAGATTTGCTAGTCCTTCGATATTTTGGGAGACCCAAGATCAAACAGATTATAAAGAGGTTTCCTCCTCCTCCTGCTCTCTTCCTTCCTTTCTTCTCTCCCTCCCCCTCTCTCTTTCTCTCTCTCTCTCTGAGTCTCTCTCTCTCTCTCTCTCTCTCTGAGTCTCTCTCTCTCTCTCTCTCTCTCTCTCTCTCTCTCTCTCTCTCTCTCTCTCACACCCTCTATCTCTTCCCCCCTAACCTTCAAAAGACCCTATCCTCCCCTTCTTTTCCTCTATGTACATGTAGGCATACATCCTTTTGAAACAAGCTTCCCACACTCGCACGTCTTCAATCTTTCATACCATTTATAGTTTCAGTAAGGCCCCAAAAATATAACAAAGCTTTGGTAAATTTTGACAACGATCTTTTGATTTGATTTGATTTGACAACGATCACTGAATATTGTAGGATCGCATCTGTATGCTCCCACTATGTTCATTTGAACCAAATTCATGACCCAATACCAAAACTTTGTAATACCTTTAATAGTTCTAGGCTGCCTCCATATTGTTCTCTCTAAATTAACGGCAAGGAGTATAAAATGGTAGATAATTGTAATTAGTTAATGAACCTGTAATATCAGTTCATTATAAAATATGAACTGTGAAGCACGCTATGGTTTCAGCTCCAGCTTCTCTTTTACATAATAGCCTAGTACAGTTCAGTATGTAACGTAAATGCTTTTACAATTACAGGAAGAGCCTTCTATCAAACCATGTTTCCTCCAAGGTGATAAGTGTTTACTTAAATGACGTTGATGAAGCTTTTATCTATTTTCTCCACAATAAACACAGAAATACCAACATGCACTCTGCATTTATACAATACATTGTAACTTGAAGCCTGAAGGAGCAGCTAGTAGACAGACAATGCCAATATTCACTTCCCTCACTTCACTTCCATGATCAAATTGACCAAATTAGCTGGATACAAACCCATAATTTCCAGATGTGATTTCCGTATGAACTTGCACTCAGAAGGTCAAACTATCATGTGATCAAAGTTGTATTCATACCCTTCACTTTTGGAAAATGTCCCCTGATTTTTGATAAGGGAGGAAAACCTGATCTGAAAACACTTTTATTTTGAGGCACAACCAGAACTACATGTATATCTGTAAAGGATAAAACCAAGACACAAACCAGGCAGTTTTCCCCAAAATAAGGTGCTTTGCATTCGGTATAGATTTCTTGAGGGCATTGGCTGGAAATTTGGAGGCTGCCTTTACAATATCTACATGGAAAGTGCGATATTCCAAGCCAAAAGGAGCTATGTATCGAGTAACCCTTACTTGAAGTTTATTTGAACTTGAAATTCAACTTCTGATGAGTCCGGTTGTTGTGAAATGTATGAAGTAATTTTTAATTATACAGTTCAAATTTGGGATCTAAAAAGTATCTTTTACCGGTACCTAAAAGTGTGAACACCTAGAGGAGAAGGGAAGTAGTAAGTAGTCTGCAGATACAGACTCTATTTAGACACTTTCAAATGAAATTTCAGAAAGCCTTGAGCCTAACTTATATCAATATATCATTATATGTAACTTTTATAATCTCTGATAATGACAGTGTGAGAGAATGGAGTGCAGTATAGTCTTCCACTTCAGACCATTTTTTAAAACCCAATCACATGATAAATATTGTTGCAGGGTGTTTGTGCCTGTAGACTAGAGGGTAAGCTAGGGCTAGAGAAGTGTGTCAAATCATCACAAGAGAGCATTGTTCACCGCATTGGCTGCCTGCAAGAAGGCTGTTACTGCCATTGGCAATAGATGTCTCTTACGGCCTTCTTGCAGGCAGCCGACTGACTGATCACCTTCAAATCATCTGGAAAATTCATTTGGTTTTGGAACACTCATCCCATGCACGTTCACCGATTTATAGAAACTTGAAAGAAGTACCGTATTATAAATAAAAATGCATACAGCCTATTGACTTGACTGTGAAGTGCCGAAATAGGAAGAAAGGTATCCTTCTTTTATTGCTCACTTTCACACTTTGGATCATAAGTTGATACGGACACATACATGTACATGTAGCTCAATACTGTTATGTTCTATATTGCATGGCATAAACCTGTCATCATATAATACTAGCATATACTGTTTACAAAAAAATTTAATATAAAGACCAACAACCTTTGAGCTAGGGGTAGCAAGTGGATTATTATTGTACATTCTGGCATTCCACTACACAATCAATATCAATATCATACTACAGTATATGAGTTTCTTCCAAACCCAAATCTTTGTAACTAGTGAGCTTCCAAACTCTCTTGACAATCAATTGGTAGCAAAGCTAAGACGCACCTACAAACTGAACTTCCAGAACAAATATTTGATAGATTAGTGTGGGCATGTCAAGTCATGCATTGTGGTGAATTTTGATGACAATTGTTATATCTTTTTATTGTTGTTAATTGACAAAATTCATAGAAGTATTTCACCGCACAGTGACCCTGTTTCATCCTTGTTTTGATTTTTTTTCCATTTCCATCGTAGAAAGGTGTGTCATACATGTACATCAACAATTGTACTTCAGAACTATTATAGGCCAATAATTGTTGATAAAATACACTTATAATCATATTTGAACACATGTTCCCACTTTTATATTGTTTTACTTTTATGTTGTTTTACTTCTTTTCTTTTTTTTTAACTAAATTGTTTTGTTCTCATTTTCATTCAAAGGAAAGTCTCGGTGCATCTCTGTCTCTCTCTCTCTCTCTCTTTGTCTGTCTGTCTGTCTCTCTCTCTCTGTCTATCTCTGTCTCTCCCTCTCCCTCTCTGTCTCTCTCTCTCTCTCTGTCTCTCTCTGTCTCTCTCTCTCTCCTCTCTATCCCTCCCTCTCTCCCCCTATACATATATGGACCATCAATGCCATGGCTTCAATCATAATCACAGTACTCCCACACCATGGCATTTCATAATGAATCATACATAATGGAGAAGATGGTCATATAACAAGTAATACACACTAGGTCTACTTGTGATCTACTAAATTGCTAATGATAAGGTTTCAATAGTACGATTGCAGTACCGGTATTAAATTTACATTAGAGAGTATAAATGGTTAATGGTGGAAAGTAGAGATAATTGTGCACGCATTTGTCAGGTTTATATGAGCTATTCAATTCAATTCAAATGAACATTTATTCACTTAAATTGTTGTTATAACAGTCAGCATGGCCAGGACTCAGAGAATTGATAGCCCACAAACTGTTCACACTTCCAAGGACTTGGTACTCCCTTTAACTACCAGATCGTATTATTTAGGAAGTAATTAGTTGCATCACAGTGATCACACCTACATGTATTACAATAACCTATCTCAGTCCTATCCAAGCTGGTATGCTATGTATGTAATTGCAATGAACATTCAACATAATTGTGCACTACTATGGTTACATACATTTACATTGACTAATATTGAGAAATTGATATTACATTAATAATAATAATACATAACATTTATTAGGCGCTTAATACTGATGTTTCTAAGCGCACAGTGTTCTGATTAAGAGAAGACTATAACCCGTAGAATTAAATTAGAAGAAAAAGCAAAAATACAAAAGTAACATAGATAAGGTAAGAAAAACAGTGGCAATCAACTAAATAAAGACAAATATGGTGCGCACCTCCATTGACCGACGCACAACTGCAATTTACAATTTGAAAAGATAGGTTTTGAGTAGAGATTTGAATTGAGATACAGAGGGGGCGCAGTGAATAAAGGCGGGCAGTTTGTTCCAGAGAGCGGGGGCAATAACTGAAAAGGCGCGGTCACCATACCGGGTGTTAGTGCGGGGTCCAGGTGTTAACAGTAATGTGGAAGATGAACGAAGTGTTCGTGACGACGTACGGGAACGTAAGGATATGAGATCGGAAAGGTAAGAGGGGGCTAAGCCATTGATAGCTTTGTAGCACAGGAGAAGAATTTTGAAGGATATGCGGTGGTGAATTTTAAGCCAATGTAGTGAGTTCAATATTGGAGTTATGTGCTCTGATTTACGCGAGAGAGTCACAAGCCGAGCAGCGCCATTCTGTACCCTTTGAAGTGGGACTAGATGTGACTGAGGGAGGCCAGAAAGAGAAGAATTACAGTAATCGATATGGGTCGAGACAAAAGCATGGACTAATTTTGAAGTTGTGGGTCGGTCAAGTAGCCTCCTGATTCTACTGATCTTATATATACCAAAGGAAGCAGACTTACAAATATTACTAATGTGTTGTTTGAAAGTAAGATTGCTGTCAATATTTAAACCAAGGTCACGCACAGAAGCACAACAACTGAGAGAGCCATCACTCATAACAAGATCAGGAAAGGGGTCTGAGTTCCGAAATTTAGAAGTAATATGAATCATTTCAGATTTTGAATCATTAAGGCAGAGACAGTTTTGAAAAGACCAGGTTTTGATTTCATTGAGGCAACTGGTGAGTTTGTTCGCGGCTACTGTCCTGCTGTTTGGGTGAAGAGTTACATAAATCTGGGTGTCGTCTGCATACATAGTGTGTTGAATATTCTGATGAAGGTTAATAACATTTGAGAGAGGGCTGGTGTAAAGAATAAACAGGAGGGGGCCGACCACGGAACCCTGAGGAACGCCGCAGATGAGGGGAAATGATTCCGAGTTGGTGTCATTGATGATCACCTTCTGAGTTCGGTGCATGAGATAGGAGCGAATCCATTGAAGTACGGTGCCGGTGATGGAGAAGTCGTTCTCTAAGCGATGGAGTAACAGGTCGTGGTTGATAGTGTCAAATGCGGCAGTGTAATCAAGCAAGATGAGGACAGCTTCATTACAAATGAACCAAATCATTTTCATTTTCATTTTCATTTTCATTTTCATTTTCAGTTTCATATCAGAATTGTAAGTTTTACTAGTTGAAAGGGACAGATCTAAAGCAGTTTGTCAAATCTTTCCCTTTGTGGAGTCTCTATTGTCAGATTCAAAAGCCAGACATACATGTACATAAATTAGCTCTGTTTTGAACATCCTTCTCACTCTAACAGACAATGTTAGTTTCGTACTGTAAAATAATTAAATCACAACTAAAACACAACACTCAATATTTGTAATTCACAAAAGTTTCTTGAAACAAAAATGACTGTTCAAGTATACAACCCTGTATACAATTCAGGAATGTCTCATATTGCAAAAGTGCACTGTACGATGATTTAAACAAAAGTACCAGTATTATACTTGGCACGTACATGTACAATCATCAATCAAAGTTAGCTCTTGACTGTTGAAACTCACACCTACAGTCAATAATTAGTATATGATTTCATATACAGTAGTGGTACAGGTGGATGTGGAATATTTGTTTGCATAGTTTTGCATATATACTTCCTCTTTCCAAGGTGGTAAGTCAAACAAGTTAACACACAAATGATCAATAGAGTATCATATTGCCGTTCTTTTTGCTATAGAACTCCCACTATTACAGGGCATATTTACATTGCTGAAACAAAAATTGAAATAAAAACAATTAGTCTTTATTAACTACCACTTATCCTACTAGAAATAACACATTAACAAAAATGTTGGTATTTGTTAATTCTTTTTTTAGCAAGTTGTGCGCATGAGCCGTTTGTTGCTGCTCTGCAAGCATTTATAGCACGGAAGCAAGGTCAGGTGACCCAAAAAACTGGAAAATTTCCTTGTGTTTTTAGAGCAAGCATTTACACTGCAAAAACTATTTTCTGCCGGCACCTAAAAAAAAAAATTCCAGAGGTATGTTGTTTTTTTTTTTTTGTGTGTGTGTGTGTGTGTGTTCATGGGTAGTTGCCTAGCAATTTCCAACGAAACTCTGAAATATGAAAAACCCAGTTTTTTCTTGCAGTATAAATGCAGCTACATGTAAATACAGTGTACTTGTATTATTCATAGAATGAAAATGTATAGGGTCGGTCAAGATATTGGACACAATATTGGCCTCAAACTATAAACAATACAAAGATTTTCCAACTTTGAGAGAAGATCAACTCCAACTATAGACTCTAATAGAGGTCTTTAATACAGTCATTGGTGATTACTCGATTCCTCTGCATGCAAGGTCTACAAGACAGATTAAAAGGGTAATTAAAAATCTACCAAAAATAGCAAGCCCCAAGGAACGGAAATGAGTTTTTTCCACTCGTCTCAGTCGAACAACGCTAAGAATAACTGGATTATGTATTTGTTTTCCAAGCATGAGTCTTAATCTAGATCAGGCTATGAGGTTCACAGAAAGTTTCCAGTTTGCACTTCTTTGGATAGTTGTGTAATCTTGACAAAGTCTGTGATGGACTAATCAGCACCTAAAAACAAACTACACATAATAATTCAACTTTATTTATGGATACTACATACTACATAAAAGCTAATCAAAAGCTCTAGATACAAACCAGCTGTTCCAAGATAGCATTAGTGGGAATAAACGAAATTGTAATGTGCTATCTATTTTCTCTGTCAATAAAGAGACCAGTGATTGAGAGGTTTTGACCTACTGTAAAGTTGTAATGAGAAGAAACAAAGTGTGATGTATTCTGATATCACACAGGATTATATGAAGAGCGACGCCATAGGCTGGTGTTCTGTTAGTGATATGCACTTAAAGATAAAGTTGAGTTCTGGTCATGCAATTGCATTGTGAAAGAAACGTTGTGGAATTGATCAGAAAAGGTTGATCATCTAGCATATAAGTATTGGTGTGAACTGCAAGGTTCTAGAATCATTAAAATGATAAGAAATTTGGCCCAGTCTTGGTCAAGTTAAAAGCACTGTACACAGATAGGTGTACATGGGACTACACAAACATGTAGCATAAAAATTTGTCCACATTTTTATGATTTTACACGCCATATTTAGAATATTAAGGCATTTGAAGAACCATGCTTTTCAGGGAATATTTTTTATTTCATGTTCTTCCACACTTGCATAATACAATGATAACGCTTACAAATTATTTTTCACCTCTTCCCAGAACTCAACCTTCTCTTTAACATCACATGACCGAAGAGACTGCACACAGTTGTTTGAAGGTAATCCACAGTACGCCAATGGAGAGGAAGATCTTCATTAAAGGATATCCTTGTAAAGACATTCCTCACCCAATGATTCTTATTCCTGTTTGTTGCTTTCTGGGTACCATCACTCACAGAGAGAGACAGAGAGAGGGAGAGAGGGGGAGAGAGGGAGAGACAGAGAGGGGAAGAGAGAAAGAGAGAAGGAGAGAGAGGGGGCATACATACAATGTTTTTTTCTTATCAATCATGATTCTTTGAGCTCATCTTTTTAAACATATAGTAAAATACGTAAATCCAAGTCCAATTTCATTAATATTATCCTGTTTAAAGTCTACAGAAAGGAGGAGGAATGTATATTTCTTGGAAATTGAAACCATGATTTTTTTTTTAATTAGTGTTTGCTAAACTTGTGCAGTGAATATGAACTTTAGCAACAGGAAAATGCAGAGGCTGGAGGCTGACAGTACCACCTGGGGGTAAAATATACAGTGGGATACAAAGACATATGTACAGGTAGGAACAGGAAATTTCCTTGTTATTAATGTGAGTTATTTTTAAAATATATAAATATTTAAAAATCTCTATAATGAGATTGAGGTATTTACTGTACAACATGGCTATGTAATAATATTTATATACCTCTAATTTGAAAACTTAACTAGGGGAAACTGACGACATAGTGATAATTCACAAGTGTGTGTTCATGACAAAGGACTAGATCCTAACTTCTCAATTAATACAGTCCGGCATGCTTTAAAGAACACCTAAAAAGATCATGTTTTACACTTTTTTACTGCCTTAAAAATTGTGAATTTTCATCTAAATTTGTGTTGAAAGAGAAACAAAACCTTAAAATCACTTTTTTTCTGAGTGGTTTTTAAATTTTTAGGAGCGTGTACAATTAATGCTACATGTACATGTATGCAGGCCTACTGATAAACTGCTAAATTAGTCTGTCTGAATGTTTCCTTTTTGTCAATAAATGAAAAACTTTGAATGAAGGATATAGATTTTGCAAAGGAGCCTTTCCCAGTTCAGGACAGAAAATATTACACAGTGTCCAGACTAATATTCAGGATTGGCCTACAAATGTATTTGGGTCCTTTGATACCTGAACTGGCTAATTTTCCCAATTGCACAATAATATGTAGGCCTACAATGTACCAAACATATGTACTGGTAAGTATATCCAAGAGGAATTATCCTCTTTTCTCTCTCCCTCCCTCCTACCTCCTCCTCTTCTTCCCCAGTCCTGTTTTTCTTTTTTCTTTTTGTCCTCCTTCTTTTCTTTTTTCTTTTTCTCTTTTTTCAACATATTTAGATCACTTTAATCACTTCTCAATTTCTTGTTTTAAATTACTTCTCAAATCTCAATTTCCTGTTATGACATCTATCATATCTGAAATTCTGAAAACAATGATCTTTTAACATTAACAATCATTTTAAGCATATTTCTTGACTACTGAAGCCATCCATTACGCAAATGTTCAATTCATCCCTGAATTGTATAGCTTTCTAAGTCCGGTGCTTGTGCATTGCTGCAAGAAGATCATGTCAACTTATGAAGTTGAACCCATTGCCTACATGAACCTGTTGGGTAATGCATTAAGCAATTTCGACAAAAGCATTTCAAAAGAAATGTTACACATCATGATCTTTCCTACAATTAAAAGAAATTAAATTGTATTACAAAAAAACTGAAACTGGAAAATAATAAGGTTTAACAGGCAATACACCTGGACAAACTGGGTTGGGCATGAACAATGAAATAATATCATTGAAAATGTTGTTGCACACAAGCTACAGTGTACATTTGTACATGCACAGTATGAGCCTTGAATATGTCTGGATTGTTAATGTTAACTATGGATGGCGGTGAAGAGTTCCAATCTGTTTCAGAAGGAATTAATATTTGAAGGAATCTTTGTCAGAACTGATTTCAATATGACTTATTGTGTGATGATGTGATCTTCTGGTTGAACAAGTAACAGGGTGAAGCTGGTCTTGCACTGGAACGAACAGGTACATGTACAACAAACAAAACAAACAGGAACTTTCTTTGTGTCCTTGATATGCGCTATACAACAACAAGTAACGATTGTTATTAGTATTATTTCCCCATTGTTTGTTATGGTTGATGTACATCTTTAACTGCAAGTTAATAAAATTCCCTGTGGTATTACTAGACCCTAGACTATATTGTTTTCTTACTACAAAAACATTAAAACGGCTAGAAGAATGTACTTCTATTAAGTTAATTTATGAATATGGCTCTATTTCGGGCTAGAGCCTTGTCCAGTCATGACTGCGCCTGTAACTTTTTTTAGACTCCCAATCACACTTATTGAGACTTTGAAAGCAAGAAATTTAAAAAAAGAAAATTATGAACGGAAAAGATCCGACAAGGAGAAAGGAAAAGATCCGACAAGGAGAACTGTCATGACCATGAATGAAGGTGGTAAAAGGAAGCCTGGAAGGCTCTCTGGTCTTGTGGAACGAAAAAGTTACAAAGGGTCAAATTTACACATAAAATACACAGCCCCACTCAGTCTCAGACTCAGTCATACTCGCAGCCGACATCCGCAAACTGTTTACATGGTCAACACTACACTTCACCTCATTTACGCCTGACCCGTCGGGGTCGATAAGCCTCGGATCGATCCGACTTCGGAGGAGCCCCGCAGAGCTGAGCAAGGTTTTTAACTATGTTTCCTGTTTGTTTCATTGTAAAATCAAGGGTCATGAATTCTTACCTTTCATCCAGTCTGCTACGTCTTTTGCTGACCATCGAGGAATATTTATGAACTCCATGGTTCCTGATCATCAGTCTACCCCTATATCCAGGAAGCTGACAGAGTTTGGGGATGAAATGACAGCAACTTTCCTCGATTATACATATCCGCGCGTGCTGCGCTATAACATTTGGGCGCTCGCCATACTAGGGTGGATCGTGTGTGCGTTTCGTGGTTAGCATTCATTCAAGAAAACTGCGAAGCCAACTCGCGAAAACCGGTGAAAATATCATTTTTATCTTCATTTACCCTCAAAAAAGGCTTATTAAGACATGCATGTGATCAGTCAGATATCAAACACAATATTGTATTGAACTAACTTTTCAAGAGATGCGTATGAATGAATGTTTAAATCTAGTTTTATCCATCGTAGTCCCAGCCTTTGGAATCCGTGTACTGTTGAAGTTTCCTTTTCAGCTGTCAACAAACCGAACTTCTGAAAGGCTCGATATTCACTGATCTGTGGAATTTCAAAAAACAAGATGTCAAGACAGAGCAGTAGGGCAACAGACCCTAGGAAAATCGTGAGTTAATCTTAATGTATATTGATGTAGACTCTATACAAATCAGATAAGATTAGACTCTAAGAAATCTTATTTATTTTTTTACTGCCGAGTCCAGAAGGAAAACAAATTTAAAAATTAAAATAATGAAAATGAATGAGAGTGGAGAACGTTGTGCATGAGAACATCTTAATTTTTGTGACCAATCCTGGACTGAGGGGTCATTTTATCCAAACGAAAAAAACAAAGAGATCCCAGGCCAGGTCCTCTAATTGTTCATCACGATGATGTTTCTAATTCGAATTCTAAAACTTAAAAAGTAAAACATATTTATTTATGAACATGATGAAGGAGAGCCTTGACTGTCTGCGGCTATGCGCACCTGACATTTCACTTGAAATTTACTTTGGGTTTCTTTTTTATTCCCCTTATGCTTGATCTCATCTTATTTCTATTTATAAAGAGCAAGTGTACCAAAAAAATTGTCAAACTCGGCCATCAGGCATGAACATTGTAATTTTACAAGAAAAGGTGGCAGTGTCATTTTGACATTTTTAAAACAAAGGTGCCCATGTCTATGATGTCTGCACACTTTCAGATTTTGCATACATGTGTAAGATAGCATTTCGAGGCTTCTAAGTTTGAAGTACTAGAATTATATTTCTGTCCTATTTTTACTTGTTTTATTAATGAATGTGTGTAGACCCTATCTCTGTAATAGAAACAGATATTTAGTTTTGGTGGCATTTTTTCTTTTATCATGCAGTCACACATAATGGTATGCGCTTACAAGGCCAATGCACAGATATGGGCACTCTGTCTCCAGTCATATTTATTTTATTCATTTATTCCTTTTTCTTTCTTCCTTTTTTTTGCGGTCATTGCCCATATGACCCATTTCCCCCCTCCTGTTCAGTGGTTTGGGAGCCTGGGCAGAGTGAAGTGTGCTGTTCAAAATATTTGTTCAGTTGTTGTTTTACTTGTCTGTAACTAATCATCAAACCCACTCACACATGCCAGGTTATACTTATATCTATAAATAAGGTTTGCAATATGAGCTACATGTACTTGTATTTTCTGTATTCTTTTTCTTGCCATTGTTTCTACAATTTTCATTATCTTCTCTCCCCAGAGCCAAGAGTTGTTCACCCTGACGTATGGCGCTCTCGTAGCTCAACTTGTCAAAGACTACGAAGGAGATGAGGAAGTAAACAAACAGCTGGATAAAATGTAAGATCAGTGGAACTATTCTTAAAACTTTATTTTCTCTGGGAACTTGTCTTAAAGAATGATAATTGGAGAACAGTGTGCTTCTGGTAAAAGTGTAGGAGGTCAATAAAGTTTCCTTAATTTCTTCCTTGTTTTATACACAAAAAAGGGTAGAACACAATCACCAAAACAGTCATGTAGAACATCTCTTATTTAGAGAAGTCTCCCCAGTAGTGTATTATTATTACCAGGTGGTAAAAAACTCCTTGAATGCTTGAGCGCCTTGTAATGGTACATGTACATGTAGCTCGGTTAAAGCATGGGTAATGATATGATTGCAGGGCCCTCAGGGAGAACAGTATTAATATTCATGAGGCTACCCTTGGTAAACGCTTGTATTATTGTAATCATTACTCTTTCCCCATTTCAAAGAAATTTGTTTTTTAAAAGCATCTAATCATTTCTATACCTTTATACCTTACCTAGATAGTTGTGTCAGTGTTAGATAAAGAAATAATGTACATGTATTATGATTGCCTTCCCATCTACTGTTCTATTTCAGTTCTGAACTTTGAACAAGTAATTAGAAGAGTATGTGAAGCATCATATATTTTTCCCTTTCATACAGCTCTTTAAAGATCTGATATTACATGTAGTTTGATACCAATATTAAGTCTCATCAACTACACTTTGTTTCTTTAATTCCATATGATCAGGGGTTATAACATTGGCATTCGTCTCGTAGAGGACTTCCTAGCAAGGTCTGGCATCGGCAGATGTAACGATTTCAGAGAAACAGCAGATATCATTGCTAAGGTACAGTATGAATCCTCCTTTAATCCTTCTGTTTGTAAGAAAATTGAAATGGCTTGATCACACTCACAAAGATAGCAACTAAGGCTGCAACGGGTAGTCGAATGCTCGAGTACCCGCACGGTTGACAACTACTCGGGTACTATTTCTCGTACCCGAATATTCGGCCGCAAAAAAAAAAAAAAAAAAAATGTCCAGGCCCACGCTTACCCGTGCCAGGGAGAGCGGTGGCCGCTGGCATGTTACCGTCGGTAAAAATGTTTCCCAACTCAAGCACTGTCAAACTCACCTTTCAGAAACTGGGACCAATTGTCCAGATTTCTGTTTGGACTTGGAGGAAAATGGATTATTCTGCCATCTTTTATTTTTAAAACAGCATTGTTTACTGTTATTATTCTTATTAAATCGGCGCCTTCAACTGCAACTCAAAGTAAAATTGCATGCATTTTCGGCGAGTGACCTGGGAAACTGCTGAGTGGTATGGTAGTGGCAAAAAAAAATTTAAAAATTCAAAAAAAATCAAAAAAATTATAAAAAAACATGGCGTCCAAATATTCGAGTATTCGCTTGTGAGCCTGGGAGTGTACTCGGGTACCTCATTACACTGTTGTGCACAGCCTTAATAGCAACACTACTAACATACTATCCTCATTACCAAATGAAATATATTGCATTGTACTGTCTTTTGTTGAGGGTTGCTGTTTTTTTAATCCATTTCCTGTGACTTTTTCCATGAAAGGTCATAGCTTTATTTATAAGAATGACACTACCTAACTAGCTGATGCAAAATTGACCCGAAGTTTAATTTCTTGTCAGTAAAAAAAGCAGACATTGTGTCCTTCCTAAACATTCTTTTAAATAACATTCTTTTAAATAACATACAGAATGTTGATGGATTATTTGTTTCGAGTTATCACTAAGATGAATTTAACATCATTTTGTTTAATTATTTAGGTTTTTATTTGTTGAGGGATATTTTACCACGGTTACTGAATCAGTGATCACAACATAATATTAGTAAGACAGCTAACAATAGTCTCTTCAAAGCATAGAGTTAGAGAGTTCCCACATATATTACCTTGTTTCCTGATGGTGATACATACTTCCTCTGGGACAGGCTTAGCATCCTGAATGGAATAGTAATTGCATTTGGTCTCAACATGTATATGATTGGCTAGTGTAACAATATAGTCATGTTGTGATTAATTTCTAAGCAGAATCACACATTTTTATATGTAACCAATTAGAAAAGCTATGCAAACGGCAAAGTAATTTTTTTACACAATCCGTTTGTAAAGCGCCCTGTTAGTGACAGGAATATACAGCTTTGGTGCTTAGTCTCATTGAATAAAAACCTGAAGACCGTTTCATGATGCAAGCAGCAGCAACAAACACATGCCTAATTGAAGCCAATCATTTTCAAATTGTACAAAGATTCAACAATATTCTTCATTACATATAAATATCAGTATCATACCCATTGCCTATTTTCTGTTCTGTTCTGTTCTGTTCTTTAGTCTGGTTTCCGGATGTTTCTTGGAGTGACTCCGAGTGTCTCTAACTGGAGTCCAGCGGGAGATGAGTTCTCCCTCCTGATGGATAATAATCCCCTGACAGACTTTGTTGAACTACCCGAGGATCATAGTAATCTCAATTACTCCAACGTCTTGTGCGGTGTTATAAGGGGTGCATTAGAATCGGTAAGGTTTCTTTTGATGCTGTGAGGGATGTATAGATGCGGTGAGGCACCATGTGATGTTAAAAAAAGATGCAGTAGATATGGGAAGGATTTTTAATATGTTATGAGGAGTGCATTACATTGGCAGTTGGTTTGTATAACCTTGCTTTATGTACAGCTTAGTGTCCAATAAATTTCTTCCCAATCTCCAGGCGTGACATCTAAGCCAAGAGAGGCAGGAATGCATTTTTATGTTGCAAACATATCCTATCCAAGTGCTCAAGCACGAAGCCAGAATGTATCAAAAAAGCTCAAGAGATCAACCACTTTTTCACAATGCTCCTCGTAAAAAAATAATCTTTGAGGTACATTAAAGGACATACACTACTGCTTAGTCTTCATTCACATTTTCAAAATTTGCTCACTATCTTTTAGATTTATACTAATCATTGTGTTTGTTTTTTTGTCTAATCTCCTTTCAGGTTCAAATGGATGTGAGTGTGAGATTCGTCCAGGATACACTTAAAGGGGATAATCAGACAGAGATACGTGTTAAGTTCATCCAGAGGTTAGAAGATGCATTACCTGCAGGAGAGGAATGAACACCAAACACATCTCTTGTATATATGGACTGTATAAATATATATAGATATAACCATGAAGAAATGATACCATTCCCTATCATGTTAAAAATATAACGGAGTGTAAAGCCCATGTTCGAACATGAGGTGGTAAACCTAACAAATACAAAAATGCTCAAAAATAATCTGATGTATTATGCTTCACATTTCTATTAACTTGTTAAATGCAAAGCATTAAAGGGAACCAAAAAGAGTTGTCCACAGATAATGTCATCAAATTGAATATCGCCCTCTAGTGACTAGTCATTTCAAAAAGCTTTAACTTCCTTATTCCTTGCTCGATTCTGTTCAAATTTTCACTGATATTTTTCAAATATCTTAAACTTTACAATAAAAGTAACTTAGTATGAAGGTTTTGGTTCCCTTTAAGTACGCATACAAGCTGAGTGTGCAGATACTTTTTATTTTTACCCCACAGACATACATGTATTTGCGTCTTTGACATAAGTAATTTATGTTGCAGTGCCAGTATTAAAGGGGTTTTCCCATCTTTTGTGAGAACATAGGCTGCGTACTCTACAATTTTGTTATCCTTCTTTTCATAATTGAATAGCATTAAAGAGAACTCAGTTGAAGTATGGATCCTGTTTTGGAAAGATTTTCTCACATTTCATTGGACTGAACGGTTTGTGATGAAGATTATATGGTTATGGGTAAGAAGAAAAAATGACTTTGTAAAGACTAAATTTAGATGTAGTAATAGGCATAACATTTGAGTTAGTGTGAAAGGGTATCCCTATGTAATTCAGGCCCTAGCTTGTTGATGCAGTAATAAATGAAGATGTGCAATACATTGTCCACTCTCAATATTTGAACTTTCTCAAATAACTATACCGGTAATCCCGTTTATATATTTTTCTTCCCTTTAATTTCACCTGCCTACAGTCACCCTTTTGTTCGTGGCTCTTGTTTTCGTTTGTATTCCATTCAATACAATTTTGCTGGTTTCAGTTTCACAAGTCAAATTTGAGAAGAAGTGAAGAAATTTTTCCACTCATAACTTCTATATGAAATTTGCATTAATTCCATCATGCAAGTAGAAAGCAGATAAACTGTGTAGAGGCTAGGGGGTGAGGATTTTGACTTCATCAACAACATCACTGGTCTGATGAAATCCGTTTCTTCACCCTCTCAACAGTAGGTTAAATGCTTTTAAAATTTAAAGAAAAGAAACTATGTATAGTCAAGAGTAATCTCTATATTCCTTGTTATATGGCACCTACTGATGCGATAATTCACCATTTATATTACAAATTCTAAAGCTCTAGTGTGTTCTCCACGCGTTCTCTGTGAAAAGGGGTTGTATTGAGTTGTATTCAGACTACAACACAATGTCTGGAGAGCATGTAAAAACCCACTCCACCTCGAGCTTGTGTTTTTTTTCTCCAACCTATCATGTTTTAATTGTAAGTTTACAAAAGTATAAAACAAGAAACATTTGCATGCATTAAATTTGCTTCTGTGTACAATTTGAGAAAGTTTCCAGTCTTGAAAGTTTCTGTTTGAACAATAATTGTTAATCAGTTTTGTTTGAATTGTCTTTAGTTTGTAACTGTATTTTCTCTTTTCTACTTCATGTGAATATTACTTCTGAACTGGCAAAATGCTATGTATAGCATAACCATAAATAAAAAATTAAAAAAACATGGAAAAAAGATCTTTAGAGTCTTGCAATTTATTACATGTGAAATATGATAAATCAAATTTACAAAGTCATTTCAAATATTTACAGACACACATCAAAATACAAAATATCTTTACAGGCAAAACCTTAGAGCCGGGAGGTCAGACTTTAAAGAGATTATATAGAATAACATTTCATAATGTCTGTTATATACAATTATACAAATGACGAAAGTACTAATGTGATTTAGTATTCCAATTACCATCTTGAATGGAAGGTGTGTTAAGAAATGTTTATCATCCAAGTGCAATGCTGGTTTGGGGGATGCCTCGTCCCTAAACTTCAAGAAAGACTGGTGCTCTTTCCATACATGGGTCAAACCACAATCGTTCATTTCCTTTTTGATGATTATATCAAGCAGAATGCATACTTGCATATTAAACATTGTATCCACCTATTTTGTCTACATTAGGAGAAATATAACGGCTGCCAAATGCTCACTTGTATTTTCTGCCATTGTTTGTTTTTCACCATAACTGATTGGATGTATGAAGCTGTAAATCACTGACATGGATCTGCAGATTTATTCTGCTATAAAAATTTTAAACAGTTTAGCTCCACTACATATTTTAATACATTTTTATAATGAACAATCTCATGGCATCTCTATTATAAAATCTTTATCAAATATATTTATAATGCAGTTGCCTCTGTACTGGACGCAATTATATAATTTGCATATATTTTACAATGGGCACACACATTTGTATAAGGTGAGATCAAGGACGGAATGAAGTCAAGTCATATTACATATATCATAACATAAGCTTTTATTGAAAGGAAATGTAAAAGTCTGAAATGCCACAGAGAAAGTGAAAGTTTAAAAAGAATACCTAAATAGAAAGCACATCCTTGTGGCACCAAAGCCATGGATACACATGAAGATAAGTAGAATCATGTTTCATAAACAAACCAAATTGACTTTATTTCCTCTCTTTTCTACATTCGATAACTGCAATTATACAGAATATTCACTGTTTTCCCCAAAATTCCTACATTGTAGTTTGCTTCATTTTGATTTCACACTAAATACAGATTCAAAGATATAATTCAAAGTAATCGATCCTCTTTATATACTTACTGGTATACACATATGTAAAACCTTATCTGTTATCACTGTACAGACTTGGTGCTAATCAAAGCAAGAAATAAGAATGATGTGCAATCACAATTGTAATCGTTAGATGTCTTTACTATTTGGTGGTATATTCACACGATAGTCGACTGGAACATGCAATTTGCATGAAATATTGGCCCTTTCTAGTTTAAGTAAGATACATGATCTTTGAACCTCAATTACTTACGAATAAACAGAAACCTAATTCTCTTGTTTTCATCTCAAACAGTTTCAGATGCGAGGTGTAAATACATACTTTAAAATTCATGTTGGATGCATGTACAAATTCAAGCACTTTCAAAGATGTAGTTATTTTCATGACATCTTCCCCTGTATTGCAATAGCTTCAATTCTTTCCAAAATTTTGTTAGAATCAATTCTACTTAGTCTAGGAAATACGTATAGTGAGCCTGGGATGAATAAGCTTTGAAGTGTCCCTTTAGGATGTGCATGTTTACATAGCGACTAATGTAGATGGTGTGGGCTCGCGTCCCTTGAGGTTGAGGAAGAGAAGCATCTTGTGATCAAAGTCAATCGGAAGCTCCTGAGGATTGCGCAATCGCTGGCCCATCTGGTTGCCTAGGTAACGGATGAGTTCACATTGCTCCTCAAACTGCTCCAGCTTCTTGCGGTACTTCTTACGGACGTAGTCAGAGCTCTTGGGGTTGTAAGCTGGTGGGAGAAAGTGGTAAAAAAACAGTTTTAAAGAAGATTTCTAGGAGGAACTTTGTAAGAAGAAGAAATGTATAGACCAACCTTTACACCATAAAGAGATAACATACAACTGGGTGCACAAAGTTGAACAAAATTAAAATGTGGTAAAGAGTCTGCAGATGATGTTCACTAATACAATACAGCATCATGATTGGAGAGACACACATCTTTAATGTTATCTATGTAGGTTTAATGAGTCTGGTCTATTCAGTTTTAGGACAGGGTGATTTGCAAGGGCAGTAAGGACAGAGAAATTAATATGAAAGGAGAGAGGACAAGAGTACAGAATAAAGCCAGGGGGAGAAGAAAGGAGAAGAAAGAAGAAGAAAAAGACGAAAGAGACAATGAAAGAACAGGTTGACAGACCAGGAGATGGAACTATGACGGACAACGAGAAAGACAAAGAAAAGATCAACAGACAAGAGCCTTGGTTGTCATGGAATGTGAGACAATATCAAGGCAAAGACTGAAAGACAGCAAAAGAGCAGAGAATGACAAAGATAGCAGCAGACAGATACCCAGAGAGGGACAATAATAACATACATGCACACAGAAATCTTGTAAAACAGATGGAAGAAACAAGAGAGATGATGGTTTTCTCCATGTTATGTTTAATACTGTAAAGCACCGGTTAGTGGCGCATATAGGGACTCAGTGTCGCTTGACGCTGTGTCCTGTTGTGCACTCATGGCTGGTGCTTTGCTGTAAATGTTTTATGCTCACATAAACTGTAGGTCTTTATAATCTTTTTCTTGTTTATATTTGTTTTCCCGTTAATGTTGTTTTTGTTAATTTCTCTAATTTCTCTCTATATATGACAAGGTTGGTGCCCCAACCACAAGTTTGTATTCAAACTTCTTTAGGGGCTCCTAACCCCATGTTTTTTTTATATTTCCATGAATTATTGTATATGAATTTTTATGGTTGAAATAAATTGAATTGAAATTGAATCTTACCTTTGAGATGGAATGCCAGGTATAACAAAGCAGATCTGGACGGTGAGACGAAGGGGAACTTTGGTTTGAAGCACCCTGTAGCAGTCAGAGCTTTAGTGATAGCCGTTGAGATGGTTTGCTCCATGTAACCTAACATGGGCAGTGAGGTTACCAGGAGAGGGTCCCTCCTGGGAGGTAGCTTGTGGGGTAGCTTCAGGCTGAAGTAACGCTCGGGATACCTGAGAAGGAGTAACAACATAAAGAGATTTATTATGCTCTTATTATATTCATAACATGTAAACTAGGATCTTGCTAAAATCTCTATAGAATGTATCGATTTCTATCACGTTGTGGCAATTCGGACAACCTGGACCACTCTAAAGCTTCACTCAAAACTCACATCTTCCTTCAGACATTTAAAAGCTAACTTTATTGGGGAGCTCATACCTTTGAATGTTTTTTAAACAGATATATGGCGCCATACAAATGCTGTGAATCATCATCATCATCAATACCACCATTACCACCATGATATAATCCATCATCATCTTCATCATCTTAACTATTACACAACTCATACTATACTGTTCAAACATATTCCATGATCAAGAAATGTTTGTTCTTTCATGCACTGTGACATACATACCTCATGAATCTCTGCAGTTTTTCTTCTGAATCAAAGCAGTACATCCTGCCCCGATACTCCACAATCAGATCTGGGTTGCCTGGAAGGATCGCTTCATACCTGAGCAACAAAATAAAGAAAGTGAGTAATGAAAATAGTGGCATTTTGTATAGCATATACCTATATGCTGTGGCAACACTCTAATTAATCAAATTAGAATCAGTGACAATGAAAGCTGATTGTATCCATTAGAGGCTCAATATAATAAAAGTATTTTGAAAACTTCTTGCATGGAAAGACATGAATATCTTAACATATAACTGTAAAAAACAACTCAATCATGAATATACAATGTATCAACGTCAGCAACTCAGAATAGATTTCTTCCTGTTCGATTTTGTTGTGTATTTCACTATTAAATGATGAACAAAAACCACAGTATGCATGCAAACACAATAATAATCATCTAACAATTTACCTGATAAACACAACATCAATGAAATGAAATCCCATCAAAAGGTAAAGGCACAACATCAAATTCTAGACATATTGTGAGACTAGCAGGGATAGGGGACTCACCTGAGCTTCCCATCCAGGTATGTAACAGGACAATATCCCTGAAGCTCAATCTGCATAGGGAACATCTTCTTCGCATCCATAGCAGTCCTTCTCTTAGTAAGTAGCTCTGGTGCAGGCAAGGCTCTGGGGGCTTGGGGTGGGACATAGAGCTCTGGTCTGGCTAAGAACTCCTTCACCTTCTCAGGGTTCTCCATTTTGTAGTAACGACCACGGAACTCTGCAGCATTGTCCAGGTTGACCTGTCCAGCGCAGTCCACCAGCTCACCGTCCTTGGCCAGACTGACCGGACAGTACTGACCAAAGTCACCAAGACGAGAGAAGAACTCCTTGGGTGTGATGCACATGTTAGCGATGGATGCTGCTTTGCCTACAGAGATCAACAAACAATAGAATATGTAATGCAATTGTTATCTGACTTGAACTGAAATGCTTCCTGAAAACTATCATAGTACAGGGCCCCGTCTTACAAAGATTTGCGATTGATCGAAATCAATCTCAAGTCCTCCAATCAACCACAAATTTGCAGTCTCCTATCTCTTATGTACAAAACCAGGTGTGGTATACAAATAAAGACGCAGATCACTTCGTGGACAGCACAAGGTTGATGATCATCATAAAAAACACAGTAACAAATACAATATATTCAACAAAGTAGGATTTCATCAAAGCTAGAAGGAATGATTTGAATTGGTTTCCTTACCCTCTGATATCCTCTGAAGATAGTCTTGTATCCTACGAACACTGTCCTGAGAATGATCAGCAGCTCGGTTCCAAACCCACCACTTAGACTTCTCACCGACCACCCTAACCCAGTTCTTATGCTGCTCTTTGTAATACTCCCTCACACCCGTGATCTCTTTCTGCCAAGCAGCGATCTTCATTGATAAGATCTGGGCACTGTCATGAAAAGGTAGCAACCTGCAAAGAAAGAGAAAAGTTCAAAATATATCAAACACCATAATCTGAATGCTAGCTCTCATCAAATAGAAGTGACATTTTGATCTCCATGTCTGGAATTAACTCATATCAGAAACATCAGTATTTTACTCAGTTTTGGGTTTAGTAAATTTCTTAGCCAATATCTGCATTCAGTTGCAATATCAGGGTAGGTACTTAATTTTTAAAGAAAGCTAGCTACCTGTACCTAGCAGACTTCTTGGAAAGCCTTGCACAAGGGTCCTTAATATCAGGGTATTTATGCGGTACCCAAGCAATCCTACACACAAAATGCTTTCAGTGCAAACAGATATTTAGATAGCCAAGTTGGCAGGGTTGCATTACAGATAATAAACAAGAGTAAGAGGGACAAAAGAATAACAAAGAAGTCAATAAAGAATTTGTATAAGAGTTGTTTTGGGGGTTTTTTTTTAAATACTCATCTTATATTTCAATTATGTATTGGATACCATCGTGCATATCATGTATATCTTAAAAGCACTACCCAACAATTTTTTTTTATTTTCTTAAATTTAAAAAAAAATGGAAAAAAGTGTGAATGAGACATGTGTATACCTCTCAGAAGAATGTCTATCTTTCATGCCTCTGACCATGAGCTCTCTGCTATCAACGCTGAGCTCAAGAACTACCACTGGAATGATACCATAGTCAGTCATCAGGTCAACCTGGTGCTTGGATACGGGGTAACCATCAAGGACATAGCTGCATTGTAGGGGAAAATCAGATCAGAAGAAAGGTGATTATAACCATACTCAGATTTAATACTTTTTAATACTGACAATATGGTGCATAATCAAATTCTATAAACACTCATTGATAACTTGATCTAAAACGTTCATCAATATTAGAATCACTACCACCAATGTCCTCATAATTAGTTGTAGCATCATCATCATTAAAATCATTGTTGCATTAACATCATCATCATCATCATTGTAATCAGCAACAGCAGCAATATCATTTACATCAAATAATTCCACTGTATTAACTATTCATCACGATGGCCAATATTATGATTATGATTACGATTACCTTTTCCATCATTTTTTATGACATGACTATCAATATTAACATTATCAACATATTCATCACCACCACCGCCACATCTACCACCATCATCATCGCCACCACCACCAGTATCAACCCCTCCTCATCCTCCCTCCCTCTACTCACCCTCTGGTTGATGACCTTGTATCCAGGAGATTGACCTCTAAGGCACGAATGGCAAGTTCATCAGGGAGGGGAATACCCTTTCTGATCTGAGCATTGATCAGTTTAGCTAGCTCTGTCTTGGGCTGTTGGGTCAAGACAAACCTGACCGCTTCACCGATCGACAGTCGCATCATCCCGTAATCGGATGCAAACCGGTTGGCCACTGAATGAAATCAAAATTTGCAGAAAAAATTAAGATTCATTCTGCTATTGAGTATTTGCATGAGCAATGGTACACTTGGGGAGAAATATATAAAGCATCTTTAAAATATTGCATGAATCCTTCTCGACACCAATTTCAATTGGGTTTGTCAGGTCAATCAGTCATGTCAAAAGGAGTGTAGACACACAGCAAAGTTGTATAAAAAAATGTATAATAAGTAAATTACCAATAAGGTGGAAAATACTAAAGGTAAAAGTGAAGGTAAAATATTAAGCCAAGACTAAATATTGCATTATATATCAAATGCTTCTGATTAATTCAGGACATTGTTTCTTTAAGCTTGCATACTGAATCAAGTTGTATTTTATTCCATGTTCTCCAGTATGATGTTCTGAGCTTGGCAGATCCATTATACAATTATCTATCACTAACTCACATGCAGTCTTTCCAGACTTTGGTGGTCCAATGATAGCCATCCTGACAGGGACTACAGGCTTAGGAGATGCTTGCTTCAGGTACTTCAGCGGATGCATCACAAACTGTTCCCTAGCCTGAGGCGTGGACATGAAGTAGATGTGTTGACGGTACACCGCCGGGAACGTTGGGTAGGTGTGACCCTGCAATGAAGGAAATAAGATTCAAAATGGTGGTGGTTATTGTACCTGACTGCTTAGAAAGCATAAATATTGGTAAGCAACCAGAGGACCCACAGCTTTAGGTCCTCTCCGAGGAATCAAAGAGATGTTTATCTTGTTGGGTAACTTGTAGAACAAAATATGAAATAACAAACATGATGAATTATTAACAAATTAACTCGCTGTCTTTTCTAAATATATAGTTTCCAGCTAGTTGCAATGTACCATTCACCTCTTGCTGAATTATTACATATGATTTACGCATTTATTAGGCCATCATAGATTGTAAGATAAAATAGCAGTTCAACAATTCATTTGCAAGTCCCCGACACTCCATTAATGAGATCTCCTGAAAGCAGAAGTTTGCATCGATTTGATAAACAGAATGCTGTGTTTATCATTTTATGTTGTGTTGTGTTGTGTTGTTCTTCATAAGAAGCAGAAAGCAATTTATAACTTGATCTTTGCCCATGACTTGTATACAGGGCCCTGCTGCACAAAACTTACCACTGATGGTAACTTTGCCTTCAATGGTAACTACCACGGGAACCGGGCTCAACAGCCAATCAGAATCAAGGTTTCCATGGTAGTTACCATTGATGGCAAAGTTACCATCAATGGTAGATTTTATGAAACCGGCCCCAGGTCTCCAACCTACCTGCATTGGTTGAATACAGTCTCCTTCTAATAGCTTGACAGGACACCATCTGCCAAACCTAGACTGATGTTTATAACCGATCTGTAGCATCTTCCTAGCCACCATCTCTCTGACAGGATAGACCTTCTCAAAGAGACTCTCTCTGAAGTCCTGGACCGGTCTGAGACTCTGCTCCAGGGTGAAGCGGACGATGTGAGGCTTGCGACCACCGTTGAGCTCCATGCGAGGGATCATGATCTCTTCAAGGGTTTCCTAGTGAGAAGAAATGAGAAAGAAACGAGTTGAGAAGAGTTGATTATTATTTCATTTAATGCAAGATTGATTATCTCAATGGATTCTTCCCTGGAAAATACTACCAGATCACTAGAGCTATCCATGGATCATTGTAACCATCTTTCAACTACTCTCCCCATCACCTAAAGAACAAAACATTATCCTCTCATGTGTTTTTTAATAATACATGATCCTCTTCCAAAGAAGTTCTCCTTAAACACTCTACACTATATTCTTATATAGTATGACACCATCAATCATGATGCCTTATATAGATCATGTGTTTTGGATTTTGACAGTAGTGAGTGATAAACAATGAGACACAAAGTTAGATGTAGAGAGAATGTGCCTGGAATTTACAAGCACTCAGCATTTTCCTCTTTCCTCGACTCTCTAATTTATATCAACCAATACATTGTTATTGATTATTTGTTTAACTGACCTGTACGCCTGAGATGCGATTTGTATCCTCATCATACACCTCTCCAATTTCATTCTTCAGTCTCTCGATGGCATCTTCCTCCAACTCATCCTCCTCCTCCTCTTCTTCCTCCTCCTCTTCAAACTCCTCAGCCAGCATTGCATCGATGTCCTCCTCCTCTTCCTCATCAAATCCTTCTTCGTCCGAGTGCTCTGAATCATCACTGTCTCTATCCGCAGCTCTCTGAGCCTGGTCATCAAAAACAAATAAACAAAAATTAATATTACAATAGTATTCGTACAGAGGAAATGGGAAATATGAATTTAAATTGCAGGAAGGCTGTTACAGTGTAGGTGCTATCACTTATTTTCGTTTAAAAATGAATGAAATAAAGAAGACATATAAAGAATCTCAAATATTCTAAGTCTGGATTGCTAGACATTTTTTGCAAGGTACAGGTTTATTCAACGATGATATATGATTCATAAAAATCAAAATGAAGTTTCAGTAACACTAGCTGTGCTTAAGTGTTTTAGGAAAGATGGAAGGGTAGCTAGGGTACTTTATAATAATAATAATAATAATAATATATATAATAATAATAATAATAATAATAATAATAATAACATATAATAATAATAATATAATATATATATAATATAATATAATAATATAATAATAATTAATAATAATAATAATAATAGCCTAATAGTCCACTCCAAATTTTATTAAACCGAAACGGAAATTCTTTTTGCCCAATTGATCGTGAGCCCGGCAGCCACTGAGCAGCGCCAGATCGACGTTGCTCTATCCCCTATTGATGAACGCCAAACAAGGTAGCAACAACTCCCATCTTTTAACGTCTTTTGGTATGACGCGGCCGGGGTTCGAACCCACGACCTCCCGGTTGTGTGGCGGACGCTCTACTGACTGAGCCAACACTCCGGTATTAGGATGTTAAATATTTAACTCTTTTGGCAGAGATATATCAAATTAAAAACTCATAATAATAATAATAATAGCTTGTTCTTATGTAATGCTTTTCAGGACCAAAGGCTCTCTCAAGGTGCTTTACAGATATATCATAAACCGGTAAGCATATATTACATTTGCAAATCTACATTCAACTACTAAGCACTATGACTGATATCGTGCAAATTTAAACAGAAGAAAATAAAAGATAAAAGAATACCTCAATTTTCACACCAATATTCAGCAATTAAAAACAGAATCAATGTTATTATTGCAGATATTTGTTACACTAAGCTAAAATTGTTGTAAGAAGCATGCATTTCACACAACACTCAGGGCCGGGACATTGATGTAGGCTGTTGCCTTATATAATATGAAATGAAAAAAAGTGATGGGTGAACATTACAATCAAGAAATAAACAGAGCAGGCAATACACTTTCCTTCCAGTATTAGGATGTTATTCTAGTGATTTGATTTGCTTCTTTATTTTTGTGTGTCCAACCAAAAGACAAATGTTTTGATTATCTCCCTCCCCCCCCCCCAAAAAAAAAGATAATGATAATACAAATGATAACAATACAAACAATAATAAAAGCTTGCGAATCCCCAAAGCAATAAATCTACCAATGTAAGCATCTCAATAGCTAAATTGGCATTTGCCAGAGATCCATGGGAAACATATCTATAGCTGATTATAGAGCTGCAATGCAGCCATACTGTAGTATGGGTAATTCAAGTTTCAGTTTCATTTATTGGACAGGAGTTCTATTGCTGTTTCTATACAAAGTGTTAAACAGTTGGCTCTCAAATAGTTCATTGTATTGTTAGTGAATCTAGACTCTTAAGAAATGATTGTGTAGTTAGGTTAATTTAAAGCTGCCTGTGGCATGCTTGCATGGATTGCCTATATCTAGACGATGAGTAGTGAGGCTTTCTCTCAAAGAGCCAGTCACTAGTACTTTTGTTAGTTCCTCTATACAAGGTTGCGGTGTATTAGCCTAACTTGATATCATATTAGTCTATGAAGATACAACTGTATAGTTAAGCTCTCAAAGCACTGATTGCATTGTTAGACTTGTGACTGCATGGTTAGTCTATCTCTCTGGATTTCAATGCATATATTTAAGATCTCAAAGCGCTAGCTAGCTGTCTGTCTATGTCATTAGTCTATTTGCATGGACTGGCATGCATGACTAACATATTAGCCATGACTTTGTTATAAGAGTGTTGAGTGAAATCACAATGTTAAACTCTTAAAGCACTGATTGTATAGTTAGACTTGTGACTGCATAGATAGTTAGTCTCTCTGGATTTCATTGCATACATGTAGTTAGGATCTCATTCAAAGCGCTCGCTGTCTATGTCATTAGTCTATTTGGACCTGACTATCATATTAGCCATGACTCTGTTAAGAGTGCTGAAATCACAATGTTAAGCTCTTAAAGCACTACTTGCGCGCATGTGACTGCATAGTTAGTCTCTCTGGATTTCATTGCATATAGTTAGGATCTCAAAGCGCTAGCTGTCTATGTCATTAGTCTATTTGGAGCTGACTATCTATTATATTAGCTGTGACTCTGTTAGAAGAGTGTTGAGTGAAATCACAATGATGCATGACCTACCCTGAGCTCTGCCTGCTCGTACGTACGTACACAGTGATGATGAGATGAAGACAGATGAAACAAACAAAGTCATGAAAACAGAGTGAAACAATAATGTATGTTTACAACAACAAAAGTGAAGGACATAGGGTCATATATATATATATATATATCCACCATCGCTTCAACTGTCTAATACTGAATGTTCAGTTTATATTCTTTCAGAGCATCAAAAGCCAAAGGAATACAATGCCTATATAGCTCTTTTTCAGACTGAATCATAATTTGAAAGACAGTATACTTGAAGGAAAAAATACCATTAAAAAAAAGAAATAGTGAACATAACAAAGTAAATGAAATATACACAGTGAAAAAAAGTTAAAACAAATAACATAAAAACATACACTGAACACATAAAGCTGAACAGAATAGAAGTAACAAAATGAATACATGTACATTGCTACCAAATACAAGCTGAATTTATTTGGTTTTTATTCTGCTAGAAATACATTCACAAGAGATGAATAGTGGTGTACCTTGTGAATGCGTACTGATTTCGCCTGAAACTTCATTATACAATATCAATTTGGTGAACAAAAAAATACACAGAAAAAAATACTGGTGAAACATATAAATTATGAAGTACAATGATGATGACGGTGAGGACGATAATGGTAACAATATCTAAGGTAGTGAAACGTGTGCGTGTGTGTGTGTTTGTCGTGACATAGTTAGATGATGACAAAGAATGATATGAGTTCTCTCAGGTACAATAAAGTAAACTTATTCTTTTACACTTAATCACTAATAACTATGAGAACAAGAGAATTATAGTGTGCTAAAATACAATGTCATTAACTATTGAGTATTTTATGGTACTAAGGCTGAACAATTACATCACATCAACAGCCTTGTGGTAGGATAGGTAGACTATTCTTTATGTGGACAAGTGAAATATAGTTTAACAGCGACAAGCTCGCTAGTCCACTGAATTTCTTCAAAATGTTGGCAAAAACAACTGGAAAATAGCATATATCCCTCATGGTAGAGGCTTCGACGTCAGCCTACTGTACTACACTAATTAAATCTTCTTTCTTTCTATTATCATTTCAAAGGAACTGCCACTTACATTATCATTTGATATGGTTTTGATATGAATTGAAAATGGATGCTGCAAATTTAATATCTTTTATGGATGAACTAGCTATTACCTTAAAGGAATGAATGAAAAGTGAGGCGGCTCATACCTGTCTCTTTGCTTTCCTATCATCAGCCTCTGAGATGAGTTCCTGACGACGCTTCTTGATCGCTGCTTCTCTCTCCTTCTTCTTCTTAGCTTTACGCTTCTCCCGCCGGGCCACCCTGCGATCCCTTCGCTTGCGCCATTTATCCAGCTTAGGTGGTAGTAACCTGCTGGTGATGTCTGAGTCTTCTACGTTGAGTAGCAGAGCAGCGTCGGGGAAGAGGCCATGCTCAGCCATGAATTGAGCTTCTTCAGAGGTACGCGGGAAACCTTCCAAGATGAAACCTGTTGATCTGTAATGAATAACATACATTTTGTTTTAATGGTTATCCATAATGTACATGTTTATTGCCTTCCAAAATGAGCCTGTTGATTTACAAAGAAATTCAAACACATTTAAGAATACAGCTATTTACATCAAAGTAGTTTCCAAAGATATTTGAAAAGTCAGAAAATGATATGAAGTGTTCTGGATGATTTACAGAATATCTTATATGTATTAATGGGCCTATATAGTTTGTATTAACCATCAACTGCCCTTGACTTTCAAAAATCTCTGATCTGTACAGCATGAAATCATTCAAGATAGATATCAAATATGAAATTGAAAGTATAATTAAAGTACAAGATCAAATCACATAACACCTGGTACTTTCTCTTCTCTTTTTACAACTGATTGTTCAGGTACACCAACAAACTAAGTTTTAACCCTACTCTTTCCAAGTGCAGAGGGTTCTTAAAGGTATTACAAAGTTTTGGTATAGGGTCATGAATTTAGTTCAAATTAACATATTGGAAGCCTAAGCTTTCCTACAATATTCATTGATCGTTGTCGCGGTTGAAATCGAGTCTAAAGTTATGAAATTATAAATAATAAACTCTTTATGTTGTATAGCTCCCTCTCAATGTCAAGATATTAATTTAGCTATGAAACAATGTTTCTTGACTAAAATCGACCGATTAGCTATTCCCGTTTGGAAATTATATATCACAACTACATATTCTGAGATTTTCATAGTCGCAGCTACCATTATACAACCATAGACGCTATTTGAAATTCATCAAAATTTACCGGGAGCACCGGTAAATGTTTATATTCGATTTTTCTCGAAAACAGAAGTGTTTTAGGGGCTAATTTTTTTAGTGCTTATTATACATCCACAGGAGCATCCAAATATATCAAAATTGTAAAGATTCACTATCCACCCAATTTTCAAAATTTCCCAAAACTTTGTATTACCTTTAACAAACACAAGGTGGATACATACATACATGTATGATCTCCATGTAAGTTCCTATCAAAGGGGCATGAAGGTTGGGACGTCCATCTGCAGTCATATGAATGGAGCATAGAGAAGGGACTTACTTGTAAGGTTCCAGGTTCCACCAGTCAGGTACAAACTTCTCCAGGGAGTCTAAGCTCAGAGATTCATCTCCCATCAAATTACCTTTGATGTTCTCTTCAAACTCATCCAACTCCACCTCCTGCTCCTCCTCTCCCTGATTGATAGATAGAAAGAATAATGATGATGATGGTGGTGGTAATGATAGTGAAAATGTTGATGTTAATAATATTCTTACTTTATATCATTATTATTATTATTATTATTACTTATACTGTGCTTTTCCGACGAGGCTCAAAGCGCTTACAGTAAATGACAATTACATTTCATTCTTGTGAGTTATATGCTATATAGAGCTGTATAATGTTTCTCACTGCTTTCCAGTTCCCATTACAGATTTAATTGCAAAACAGGGAGTGGAGATGGCATATTCCTACCGCATGGGTCAACACAAGGGCATATGATGACTTTATTCATATTGTCAGTTTGGATCCTCTTAATTATTTGAGTGGGCAAAAATTAATGATATATAATTCATCAGGTTCATTATAAGCAAGTATTCAATGAATAAGAATCACGATCTAAACTTTAAAAACAATAACACATGAAAAAACATAAACATTGATTTGAAACCATAACTTACTCCTTCCTCATTATCCTCCTCAGTCTGTTCCGCTGCAGCTCCTAGTATCACAATGATAAAAGGGGGAAAATACATCAAATTACATAGAGATTCTCAAAACTCACAAGACTCTATAGCAATATACGTAAGATGTGACAAAAATAATAAAGATACCCCTGCACACATAAAAATTGTGAAATTAACAGTCATAAAATGCATGTATGTGACAGGGATTGGCATTCATTTAGCACCAGAGTGCCCTGTCATTTTGCTGCTAAGGAATTTTACTAGATTATTTTCTGCTAACATTGGGTTAAATCAATAGTGCCAACAGGTGACTATTAGTATAAATAGTCAAACAAAGATTTACCATCTGCTGGTTCTGATACGACCGGTATTCCATCCTTCTGTCCTTCCTCCGCATCACTCTCCTCTGGCTCCTCCTCCTCCTCTTCATACTCTGGTCCAATCTTCTTCTTGGTCTTCTTGATGATGAGTTCTTGGAGACGATCTTTGAAGCTGATGTGAAAGAGCCCAAGTTTGTCAGCCATAGCACGGGCATGCAGAGACTTACCAGCACCCTTAGGTCCAAGCATCAAGAGTCTTACTGGTGGGGGCTAGGGGATACAAATAAACACAAAGAAATATAAAGTACACTGTATCTCATATAAGAGTGTATGTACTCTACATGTAATGAAAATCTTTTATCATATACATGTGCATAGTCATCATGAGTGGAAAGAATCAAGAAGGCATGACACAAATCAGACCAAGATTAAGACACTTCCCTCTTTTTTATGTACAGATTACTGTAATGGTTAAGGGAATCTCTCGTTTATTAGTAGTCAATTTGGTGTAAATAGTATGATGACATAGAAGTTTAAACATTTCCAAGTTTTGTCCGCAAAATTGTTTCTTAACTTTTTTGCTACTTTCACCTTTTTTAAGGAAACATACACCTTCCATTTTTCATTTACTCATGTAGTCTTAACACTGCATTCGATTGTGTTTCTACCGATCAACCTTAACTACGTTCTAACTTACCACAAATGGTTTTCCTTTAGCGACATAGCTGGTGGGTTCAGCAATGAACTTATCCCTTGCCTCTGGATTAGAGCAGTAATAGACCTTCTCTCTGTACTTGGCTGCTATCTCTGGGTTCCCAGGCCATAAAACATTCTGCTCCTTCAACGCTACAGGACAGAAGTGTTTCGTGTCACCAAACTGCTTCTTTTTGTTCTTGGTCACTTCTTCATCCTGGAGAAATAAACATAAAGAAATCACAATTTGTAAACTCTCTCTCTTTCCATAAAACCATTATTAGATTGGCAAGATTGACTGACAGCATGCTGTGAACACAAATTTGGTCATATGTTTAAATCTACTTCATACTAACTCTACATCAAGAGTAGATCTTGAAAGCAATTTCTGAAAAAAAGGTAAATTGAGGTCAAACTTAATGGATGGTGAGTTGTAGTTATACCTCAACTAATTCAGATTGGCCGAAAGAGGACATGTTTTCAAGGCTGGCAATACATTTGAACTCTACATATAACCATCCCTAAGATAAATGCACTGAAGTATCGATGAAGATGTGTCACCATGGGTACTACAGTCAAACCTGCTTTAGTGACCACCTGTCTACAAACACCACCTGTCTACAACAAGCACATTTTTTGTTTCCCTTGAAAATGGTTTCTCATTGAAACATGTACTAAAGGAACCTGTCCACAAAGACCACCAGTCTACAAAGACCACTTTTGGTGTGTCCCTTGGGCTGTAAAGACAGACTTGACTGTACTCCCAAGGCATCTTATATCGTACCTCTTCCTCCTCCATCTCGTCTCCCTCCTCATCAGCCTCGGCCGCTGCATCCTCATCCTCCTCATCCATATCAATGCTGTTGTACTCCCATGGTCTGTAGGTGTACGGCTCTAAACACAGAGGAAATGGGAAGTTGATGTTAACATTATAATAATAATAATAATAATAATAATAATAATAATAATAATAATAAGCATTTACATAGCACCGTCTATCAATTCTATTCCGAGGCGCACAAGAAAAATAGAAAGAATGAAAGTTTGGATGAGTATCATAGTGTACAGGTATTGTTAAACAAAGATAAGATTTCAGCTTGGATTTAAATGTTTTTAAGGAAGTTATGATTCTCAAATTAAATGGTAAATTATTCCAAAGAGAAGGTGCTGCAGCTGAAAAGGCCCTTTCACCACAGGCTACTCGCGTCTTGTTATGTTTTCAATGAGAGAAAGAAAACAGAACGGAACCTGTTGAAGACGATCCAATACTGTTTCATTTACATCTGCCCCCGTAAAAAGAAATCCCAAATGACCCTCAAACAACTTCCTAGGGTATCATTAAAGTAGGGGTAAATGTTTGAGGGAGGTTATTTATTGGGATGGGGCTATTGGATATTTTCCTCGGAATTCGTTAACCTAGGGGTATAGTATATGTCCTAGAAGGTAGCTACATGTAGGTAGGGTTGTTTTCCTAGAGCAGGATGGTTTTCTTGGGCAAAAGCTTCCCTAGATCTTATAACCTGTATCTGGTCTCCCTCATAATGTATTTCCACTCCCATCTATCCCCCACTGTGTGATCTAGTTGCGAGAGGTATGACTTACGTTCCACCATGTTATGTGATTCCTTGATGATATCTTCAACCTGCTTGTTCTCAATCTCTAACTGGAGGGGTTCTAGGTTGATAGTCCCAGTGAGTAGAGCCTGGATGGATGGCCACTCCCTCTCAAAGTCATTCCTCTGTTCTTTGAACTTGGTTGTCTCTGGTCCATCAGGAGGAAGCTGATCTTCTTCAGGGACTGGGATGGGTATTGCTTCCTCTTCCTCTTCATCTTCATCGGTCTTACCTGCCACGGAGAAAGGCAAAAGATGAAAATCACATCGATAATAATAATAAATAAGAATAATAGGCATTTATATAGCGCAGTCTATCTAGAAATTCAATTCCGAGGTGCACAAATTAATTATTAACACCAGCCTTAGCCTAGCTGCCATTAGCCTAGCTGCCATTACAGCGCTCTAGCATTTCAAGGAATAAATTCCTGCCAGGTACCCATTTACCTCACCTGGGTCGAGTGTTGAAAATGTAGATTGATGCTTTGCAAAAGGACATTAGTGCCATATCGGGGATCAAACCACGAGCCTCGAATTTCAATTGATATACTGGAGCTTATGATTTCTTTATTTGCCTATACCGGTAATCGTTTTAGAGTCTATTTTCTACATTTTTTTCTAATGGTTTCTCAGAGCTTTTCAGAGTTATAAACACACTCTGTTCTTTTTTCTATTGTAACTGTCATAGCAAATTTAATAAACTACTTTCATAAAATCAGACCAAAGGTCTAAAAGCTCATTGGGTTCAAGGATCAAACATACCTTATCCCCCCCCCCCCCCCCATACAGTGAATCTAATTTCTTCTGTTTCATATTTTTCACAGCTAGATGAGATGGTAAATATAAAATCAAATCTCTATTAGTTTGTAAGCCTGGATAAGGCAACCAGTGAAAAGGGCTTATGAAGCATTTCTTATGACACATAGTTTCTATAATGATACTCAACACATGCCCCCTACCAATACCATTATATCCTGTGATTTGTTATTCTGTTGTAGAAATAGTACTACCGTCACATTTTTCTCAAACCTCTGCCTTTTTTTCTCAGTTTCCTTCTGGAGATGATATTGTAAGTCACTGAACTGAGGCACAATAAAATAACAATCTCTGCCCAAGTTGTTGTCATATGTATATCACTCTTACATGGGGGAAGAGCCTTTACCTTTCCTTTTTACGGAGACCATAATCACACACTACAATAACAAGTTTCATGCTGTATACCTTTATCTTCATAAGAAGTAATAGTGGTACCGGTAGTAGGGTCTGCATCAGTAGCGCCTTCTGTATAGATGTATCAGTATGTTATGTCACACAGGCAAAGGGTTCACAAAGATATGGATGTATACATGGTTTGAGAAGGTTGAAAATTAAGAAGGGTTTAGGAGATTGTGAATGCAGTATAGCAGTGTAAGTAGCAAGAGCAGTTGTAGGAAAGTTTGAAGGATAGATGTAGAGCAAGCAGCATGTTGTAAATGATTGATGGCAGTGTTGGTTTTATTGAGAATACAAGAATGATAAAGATTTGACAAAGATGAACAACATATGGATGAGACAAGATTGATTGAGAGTGAGGAAAGGAAAAGAGTGCGTGAGATGTGAGGTGTGTGGATTATTGGGAAAAAGCATAAATAATATGAAGCATTAGCACTCGTAATAAAAATACAATATTGCAATATAAAAGTGACAACAGATGCACCATTACTTCATACTGTGTTAAAGCATAATGAAAACTGTAATAGCAAATACTTACATGTAGCAAAGCATATTATGTAAGTAAAGCACATGAAGGTGATTCTATGTGCATCCTTATTCTCATATGTGAAAGTACAAACATTAATCTCAGCAGATGAAAGTATTTATTTGGTACAATACAATTCAATAAAATATAACCTACAAATTCTTTTTCGAATTTCTAAACAGGTTCAAGATTAGTATTTTTTTTTAAATATCATATTCATAGAGCTACATCGTGATAAATGTGGTGATATTTTGATTACTCCACAAAAATGGTCTTAATATGGTGTCAATATTATAAAACAAATTCTCGTATTCATCATATAAAAAATGTAAAACATACCTTTGGAATACTAAGTACAGTAATAATCGGAATATCGTCAACCTCAAAACAAGAGTCCAGTACAATTCCATACCCCAAAATGTAAATACCACATACACCCAAAATCTAAAATGAATACCACTGTACCCAAATTTCACTTTAGAAATAATCTGTCACTCTCCTAACCGTAAATCGAACTTCCCATAAACTCTACCAGTAATGTATGAAATAAGGGAGTTTACAGATACAATCTGCGCATGGGCAGATAAAGGTCATTTGTACCAAAATGGTAAAACCCAAAGAGATGAACACTGGATATGCGCTCATGAAAGTTATGTAACGTTATTCATTTATGCACCAACGGTATACTTCCACCTGCGTATCATACGCAGGTGGAAGTATTCTTTCCAAGAGGTCAAACAAAAGGTATTCATGAAGCGATCTAGCACTTTGGCAGTTATTATTCTAAGATGCTCAAAGTGGAACTTCTCCATGTGTAAAAGATCTATGGATATTTGGGGTCATTTGTACCATGTGCTATCTGTAAACTCCCTTATTGCCCTAAATCACTGCACACATGTTAGTAAGCCTGGTGCTCTACCTTTAGGTTTTTGTTCACCATCAGACACGCCCGGAGCTGCATCACCCTCTACCCCTCCACCAGAAGTGGGAGAAGCTGATTTAAAGTTATGAATATTCAGCAGGTTAATCATACATATTCATAGTGGGTATACACCAAGATTAATGAAGCAGCAAAAGCCCCAAAGTGACAGTCATAAAGAAGGTTGTTACATATATATATATATATATATATAATATATATAAACCAGGTACAAAAAACTTTCAAAGAAACACAGAGACCAAACAACCCAGAAAATAAGAAGCATTTCACAACTGCAATCACTGAACAGATTCTATTCTGGATGTCTCATTCTCGGTTGAGTAAAATTCTATATCTTCATCACATACTTGCATGTATGTAGTACGTTACATGCAATATCTACTACAAATTAGAATACCATACATGCATAAAGATTTAGCTTTGTATGGTGGCTTAGAACATGTAACATGTCTGCAAAAATATCATGTGACCAGATGGCAAGGAATATCAATCGAGTATGCAAAAGCTAAGCTGAAATATAGTGTTAGGAATGAAGTGAAGGATATATTGCAACTCATCAGGGAGGCATTTTCATTTCAAAATTTCCTTCTAAAGCTGCATAAAGGCTAGGTTTTTTTATAATATTTTTATTTTATTTTATCAGCCTATGCTCTACCCCTCTCTGCTCTCTCTCTCTCTCTCTCTCTCTCTCTCTTTCTTTTCTCTTCTCTTCTCTTTTCTTTCCTTTGCTTATTTCACCCATCATTTTTTTTCTCTCTATACTTTTCATTTTCTCCTCAGAATCTTCTTTTGATCCCATTTTCTGACAACCACGACCTCTACTTGTCTATTTATTGTATCCATTGAATGAAAGGAAGAGTAAAAGTTAGTAGACTGGACAAATCCATAAACAATCCACAGCAAGTTAGATGTATGATGAAAGGATTCTACCTTCTGCTTCATCCTCTCCACCTCCCGCTCCTCCATCTCCACCTGTCTCTCCATCCTTCTCTCCATCCTTCTCACCTTCTTGGTCTCCTTCTCCTTCTCCTACTTCTTTCTCTCCTTCAGGTTTCTCTTCTTCTGCTTTCGCTGCTGCTTATCATAATGAATAGCGTGAGGTCGCATTACAGATTACATGTGCAAGGAGATTCATTTATGCACATTTTGCATTATAGAAATATCTAATGGGCATGCATAAATCATAAATCATGCTGCGATTTATATGCCATTGGTGTATTTATATATGTGTGTGTGTAGCATACACAAATACAATCCAGTGCTCAATACTTTTCATTAAAATGCTCATGCAAAGTCACCAAAAACTGTACTGCTACTGCTGTTGCATTTCCAATTTTCAATCTCCATATCCAATAACCCTGCCACTACCACTACCACTTCTACTACCATTGCTACTACCACTATCACCACCACTACCGCTACTAGCTACCATTTCCTATCCACTATCACTACTACTAGCACTAGCACTACCACTTCCACTACTACTACCACCACCATCACTACCACTACCGCTCCTACTACCATTTCCTATCAACTGCCACTACCACTACCACTACAACTACCATTTACGCTCCCACTACCCCCTCCTACCACTACTACCACCTGTACCATTACTATTATTCCTGTTTTTTTCTGCTAAGCTGTTAATATATACTTAGCCAAGAAAGAGATATGCTATAACTACTGAAATTAAAAACAAAAATACATAATCATAATATCTACAAGCCAGAGGCTGCAACTAAATATACATTAAGCTTGTGATCATACACTATTGTCCATCTGCATTTTCTTACTGTTTTGGCTACATGCATAAGCTAAATATATGTGTAGTTTCTTGAAGCTTGTGAGTCTGTCTGTCTGTCTGTCTCTATGTGTTGTCTATCAGGTTTACTTACCATCTTCCTCAATGCCTTCCTGAGCTGCGACCAATTTAGCTGCTTCTTCTTTCATCTCAAGTTCTTCCTGGATCCTGCATCACAGCAAAGATAACAAACCAATCCCACAATGATATTGCATTTCTATTAAAAGGCTATGAGTCAGTGTATCCTCTTCAAATTGGCAACACTGAATGATACCTTCCATTTATTGTTCCTCGGTGCCAAACAAAAATCAGAGGGAGTGCAAAAATGTGTAAACAAGCCATGCAAATAACATGAAATAGAACAATCAAAACTCTATCTAAACTGCAAACTACAAATGATTATAGGAATGAAGAGTGTATGCTTATAAGTCCTGTAATTATTTATTAAATGATTTTGTTTATATATTTTTTTACTATTCATATTCAAGAAATGCAACAGTGTATCACTTTTTCCCCATCCACCTCAGGGTTGTTTGTTCTTTGCTAATGCATCTATTATTTACTGACTTTGTATCATGGGATTTCATTTATTAAAACACTAATAAATCATACTGAAATGAAATTAACTCTCAATTAAGTTCTGTAAGAACAAAACGATTCTGAATTTGTCAAGGTGTTGTCTATTTGAAGATCTTGGTGCACGGTCTTCAAATCATGTGCATGAAGTAATACTACTGCAACAAAAAAATGGGCACAAGAAGTGCACAATTTCTGCTTATGGATTTCATAAAAGGTGTAGAACTCTGAATTGACAATGAAAGTGCAAAACCACAAAATACTGGACTCTGTTCCTAAAGGGAAAAACAATGATCATTGTTCTTTCGTTATGTGGATGGTAACAAAAAACTAAAGCTACACCAGTATGCTGAAGGGATAACAATAAGATGATCGCAAATTGAAAGAACTGCAAAATAAAAATATATGATTTCAATGAAAATTAATGAATAAAAAAATTGCTGGAAAACGGTCACAAAACTGAGTGCATTGCTGTGTGAATGAGTAGCTCTTGTTTTACCTGTTGAGTCCTGTGCTACTTGTAGGACCTCTAGATGAATTACTTAAGATTAGAAGAGTGAGGGAAGGAAAGAGCAACGATTTTAAAGCATTGATAGACAGAAGGGTTAACCAGTGAGGAACCTTGCTGTTCCCAAGTGGAAACGTATATACAGGGAATTAGCTTCAAGATGGAAACTGGATAAGATTTTCATATATACATCGATGGTGTTACGCTTAAGTGGAAGTGGAGATATGAAAGCTAATCCTTAGACAGAGGAGTGTCGTGAAAGCAAACGATTATATTACAGAAAAAGCAGATAAATGATAGTGCTTGAGCGGTTATTTTACATAGCTCTCCGATGACTCTGTTTGGATTTATAAATGTTCAGGTGGTAGAAATACATGAAGGCATACTCTGCTATTTATTGGCTCGTTACTCCTCTTCCTTTGAGTGTATTTCTTTTTCTTTTTTTCTTTCTGTATTTGTCAGATACTCTATTGAACTCATATACAATTATTTGTCAAATTACTGCCCTCTTACATTTGATTATTTACATCTCTCTAAAGTAAACATAATCTGTCCTGGTCATTTTTCCACATCTCCCAGGTACCTATTCTTTACAAGCTATAATTTTCTATAGGTTCCTGTGAATTTTCACAGTTTTTTACTTTTCTTGTCTCGATTTCTTTTAACACGATAATAGTTGTCAAACATAATTTGTCAATTACTATAATCATTTTTGATTATGAAACAATATGTCTTTTATGTAAATTTTGTTTTGAAATGTGAAACCAATAAACTCAACTCAACTCTGCATTGAATATTAACAGCATTGAAATATTAACTGCATTGAAAATAAACTCAACTCAACTCTGCATTGAATATTATGAAAGTAATGATCATATTCATCAATGGAAGATTCATATTTATATTACTGGCAGGAGAGGTGATTTCTGAAAGTCGCTGCAAATAATTTAGAAAGAGCATACAGGCAACAGCTCTCAACAAAGAAAACAAACTATTAATTGTTTAATATCTACATCCAGGAATGAAGGTAGCCCATGCCCATCAATGATTAATGCAGAAAGTAGGGATTACAAATGTAATGTATTTCACTTTTACAGGAGTCAATTTCAGCACAGGATGTAGGTTAGGTTTTGTTTTAAAAAACATGTGAACAAAATAAAAAAATATATATATTCCCAATTTACATCATGAGCCATTTAAATTTGGAGCCATATTTTTATGCCCACAGCATAGAAAGGGTTAATTTAAGCTTAGACTCTTGACACCTGTCACTTTTTGTCCTACCTTGAATCTTCTATGATCCTACGTTTCTCCCTGTCGTCTGCTTCCTTCCTCTCCCTAGCCTTAGTGTCTACCTCATGCTTGTTGAGCCTGTACCAACGCTTCATCAGGTAATGACCGTTTTCACTGCTATCCTTGAGACAGATGACCTCATCAGGAGCTAGACCACGGTCAAGCAGAACTGTCCAGTGATCACGAGACTGAGGGAAGTTATCAATGATCCATCCACCAGCACTGGGAGAAGGCAAGAAAATAGAAACAGAGACGATATACGCAATGATTAAAATGGATTTTGCGAGGGAAACAAAAATACAAACCTTGAAATTATGTAGCAAGACTTAAAACGTATGATGAAACTTTGAAGAAAATATGAATACATAGATTAAAAACAATACCAATGACTTGATGTACGATGCAATAGGTATAGGCATGGCAAATTGAGGAAGGATTCAAGAAAACTATCTCTCTCAGAATAATGCTGGTATTATTACCCTCACACCCTTTTCACTAATGAGCTCACTAGTAGTACCTATCTGATCTACTCAACTTACGATGGACCTGTAGGATCTTTCTTCCTGAGTTCTCTATGTATCTCAACTATAGCCTCTTCTACACAGTCTACATACTGATCTGCTCCAATAGGATACGAGAGCTTCTCCGCTTCCCTCACTGCAGCATCTACCATCAGCATCACCTACAAGCAAGCAAATCAATATCAACAATCATTTATAGATGACATGCATTAACCTTTATGAATTCACGAAGATGCTTAACCGATAGCAAAGATTCTTCCTTGTTCAACAAGGTAACCAGGATGGTTTATATCATTATTACAATTGTAGATGTAATCTAGTGTTTACTACCGTGATGGATGATCATACTATGTACATTTTTGAACTATGCAGAAATATATAGGTATATAAATAAATAAACAGATTCTATGACACATCAAAAAGACTTTACCCAACAAAATGAACGGAGAGTGAGCGTATGTGCTGAGTGCCAAAACAGCATCTTTTGGTGATTGAAAAACTGGCAGCTACCTTCGATCAGTTTACCAGTATACATCTGAGGAAGGTGTCTGAACCATGTATGTATATCATAACTCGCACAGGTCAATATAAATAGTTTTTGGATTCCTAATCATCTCTTTCTTACCTCAGCATGGTTTTCATCCACATCTTCAGACACCTGTGATACAGTAGGAGCGACCCCAGTGATAGTAGACATGTCGTCAGTAGGATGATGGGAGGGTGCAGCTGCCTCCGTACCATCTCCCTCGGTCACTCCTGTAACAGACTCCTGGGCTGTGGCTTCACCTGGTAAAATGAAAGAAGACGACTTTAGGTTTCAATGGTGATAAAATAGTTTGATGTTTACAATCATGACATTGGATGGCTACACAAAAAGATCTTCTGATATTCTTCTTTATAACAGCCATGGTCAAAGAGCATGGTGATCGAGATATTAATACATTAAAACTCATTTATGAAAAAAAAGGGGTTTATTAAAGCCCACTGCATTACTTATAGCTACTTGCGCCCTCTATATAGCAAACAATGCCTAATCGGTGAGCATTGGTCCCCCATGGTCCTCTTTTTCTTATGTTAATTGAGAGCTGATTTGATGATATAATTCCACCTGTCAGTGACCATGCAGAGAGGTCTAATCCCTCCTGGCCAAACTAGTGCAGATAGGTTTTAAATCAGCTAATAGCATAATATTCCTAGACAACTGACAAGATATCCTTGGCATTAGCTCATTAAAAAAAAAAAATCTTATCATCGCTTTGAAGATCATGCTGAGACTATTCATTAAGTTTTGGAGTGGACAGACTTTCTTTAAGCATTATTTTGTCATCCTTACCTTCATCTTCCTTCTCCTCAGAATTATCTGCATCTCCTTCAGGCTCCTCTGTCGTCTTTCCAAAGGATTTCTCTATATCAACAAAGAGTTCGATTTATACTTAAATGACATATTTGACAATAATCACCTGATACTACAATTAGGTCACATGATATTTTGAATAAAATCACAGAGTCTACAGATAAGGTATGACGGGGTAAAAAAAACTGCCACATTTTTTTAAAACTATGTAAATGAATAGCAATTGCGCCCAACAAAGGTCCTGCATGTATTCAATGAGCTCTGTGAGAAGCAATTATTACACTTTACATCATTTAAAAAAAACGCCATTGTATTGCTGCTGAGTCATATCTGAATGAGGCATCATAATATCTCCTAGCACTAATGACAAGATTACCTGTTACAACGGACATAGTGGAATGGGCTAATACAACTGAAAGTTAATATGATACTACTGTTGTCGCCTGTATTTGCATTATGATCGCTTTCAGAATAATTCAAACCAAAATGGGCAATATAATGGACCAAATACACTTTGAAGTAGAATATATCTATTCTAGACAAACAGATCAAATCAAACATTTTTAATGAAATGTTGATACATATATATGTAAATCATAAAGTAACTTTAATCATCAAACCAGCTATTATTTACACAGCAGAGTTAGTGAAAAATAGAAATTGGTAATAGTAATTAGCTTTATACATGGACAGCTTTTTTCATATAGGGTTACCTTAATTACATTAGCTATACTACTGGTATAGGTCCAGAGTTGGAGTTATTAATCAGTTAGTGATAACAATTGACCATGGAGTAATTGTTGCAGCCAAAACTGTTATTGTATATCCCAAACAGTTTTGAAAAGAGTTATTTCAAATAGTTTGAGTACGTTTCCTAAGCTATATTATAACTTTGGAAGTAACTTTTTTTTTCCTTTCATTTTATATTGGTATACTGTGGCAACTGTCTTCATTAGGCCTACTAATGAGCTAAAACCATGCTAAATAATTTATGATGAATAAAAGATTAGCAGCATATTAGATAGTCACAGCACACTATGAATACAGGGTCCCATTTCACAAAACTTGTCATCAGTGACAAATGACAGTTTTTGTTATAAGCTACTGAAATCCTTGCTTTTGATTGGTTATCAGCAGATTTGTCATTGCTTTTTGTCGTTTGTCATTGAGAAAATGCATTGTGAAACGGGTCCCTGGTTTGTTGCATTCATCTACAATCTAAAATGAAATACAATTGAATGTTAAGATGATCTTGCATATTGCTAACAGGTAGTGCATTCCTTTAATGCATTCATTTCTAACAAAATGATTATTTCCATATTTCAAGCTGATTCTTTTATAAACCTATTGAAACATAATTCAAAGGGTTTCAAAAGTTGAGATATCCAAATTTCAAATAATTGTTAAAGCTGCTCTTCAGGTCCTGTACTTCTTGAAGGCTTGAAAGGAATGTATCTACAAGCCTATATGGATGTCTTGAAATAAATGCACAGAAATAAACGTAACCCTCTTTTACAAAAACTAGCATTGTTTTGATGGGTTATGTGATTTATCAAAGGTAAACTATTCAACATTTTAATTGATCAATATTAATCAATACAAAATAAACAGAAAATTTTAAAGGCAATTGCATAAGATAAATGGCATATTTTTATAGAATATGTAATGGTCTGATGTTAATGTTGATCAAGACCGTTTGCCTCTGCAATAATTGCGAAAGTCACTGAAGAGGATAGAATAATCACTACAGAAAAAAGCTGGAAAAAGAGGAGAGATGTACCGGAAGGAGACTCAAAATATCACTAGCACTTTTGTGAGAAATGGAATTTTAATTGAACTCCATGGCAACCAGAGTAATAGTGATGGGTGGTGCTGATGAGGAAAGCCAAGTTATGAGAAGATAGATGATTGAAGTTTGAAAGCAAGCCAGAAACATCACTCTCAAACATAATACCTCCATCTTCTTCTCCCTCCTCTCCTTCCCCCTCCGCTCTAGACTCCTCCGTGTCCGATGTCTTCGCTTCTTTCTCCTCTGATGAGCGGTAACGAGGGGGAGGGGCATGAGGAAAGGTCAAGGGTCGGTTCCAGGTGAATGAGTATGATGTTTGTGTAGACCATGATGCACGGGGGCAGGGTGCAACCATGAGGGGGGGGCGGGGGCGGTGCAATATATATGGAGGATGGGGGGTGCCGATGTGATGGACATGCAAAGCAATGGGAGGGAACAGGAAATAAAAATGGATAAGTTAACACAAACCCAGAATGAATAGAGTACATCCCATCGTGTTTCACCTTCTCAAAGATAGTACAGTCAAACACATTAGATTTACAGTAGATAATCTTTTTCGGGGGGTTTAATTCCATAGTATAGTGTTTTCAGTCAAATATACCATAACAACAGATTATAAAGACTATTTTTCTTGTTCATCAATATGATTTTCATCCTTAAGCTTGACTTTACATGAAATACCCACTCCATAGATATTACCAGTCTGAAATAATTGAAAATAGTTATTGCATAATCCCAAATATCTAGAATATTGTAAGACAAAGAGAAGGACTTGGAACGGAGATCTGACTCTTGATTGGGGTAAATTCTTCAAATCCCACAAGTAAATGATTTGAGGGGGGAGGGTTATTTGTCCTTACCCAGAAATAAAATATGAAAATTCACTTTGACAACATTCCTGTTCGATTAAAATGAATAAAAATATGCCATTGTCATCACTTGATTCTAGAGACGACATTTAACTTTCACATTAACAATAGTCAGTATGGTACGCATTCAAATAAGATCAAATGACCCAGCTGTGTAAGCAAGCTAAATCATTAAAATCAAATGTTAATTTTCCTCTGTTAAATAGTAATACAAACCATTATGCCTTTGTTACAATATCTTTTAGTTCACAGTGTACATAGTGCATCAGCTGGTAGTAGTTGCACAAACACAGGACAAATTAGAATTCATTTTCTGTCATAAAATGCATATTCACAATATATGTGGTACAGCTATTGGGTTATCAATAACAATTAGATTGATGGGGGATTTTAATACACTGCATTTCCTTTGCAAATAAGAGCAAAATTAGTCTTAAATATCAAACGTAACACCTGTAATTTTAGCAGCAGCATACACTTTACTGTACTACAGGAGAAAAAAATTGATGAGTGGAAAACACACTCATTTAATCGGCTCATAAAATAATCCATTGGAGCAAATACTGAAAGACATTCACAGGCATTCAAATTGAGATGATTCCAATCTACCTTGATGAAGTTAGAAATACGATTAGGATAAGGTAACACAAATGACATATTATATTCATACAGTTATGCAGAACAAAGTCTTGTTAGTAAACAACAGGGGCATGTCAAAGTGATTGCAATGATGTGAGCAAAAATAAGTACAACCTTCCAAAACATCAAGCGTAAGTGGCTCCTCATCAGGGCCACCTAGTCACTCTTGCAAGAATACGTGTTGTAACCGCAAGCTTTGCTCACATCTATCTTCACCATGGAAACATTCAAAGATTACATGATTGCAAAGACTAATAGTATACTAAAGGGGTGAAGCACTGTGGGTGTAACTGGGCACTATGGGTACCAGGTGAACAGAGGGGGTATGAGGTGGGTGACATAAGGTGGAATGAAGTGGGGTAGGGTTGGGTGCTGTTGTGCAGGAGATGGTGCACATTGTTCTACCTTCAGGGATATCATCGTGATCATCAGCACCATCCCCTTCAGATCCAGCTAAGATTGCACAGAGTTTTAAGTAAGATCGTGGGATACGATTAGAAAACAGAACAGTTCCATTATCCCAGTGTAGTTTGTGTATTCTGAGTATCCAGAGAATCTTATGATTTGCTTGGAAGCTCACTGATCAAAATAGTGCTGATAGAAATCACAACATATGAACACACACGTTTTGCTAAACGTTTTCTTTCATTCTTCCTCAGCACCTATCAAAAATACAAGATTACCTCACTTCATTTTAAAAATTCTCCATCTCACACAATTTTACTTATTGAGGTCACATTTTGTTTTGCTATGTTCCGAGAAAGGATGAATGAATTTAAAATCTTTTGTGTGTTCATATTCTAATATTTCAGATTGCAGAACTTCCATACAAATAGGTCATAAGTTTCTTTGATGCTCAGCACATTTCAAACGTGGAATAAAACAAGGATTCAAGATAGTTTGATGAATCAGCCAGAATAAAACTGATTTCTCAAGAAAATTTGGAGCGATGCATGTACATGTATACAGATAAGATAGACATTTCCTAAACAGCCAAAGAAATTGACAGTCAGAATGCACCCTCAATAGAAGTGCATGCTGGTGAGAGACAAAGCAGTTTGAAATCATACACTAATACACAAATAGCATGAAAAAGATTATTCCATAAACCTCTCATCCGACATCATCTTTTAGAATACAGTTCAACTTTGCAAGACCTTGACTCTGTTACAAAAATATGGCAAGTTGACAAACAGTAGTCTATAAAATATTCTGGTATTATAGAACATTTCCTCTTCCCTTGCTCTTTGATTACTATTTTCAATGCATTACAAAATACAAAATTAGCTGTACTGGTTTTAATTTACCTCCCCCCCTCCCCCCCCCCCCCCCCTGAATTAACTGTACCTATAACCTTAATGCTTCAGAGGCATGCTCACACAAGAACTGTAATATGCAAAACATCTAATAACTTTGTATCTATATCTCTCTAAAAGCAATACACAAGCTATATGGTTTGCATTAATGTCCACTACACTAGAGAACAGGCCCTAAGACCATATGTTTTACGGTTCAGCCCTAAGTTGAGAAAAGAAAGATTTACTCACTTTCTTCCTTCTCTCTGAGCTTGGCTTTGATGGATGATATAGCCGACTCTAAAGCCTCCTGTTTAGCAAGCTCTATCTGCTTGGCTTTGTGCGACTCCATGCGAGATTTGATCAGTTCATTCACATCTAGTACCTAAAAGAGAATCAATAATAAATCATCAAAATGATGAGGATAATGGTGGTGGTGACGATGACAAAGATGATGATGATCATTATGTAAGACCATGATGGGGATGACGATCATAGAGAAGATGATAATCAAGATCATCTTATCTTTTAGTATATAATCTGAACATTGTATTAAGTTAATAGCACTTCTAAGAGCTTTGATAAGACCAGCTAAGACATGAAATGGCACTTTTTATGTGAATTCATATGCAGAACTTCACATATATTAAGTAACAAATAGGACATCCAATGAGCAAATACTATGATACTAACCATAGCATTAAACTTCTGGGAAAGTAGATGGCAGAGTGATGTCTTCCCTGAGAGAGGTGGTCCTACTACACACAGCTTACATGGAGGCCTAGGCTGAGGGCTCACTAGGTAAGGACGAGGGTTCTTCAAGAAGATCTCCACAGCATCAGGACTGGACATCACATAGATCTTATCCAAGAATCTATAGCACAAAGACAAAGAAACAACATTAAATGAACAGTTATTTATATACAAATTTATCCCAAATTCAATCTTTTCAGGGCTTAATTGGCATGATATAAATCTCTTCCCAGGATCTACACATAGACATCTAGGGTAGCAATAAGCTTTGTTTTTAAAATGTTGATATGCTGAAAACTACCAAATGATTCAAGAGAGAGAGGGAGAGAGAGAAAAGGAGAGAAAAAAAAGAGAGAAAGAGAGAAATGGAGAAAGGGCTAGAGGGAGAGAGAGAGAGAGAGAGAGAGAGAGAGAGAAAAGGAGATAGGGTGAGAGAAAAGGCAAGCTCAAAAACTTACCCAACAGCGAATTCTGGTTTGCCTTGAACTACATTGCCTTTCTGCAGCTCAACAGGACATGCCCTTGCCCACTTGCTCCTCCTCCATCTGTATCTCGGGGCAACCATGTTGGTCGCGCCCAACGTCCTCATGAGCTCTTCCGTATCGACATCATCAGGGATGTCTTCTTCCTCTGCGTTCTGGAGACGGATTGGAACGGCAGCCCGACGGAGGATGTAGGTATTGAGCTTGTTCATTAGCTCTCTGAATAGGAAAGTAGCTGTCTTGTTCCCGTCCATCTCAATCAGGTATTGCTGATCATGATCTGCCACGTAATCCTGCAATTAAAAAAGAAAAGAAACATAGCATATGGAAATTTTCTTTTTTTTCTGTAGGATGAATTCACATATTAATAATAATTATAGCTCGTTCTTATACAGCGCTTTTCTGGACCGCAGGCCCTCTCAAAGCGCTTTACAGATAAGTATATTATTACCCCGGCCATTGGATTCAGGCTTACCCGCACATTCTCCACTCCCCGGGGAGCATTCCAGCCAGGCGTCATTTTTACAAGCGCACACTTGCTAATTTAACCACATTAGCTTTCGCATTCTACTGGGATTAACCATGCCTTTCTAAAAAACATCTTGTTTTCAAACACTGCTTACGACAAAACTTCAGATAATATTCAAAAATGCTGTTTTAAAATCTTATTTACGAAGCATTATTTTTCTGTACATACTCCAGTCGCCAGTTGCATTTGACGCTTTCATACAACATACAAATACACTGAGGTCATTCCAACAAGGGCTTCAACAATATTGGCTATAACAAAAGCAGTCACAATTAGGGTTATCGTACTTGGCTGTCTATAATTCCCCAATTTCTTTCTCAAAGTGAAAAGTGTTCATTTGATATCAGTGATGCGTCTGATATCTGACCCTCGTGACCATGAATGCAGTGCCTAGACCACTATACATCTCTACATAAACAAAAAAGAATACATACCTCAAACATCTTGAGTAGTTTATCCTTGTAGGCCTTGATGCTTTCAGCAGCATGAGGTTTAAAATCCTCCGGTCTCTGAACCAACCTTTCAATTATTTCCATTGTTAATTGTATCTTTTCTTCTTCTCCCTGATAAAGAAATAAAAAGTATGAACCACATGAGCACAGTGGAATCGATGCTATCACAATGACATGATTCCATGGATGTACATGTATTAACAGCCTGAAGAAAACACAACAGAAAAGTGAAGATACAAGTGTCGTGGAAACCATACTTGTATCTTACAACACACCGATAAGTGAATAAGACCCTTTGCCTTTTATTTTTCCACAACCGTTTTCCGATGTGATTCACTTCTTTATATTCGAATGTGGCTTTGGAATTACTGATATGATGACCTTACTGGTATATATTTTATAGCCTACTGGTAAATAGTTCATCTCTTCTTTTAAGGTTGCATTGCTCATGAATGTATACAAGATAATCTTTGTTAATGTACATGAAAGCTATTCAGAATAGATTTATCAATAATATTGTGATACATAAAAATTGCACTTTTCTATTGTTACAATGTTGCATGCAAACAAATGTAAACAAGATTTTGTGAGCTTTTACGAGTGGATTTCATGCAATTTCAAAATCATTTTAAATGGTTGACTTTATTACATTATGAACATAAACATAGTTTTACAAGATGATTTCGCATTGCCTTTATAACATCACTTGCAACACACTTATGAAGGTTACCGGTATACATCTTTGAATACAGTTGGGCTTGGGTGGGTACTGTAAATACAAACCACAAAGGGGGGGGGGGATATCTTCCATTGGTATGCTAAATAATATCTAACCACCAATACATGCAGCTGCTCCTTGACTAGCGATTTGATTGTAGTAAAGGTAAATAGAACTGAACATCCTACATGACTACATAAAAAACAGAAAATACAGGTAGTTTTTACAAGTAGTATTTTTTATACACTTTACACTACTGAATTATTTGTGGGTTTTTACATAAATTCTCCAAGCAAATTATTGTTTTGCCTCCAAGAAATACAAGATGCTTGGTTACTTTACTCTACATAAATATGAATTAAAGACTGTTTAATTGCTCATTGTACTTGAAAGGTGGATTTCAAAGCACCAATTTATTTTATAGTAATATAGTTTGTGAAGCAAGTTAATGGTGAATTTGTCTCATTTAAAGAAATCATTCATCCTAATCCTCTACTTTGACAGAATATGTTGTCTGTGGATATGGTTGATGGCTGTATAACCTGCCAGTGCAATGGTGCAGACAGAGATCTATATTGATATGCTACATAGACACTGTACTTACAGATTTCCTTCTTCTTAGTTTTTCAAGATAAAGTCTCAACTTGAAAATTAGAATTGAATGAGAGTCAAAGGTGACAGATTAGTAGAAGGAGCTACAAGTAGCTAACATCATAAAATATATATTTTGCTGCTAATACGACTCCAGAAGTACATGAATGAACTTATTACCAAAGTTGTAAACCAGCTAGAACAGATGCAGGCCTTTAGTTAATCACCAAATTCTACACAATCAATATAATCAAACAAAAGTAAACTACAGAACTGCTGCTAGATATCAAGTCAGTTTAAGAACACTTCTCTTTTAAAAAGGAAGGTAAAACAGAGAGATGGAAATTAAAACGAAAGCTTCAAAAGGTAGTTATCTACTTCTAGGTGTACTCTTTTAAAATGTAAGGTAAAACAGAGATGGAAATTAAAACAAAAACTTCAAAAAGTTATCTACTGTAAAACTGTAGAAATTTTTGAAGTAAGTTAAACATACAAGTACACAAGATAAAAAGAGAAAGAAAATCAAATGTTAGTAGGTTCCTGTATCACAAACTTATTTATAAATGCTGATAGCATTATAAGTTGTAAAGCAAACTTGCTCTCAACCAATCAAATACAATGCTTTCAGTAGCTTTGATAAGTTAACTTCTTGTTGATATGTTTAATGAAACAGGGATTCTCACCATCTCTGGATCTAGATTCATCTCTGGTTCTTCCTCCTCTTCTTCTTCTTCCTCCTCCTCCTCTTCATCCTCTCCTCCTCCTTTCTTCTGCTGAGTCTCTGGTTTCTCTGGGTTCCATACCTCCTGGGCGTAGAGCGTGTTGTTGAGAGAATCCACTCTCTGACCAACCCTCCTCATTTCAAGGTCTGCATCTGGTATCTATGGAAATAAAATCAAACACAGAATTGTTTTTATCTCCACAAGTTATGAATTCATTAAGTAATATAAAAAAAAAGATTCAATGATGTAACCCATTTACTTGTGATTGGTAAAAAACTGTACATGACCAAACCTTCTTGTCCTACACTACTTTCCGAAAAAAAGTCAGTCAAATGTCGAACTTTCTGGATAAGTATGTGCATCAGGCACACAAAGAGCTAACATACTGTGAACACAGATGCATGTACAGTTACAATGGGTATGAAATTAACTATGGCGATTTAACCTCATGCCATGCAGTTTCACAAAGGTAATCATGAATGTGAATCAACTGTTAACAACAAATCTGAGGTGCAGAAATCAAGGGTCAATTGTGTAACCACTTCTAACCTGCTTTCATAATGGAGTATTACAGAATATAAAGTATTCATCTTTACCTATTTCTATGATGGCACAAATATTCTATTAATCACAAAAATACAAAGAAGAAAAAAAGACTTAAATAATAAAAATAAATACAAATGTATGCATGGAGAGCAGGGGGGTCCAAATAAATATGGTATGGATGTACTCACCCTAAGGTTGATGATGAAATCTGGTTTAAGTTTCCAATTCTTGACAAACTCTAGTTGATCTGAAACATTCATGTATTCTTCATTCACACAGGGGAAATCATCCAAGACATAACCTAAAAACGTTCAAAATGATAAGAAACCATCATTATTAAGTTGAATAAAAATTAAAAAACAGAGGTACTTCAAAGAAATAATATATCCTAAACATCACATAGACAAGTCTTTACACTTTATCAGATTAATTAACATTGCACTACACAACTTGACAGCAACACTTACAGCAAATATGACCAGTTAACGGGAAGAAGAGAAATTACACATTCAGGCCAAACCAGTTGCCATCAAATACTTTGCACTTACCGTGATGTGCCACTTCTGGTGAGTTAATCTTATCTTCTATAAGCTTGACGGCTAGCTCTTCAGGGATTGCTCCACCCTTATGAAGGATCTCCTGTAGTCTCACACCCATCTCAGTCTGAAGGTCTATATGCTGCAGCATCAGCTCAGTTACATTCACCATCTGACATCTCCAGGCCTGGGCTAGTCTCTTGGCTAAGGTGGTCTTGCCCACACCTGGTTTGCCCAGGATGATGAAGCAGGTGGGTTTGGAGTGAAGGAACCGAAGCTCAGTCTGGGGGGGGGGGGCAGAAATGTGGGTAAAAATGATTAAAAGATGCATGCATTCCTTCCTTAATTTGTAGGTCATGAGTACTGGTCATCTTGTATTTTGGCCTAACCATGTTCTCATTGTATTTAGTAGACCATGTGTGATTAGCACCTCAGGAGTAACTGTACTCTAAATTGTAAAACCATACTCTTATTTCTCTTTTCTTGTATAATTTTCCAGATACACACTGATTTTGTAAGTTCCTTCTGATATTTGGTTCACATAATATATTTAATATTTTTACATTTAATTTTGTGTATATATAATTATGTTGTGAAATGACCTTTCTTATTCTTAAACCAACGGAGGGATAATGTCTGTCATAATGACGGATAAATCAATAAAGTCAAATTCAAATTCAAATCTTACGATAATTTTGAAACATTCAATGCATGCATTCAGGATTTTGTACAGTGTAAACTCACCTGGTCTTCATCGAAGGGATCTTCCTCCATGCGCTTCATCAACTCTGAGATGTGACTTTCCTGGGCATTGCTTCCACTCACAACACTGAGTGCCCTACTCATCACACCTCCTGCAGGGTCAAGCCTGCTGGCCCCTCTGTGATTGCCTTCTCCAGCCGCTGGCGTTACAGAGTCCAGCAAAATGTGAGTGTTGGGGCGGGTTTCCAGCATGTCTATTGTTACACTTGGGGTTGGTGCCCCAAACTGGGGTAAATTTGTTTCTTCCTGTAACAAATACAAAATACAAAAACTTTTTATTTTAAATCTAAATTATACATAATATCATGTGAAACATTATAATAACCATTGTACAACATTATTATTCTCCTACTATTTATTTCCTTTACAATTTAACTTGAGAAACAGGTAAGAAGGACTAAAAAGTAAGATTGGGGGTTGTGTGTGTCTGGGGTGAGTTGGCTCAGTCGGAAAAGCGTCTGCCTGTCGAACCAAAGATCTCAGGTTTGAATCCCACCCAGGCGGATGACTGAAGCCTGCATTGTGTGTTTAATTGTTAACGTGCCCCTCACCTTGTTTCATAGACGCCGCTATGTTTCTATGTAATAACTGTGCACGAGCTACGAGTTTGTAATGACGTTATCACAGTTTTTCCTTCTTATTTATTTTCAATTTTTTTTTCTTCAATGCCAACACAAAGCTTATTCTTCTAAAATTCCTGTTGAAAGTATAAACTTAAAAATGAACATCAATACAAATACCGCATTACCCGCATTATTCTTCGTAAACTCTAAATTCATTCAAAAATTTAATTTACGATTGGACTCAGAGTGACACTCGGTATGACGATACTTGACTGCCGGCTGCCCCGGCCTAGCCGTCCAGCTCTGCCTAGCTTTGCCTGCTTTGATTTTGAGAAAGATGATCGTGTTTACGTTACAAAAACTAGTTATTTAAATCATAAGAATTCATTTCCAGCAATACCAAGTGTGCTATTCTTATACACCATTACATTCTCAAATGAGCCAGATAACCACTATTTCCGACATAATTCGGTGCCTAAGAAAAAGGACGAATACTGTGACTTTCTTACCTCGTTCTCCGCCATAGTTTTTCACGATCTCCATGGAGATTCAACGAGTTTGATCCGCGGCCGTATTGCGTGAGCTCAACTACATCACATATTATATGTGACGCGCGCGTACGAGAGCTGATAGTTCTAGCGCCATCTTGAGTTTCACGATGTATAGTCAAAACAATGACAAAACTGCCAACCTTTCTTGCTTCTTCAGAGTCCAACTATATGCCCACCCCCCCCCCCCCCCAAAAAAAAATATATATATATACATCCTGACATCGGCTTATTTGGCTAGAGGGGGGGGGGGGGGGTCAGCATTTTCATTTTTCTACTGCTTTGTGTCTACCATGCCATTATCAAGGTACTCTTTGTGGTTCTTATTTTTTGTCTTTTGGGCTTTTATATCTAAATACATGATTATAATTATCCCTCCCGCTATTTAGCTCTTGAATAGCAGCACTCTTTCGTTGTAACACTGTAATTTTTTTCAAAAGGACGACGAATTCAGATCCTGATTACTAAGCGCAAAAATATTAATACCAACCCGTCTTTTTAATAAGTGACTTGAACTACACGGATAATTATGTTTCTTCACACTCTATGAATTTCCCATAATCTAACTGGAAATAAATTATGATCCCCAATATTCGGGATTAGGGATCATTACGGTTACAGTACAGGATTTAGTTTGCTTTCCTCTTCCCCGGCAGCCAACTGATGCACTCAGAGGACCTCCAGGAAAATTGTGCATTTGTAATTAATATTATTATTATTATTATTAATGTTTGTTTACCTATATTTACATTGTTATATTTTTTGTGGATTGCCGAATAAATAATAAATAAATAGATAAATAAACTAAAAAGTTCCATTAAATTTCAAAGCATAATAGGAATACACATACATAGATTCAACGATGGGTTCAGCTATGGGTGCAAAATCATAGCACATTTTCATTATTTAATTCAAAAAAATTAAATCATTGGCCTATCTATGTTGAGTGCCTCATTACGAATTCATTCACCTTTTACGAGTAATATAAGATCAGAATGCTATTGAATATAGGCCTATACAAACGTACAGTAAAGAGGCATTTTTGCTCGACCTCTCGCAATTTGGGGGATCCACAAATTACAACAAGCACTGCTTTTTAGTGGATCCCCCCATTTCCTCAGAAATTAAGAATTTCTTGTAATAATGTTATACTGTGCAAAGTGTATTTGTTAAGTTACCAGAAAAAATGTTTTAAAAAAATGTATTACCTTTGTTTATCTTTCTGTTGGAAATGAAATAAATTTGAATTGAATTGAATTGGATAAAGCTATTTGCATTCTGACTAGATGTACCGTTATGTAATGCTTTCTTCGTGATGTGAAAGCAGGGGCGGAATGAGGGGGGTTAGGGGGTTTAACCCCCCCCCTTGCATTGGCGGATCCAGGGGCCCGGCCGAAACGGCCGCGGCCCCCCCCCCCCCCCCTATTGGCGGCGCAAAAAAAAGGGAAAAAGGAGAAGAGAAGAAAAAAAAAGGAGAAGAGAAAAAAAAGGAGAAGAGAAGAAAAAAGGAGAAGAGAAAAGAAAAGAAACAGAGAGAGAGATAGAGAGAGAATAAAAAAAAAAAAGGAAAAAAGAAAAAGAAGAAAATCCGGCCCGTAATGACTTTACACACCGGAGATTGAGGGGTGCTTTCAAAGAGAGGGACCATACATGCGCGTATACCTATAGATAACACTGAGTAGTTGGGGGGGGGGGGGGGGGGGGGGAGTCGGGTAAGAAAGGGGGACCGACAAGAAAATGATGCTAAGTGACAGTAACGACGAATAAGGGAAAACTATAATCGGGAGATTCGGGGTCATTCCAGAAGGCTTGGCAAACGTTATTTAATAGAGGGGGCCGGACCGGCCGCATAGAATCTCGAGCTGCGGATACAAAGTTAAACGTTAAAAAGAGCCCCTGCGCTACAAAGGTCATCACTCTTCAGTGAGAAATTTGATAAGGGCACAATATTTTGTATGTCTTTTAAATCGAAGCTATATACACAACAGTCAAATTTTTAATTAACGGTAGGGCCGCTTCACAACTCTTATTTCGCCCTATTCAGCTCATACCAACTCGCTTGTGCTTGTATTTGAACTCGTCATGGACAGGGGCGGCAACCCTGGGCCTGATAAGGGGGACCATCCCCCATGAAATTTATAAATATAGCTAGAAAGAAATATAACGGAGAGAACGTGCATATTGAGCTTAGGGGTTTTCTAGAATCCATAATTTCAGCATTCAACATTGCAAAATCTCGCTTGGTCGCTATACGCCCCGGCCCTCGCCCGATAACACAAAACTATGATAATTATGACGCTCCCGGCCGTGATTTATCCATGGTTGGTGTAATTTAATTTCTACTAACCTAATTGTGTGCTATCACAATCATGATTGTTTCATTTTCCCTTTAAAGCAGGCGCGTAGTGCAGGAGCGGTAAGGGCAGTAAAAGGACATAGGACGAAAAAGAAGCAGACAAAGAAACATTTTTGAAAATTCTGACAAGTCGAGAACGGTACAACGAATCGTCTTCTTTCTCTTATAATAATGAAATGTAAAAGTTTCCGCGCTTCACTCGGGAGGGGGGGGGGGGTCAACTAAATTCAGACAAGGATTAAGAGTCGAGCATAGCCACGAATTCTCTTCTTTCTCTAATAATTTAATGAAACATCAAAGCTTCCACGCTTCGCGCGGGAGAGGGAAAACTGCATTCAAACAAGGATCAAGAGTCGAGAATGGTACAACGAATAGTCGTCTTTCTCTAATAATTTAATGAAACGTAAAAGATTCCGCGCTTTGCGCGGGAGGGGGGGGGGGGGGGGGAGACTGAATTCAGACAAGGATTAGGAGTCGAGAATGGAACAACGAATCATCTTCTTTCTCGAATTATTTAATTAAACTATGCAGAAAGGTCAAATCTTCCGCGCTTCACGCGGGAGAGGGAAAACTGCATTCAAACAAGGATCAAGAGTCGAGAATGGTACAACGAATCGTCGTCTTTCTCTAATAATTTAATGAAACGTAAAAGATTCCGCGCTTTGCGCGGGAGGGGGGGGGGGGGGGGGGCTGAATTCAGACAAGGATTAGGAGTCGAGAATGGAACAACGAATCATCTTCTTTCTCGAATTATTTAATTAAACTATGAAAGGAAAAAAAACAAAGAAAAACTAAAAGTAAAACTTTTTTGCTATTGTATCGGGGGCAATTTTGTTTTGTTTTAATGTGCTCACTCCCCCCCCCCCCGCCCCCACCCTTCACTGAGCGAAATATTTGTCGGCGCGATATTGAAATGTCGGGGGGGGGGCACTAATGAAGAAAAAAAAATAGTGCCTCACTACCCCCATCCCCCCTCCCCCCCCCTCCCCCCCCCCCCCCCCCCCACTGAGCGTAAAATCGGTCGGCGCGATTTTCAAATTTCGCCCCCCTCCCCCTCCCTCTTGGAAAATCGTGGATCCGCCGCCGGGTCAGCCCACCCCCCCCCCCAACCCCTTAGCAAAAAGCTAGATCCGCCCATGGAAAGTATATAAATCCGAATACATTTTAAATTTCAAGTATTCAAAAGGATTTGGCAGCCCAGGCGTGGATCCACAATTGGGGCCCGACAGGCCCGTCACCCCCCCCCCCTAGCAAAAATAAAAACAAGTAAAAAATTAAAATGGTTACGTAAATGGTAAATTGTATTTTTTTTCCTTCAGCTGATTTCTTTTTTAGTCCTCTTACCCTGTCATAGTCATAGTCGTGTTCCCTGTAACAAACACATTTTAAATGTTATTCATCACGATTTATTCAATATATTTACAATGGGTTAGTTTTATAAGCGACTGTACAAGTTTGCTATTTTTAAGTAATACTTTGAGACCAGGTGCGGATCCAGGATTTCTAAGGGGGGGGGGGGGAAGAGGGGTAGTGAGCACTAAATTGTTTTCTTCTATTTTGACCCCTAAAATTTGAAAATCGCGCCGGCCTATATTTCGCTCAGTGGAGGGGAGGGGGTGGCATATAGTGAGCGGTTTTTTAATTTTTTTTTTTAACACCCCCCCCCCCTCTTGTTGCAAACAAAAAAGGTCAATTTCTGGTCACCACTTTTTTTTGGGGGGGGGGGGGGCCTGGGGCGGCCAAGGTCAATCACCTGTAAAAACGATTTTCACGCATTTTTGTAAGTTTTGTCGACTTCTCTCCGAATATAGTGGAATTACAATATACCACATTAAAATGGAAATGATCCAATAAAGCGCTTCGACATATCGTGAAAAATGGAAGCCGTTGTTTTATTCATTACATTGCAACCTATTTCGAAATAGAGTTACATTTATACATCTTTGAATATTTGTCATTGTTTTGTTTGTACTTGTGTATTGAAACTTGTCAAAAATTGTGGATTCTATCAAGTTATACAGGAGGGCATGGGGTAAATAGGCGTGCCTGCCCCGCCCAAACAAAGTGGCGAGACTCCGGCAGACAGGGGCCCGTTTCCGATTGAAATCGGCATAAGTCTAACTTTTTGACTATCCTATTGACTTATGACGGTTTCGATCGGTTGAACGGGCGCCCCAGCTCTGCATGGAGCTACAAAAGGAGAACAAAAGAAACTGGGGGAAAGGAACAAAATGAAATAGTGATGACGACCCCTCACACCTTTTCTCTAATAAATTTGTCTTGAAAATCGTGACAATATTTACATTTCGTCCATCAAGACCCAACCCCCCCCCCCCCCTACCCCGAACCGTCCATTTTGATACTGGACCATGAAGTCACCACTAGTTGTTGTTGTTGAGATAAATGGCGTTTCCAATCGTCTAGGGATTATATCGAGAAAGAGCATCATCTTATATCCACCCCACGCTATTTACGCTGCACGGTTCAACGAACTCTACACAAATTGAATGCCATACCTTTAACCCCCGAAAAGCAGCACGGGAAACCCGTTGAAACGCCATCTTCCGCATCTCACACACAGGGTGCACTTAGCGAATCCGCGGACGGAACAGAATTCGTCCTTTCCCCCTTTATTTTAAGTTAGGTAAGTGTCAGTTACATGCTTATTTCATATCTTACATATTATTCTATGTTCGTGTCGTATTTTATTTACATGTTTTATTTAAAGAGTCACTTTCATTCATGTAAAATGCTCACAATTTCGCTCGTGCTGCAGTGCAAATATGCTAGCATATTGCAATAATTGCAGCTGCAACGCGGCGATGTGTATGTGCACTAACAAGTTTCGCGAAATGTTTTAATGTCAAAATGAGTCTGTATCTGTCCTGTTAAATGTTCATTACAAGTAACCAGAAACTTCCTTGTACGGTACTTGTATCAGTTGTGACTTGTTATAATTGAATAATGCTATGTGTTATCTTATTCAACTTATTTTCAACTTATCTGCTGGATTGACATTTCATGTCAGCGACGGTGTGCGTGTGTGTCATGACCGATCGCAGTAATTGTGTGGCTATTTTGCGTGTTTAAAACAAAACTGAAATGCGATAAAAATAAGTCTCCGGTCATTTGACAGATTTCGGCTAGTTTCAACATATTATTTAGTTAACATTTGTATTAGTTTATATTTCCACACGTTGATTGTGCCTATATTTCTTATTCTATTATTTACGTCAAGATTTGTTGTCGTATTTGTCATGTAGCTTTCAAACGGGCACATGTACTGTGCATGTAGACAAGTTCGCCATGTGGGCGCTGCTGTGTGTAAAGGGACGCCGGTCATTTGCATATGAATGGATGGACGCGATGCGCTTTGTGAATGGTTGATTTTGTTGTGTGGCGGGAATGCGTTGATAGTGCATGCAGTGAGTGGTCTTTGTGTGGGAGACATGCTGCTGGGGTTTGAGTGCTATTTCCATTTATGGAGATGCATGTATATTGACTGTGAAGATGGTTTATTTACAACGTCTTACTTTATTTGACAATTTTAAGAATGCTATCAATCTGGACTTTGCCCTATGATTCACATATTTACATTATAAAATTGGAGATAAAAATCTAGTTTGTATTATTGTATTGTAACCTTGGAAGATTTTTTTTTTAAATCCTCATTCTTTTTTTAAAACCTTTTTAGTTTCCTTTTAATTGTGCATTTAATTCTGCTTCATAATTTCTTCAGCCTGTTCCCTTGTTAATTTGTTGCTCCAGGAAACTTCTAAATTGCTCAGTTGAAGTCAGTTCCTTCACATTGAATGACATCCTGTGTCATGTGTGGCTTAATTATTTCCAGTGCAAAATTCATCAGAAGCAATGCCTAAGGAGATATTCCTGTTATGTATTATGAGTTCATCTGTCCCCTCCCTCATTAGCTCTTGGACATATAGATTCTATTCATAAAACATGATGTGGACATGATTTTTAATTGAGAATAACAAAATTAAAATTACAATAGGGAATTGAGGAAAATGGATTATTCTGCCATCTTTGGTTTTTAAATCAGCATTGTTTACTGTTATTATTATTAAATTGGTGCCTTCAACTGCAACTCGGAAGTAAAATTGCATGAGTTTTCGGAGATGGACCTGGGATACTGCTTCCGTGGTATGGTGGTGGCAAAAAAAAACATGGCGTTCAATTATTTGAGTATTCACTTGTAAGCCTGTGAGTGTACTCCGGTTCCTCATTACATGGTTGTGCACTGCCTTAATGTATATCATCCTTTTTCTTGCAGGTAACACACCCCCTGTAGACTTAACATCATGGCCGATAATGGTGATCTAAAACCAGAAGAGATGGAACAAAGCCAGGGAGATGTCGGGGCTGAAGAGCCCATGGAGACTGAGTTCGAGAGAACAGACAAGTACGACAGCTTTCTAGGAATGGGCTTTGATGATAAGGTCGCTTCAGAGCTGGACAGGTTCTTTGTCAAAGGTATTTTTTGTGACATAAAGTTCAAATTTCATTTTAGATATCAAAGAAATTCATTTGAATTCTGGTTTATTATAAATAAAACATACTGAATAAAAAGTCAGGAAACTCAAAAAATTCAGTTTACAAATTATAAATACATTTACATATAAGAAATCAATACTTTCAGCAATCTTCATATTAATTACTGATTCTAACTAACTAAACAACTAATATCAAATAATAAACAATACATGTTATAATTATAATGTTATAACATTTAAATGGTAAAAAAGAATATGTATGATTTACATGTTTCAACTTTGCTGTAGAGTCTGAATTTATTATATTTATATGGCGATTCTTAGGTGATTCTTAGTCAATGTAACTTCAGCCAATCAATAACGACAAGTTGACAATGGTTTGTTACGGGAGTGTTACTGCATGTGTTTTTCCTTCTGCATTCTCTTGACGTGTGCCCTCATATGAGACGACCATAACACAGTCCATTGTCTCGTACATAGTTCTTTCGCTCCTTCAAAGTCTATAAACTTCTATATCAATTTGTAGGAATCCTTGCTGACGAGGAGCTAGACGAGAGGGCAATCGAGGCTCTAAAAGAACTTGACGAGACCTCCAAGCTGGGAGTCTTGAAGCAGTTTGGCGAGAGTGACCTGTCACATGTGAATAATAAGAGTGCATTCCTGTGTGGCGTGATCAAGACGTACAGACAGAAGAGCAGAATGAAGCAGTCACAGGGTGGTCAGGAACCCAAGGGCCCAGATGAAGCTAAAATTAAGGTAAAAATCTCATTCTATAAACAGAGAGAGTTATGTCATTGTAGAGGTGTCTTACTAGGAATTTTATTGCATCTGTCATGTAATGTATTGCTCTTTTTCCTACCATAACAAAAATTTCATTGCCCAGCATTATAATGCAACAGTTTAAGAAATCTTACTCTCATCTCAATATTACATCACAAACAAGATTACAGAAGTAAGGAGGAATGTTTCTTGCTGTAACGCGTGGTATAACCTTCTTCAAATAAAAGTGATTATTCCTGAGAGTAGACGCAGGTAAAATGGAACATTTTTATATTATGTTTGTTATGTTTTTACATCATGGTGCATGTTTTCAGTAATTCATCTATTTCATAACTTGGACACCTTTTTCTATTCCTCTTTCACTCTAGGAAATCCTTGCCAGAACAGGTTACTCACTAGATGTCACTACAGGTCAGAGGAAATACAGTCGTCCCAAGCCTGAAGACTGTGAAACATTACCCCCTCCAATTCAAGGTTCAGAGGTGAGCACGGCTTTTAAAACATTACTTTCTTCTTTACAGAAATGTTGTGAAAGTAATTGTAAATTTAGAAAGTTATATTTTTTTGAAAAATAACAAGAATATACTATGTTACTGTTTACCTAAATCTTTGAGGTAATCGCTCATGAAGCTTCCCTGATCATAACTTTCACCTAAGATATCTTAACACTGTTTTGTCTTGCTTTTTTGTGCATGTGAGCCCTTGTTACTGTGTAATAAATGCCTCAACATTTCTTTTTAACTCAGAAAGGTAAATCTGAATAACTGTCATTACAAGTAAGTATTTATCTAGCCTTCTCTATATTTGTGATTGTTTCTGTAGATCTTTGTTGGGAAGATCCCTAAGGAGATGTACGAGGATGAGATCATCCCTCTCCTGGAGCAGTGTGGTGAGGTACATGATCTCAGGTTAATGATGGACCCACTCACAGGACAGAACAGGGGCTATGCCTTCGCAGCATTCACCTCTATCGAGGGTGCCAGGGAAGCTGTCAAACAGGTGAGAAACAATGCTGTAGCTAACATAGGATAGAGGAGAGCTGGGGGCGTTTCACAAAACTTGTCATCAGTGACGAATGACAATTTTTGTTATAAGCTACTGAAACCCTTGCTTCTGATTGGTTATCACCCGATTTGTCACTGATTTTTGTTACTTGTCATTGAAAAAATGCTTTGTGAAATGCCCCCCCCCCCCCCCTCCCTGGTGACAGAGTACTCATGGATTTGTAGGAGAGGGAGGCGCTCTGTAATCCGAAACACTACAACCGCACATTAAGTATCTCTTTTAGTCGGGGTCTGCTCCTTCCTTCTTTTATATAATGTCTTGAAAATTTGATACAATGACCAAGTTTGTTATTTAGTAGTGAAAATTGGTTGTAGATGGACTTATGTTGTATTGGACCTGGAGAATGCTAGTGACTTGCAAGTTCTGTTGAAATGCTATTTATTTATGATTAACAATGATTCATAAGTAGTTTTTTTAGTACACTTAATCAAGAAAATACAAAGGTTAATGTAAGTCAAATCTTGTTATGTATTGCATAAATGTAATAATTCATTTTAATTTTATTTATAGCTCAATGGACACAAAATTAAAGACAACTGGCAACTCAGTGTAAACGTATCAGTACCAAAGAGCAGGCTCTACGTCGGCTCCATCCCTAAGAACAAGACAAAAGATGAGATCTTGGAAGAGTTCGCCAAAGTTGAAAGTGAGTAAATATTCCTTGGTATTCTAAAGAAATTACTTTGCTATGTTACAGAGATATGGAAGAGTTTTCTTTTTTGCATCTTGGTGAATCATTTCCAATTATTTACTGTTTGTGTTGGTCTTTTATGACTTCATACCAAGCTGTGTTTTCTTTACAAGATAAAGGTAAAAACAAGTTGTTCTTTATGCATCAATGTCAGAAATGAAGTGTCTATCTCGATGTGACAAATGTCTGCATCATCAAAAGTTGTTTATTTTATCAATTCCCAGTGTAGATGCATGGACAAGGTTTTGACTGTTGGTCGCAGTGGCGAGCTGTACCCCCTTCTATCATGAAAATATATTGAGAGACATTGTTTGGTTGTTTGATGTTTTTTAAATTTATGATGTTATGTTTCATTCTTTGCTGTTTATCAGAGGGTCTTCTGGATGTCATCATCTACAAGACAGAGGACAAGATGCGCAACCGTGGTTTTGCCTTCCTGGAGTTCGACTCCCACAAAGCAGCTGCCAGTGCCAAGAGGAAACTAGCTTCAGGTAGAATCAAGGTCTGGAATCAAATCAATGTCAACGTAGACTGGGCTGATCCGGTCATCGAGCCAGACTCTGACACCATGTCCAAGGTAAGTTCTTCTAACTACTCATGAAATAGTTATCATATTTTGAAGAAATTGGTTCATCTTTGTTTTTGCTTAGTGTGCTATAAAAAAAAAATCATATGGCTAGCTTTGAAGGTACGTAGCCTATATTCTTAATGGTGAGTTTGTATGGCAGCAGCCTATTGCGATACGTAAATTGTCAAAATATGACATTTGGATATAAATATAGTCATGTTGTTTTGTTTCTGTAACACAAAAGTACATGTACAATTGTTGTTGCATTTATTGAGTACTCATAAGCAACTATTATGTTTGACTTTGTATCTGCAGGTAAAAGTGGTGTACATCAGGAATCTCTCCACGGAAACCACAGAAGTCAAGATCAAGGAAGACTTCGGCCAGTATGGTGAGGTGGAGAAAGCCAAGAAGATGAAGGATTATTGCTTTGTTCACTTCAAGGAAAGGGATGCTGCTGTCAAGGTAAATAATTGCTTTTGTCACAAACAAGGAATAGTGGAACTTTGTAAAAATCAAATGCTTTGCAATCATAGAAATTGTGTTTCGAGAGGGGTTTTTCAGGTTGAAGACAAATAGGCTATAGAGACTTGAGACCTGCAAAATTGCTTTGTTATCACTAGATTTAGTTACAAGAATGGTCTCTACCTTCAGATTCCACTGTGTTGTAAAATGTCGATCATGAAGTTACTTCTCGACCATTAGCGTTAATGAATTTCAATACTGTCTTGATCTTCTCCCTTTAGGCGATAGAGGAGATGAACGGAAAGGAGTATGAAGGAACGACCATAGAAGTATCTCTTGCCAAACCACCCATGGAAAACAAGAAGAAGAAGGAGAGGATCATGAGGCAGCAAGGAGGAGGGTAAGTGTCAAAAAGAAAAACATATGTGACGCAAATAGTTTGGATTCTCCATGTTGATGAAATACATAGAAAAGGTAGTACACTGCAGTCAAACCTGCTTTAGTGACCACCTTTACATGAAGACCACCTGCCTATAAAGACCACTTATCTGGTCTCCCTTGGGTGGTCGTTTTAGACAGGTTTCACTGTATTTGACTATGAAATGAAGCCTTGATAGTACAAAAAGTGAAGAAATCATGATCTTGCATGGGCCTGAACATGGGACGAAATTACTTCAATTTGCCTCTAGATGTGAACACTATTCAGGTCTTATTGAAAAATCAATTCTCCCTTTATGGGAATTCATTTAATCCCAAGCCAGTTAAAATAACTTAATTAATTGTTGTTATTTGAAGTGTTGAATAGTATCTTACTAAATCCTGTTGTTCTTTTTATCAGGTTTTTTTGTAAGTTTTGTTCTAGAGTTAAACTTTTTACCGTGAAAATTGCTTAGTGAATTGTTTTTGTTACAAACAAAACTTAAATTTATATTTGTTTCATTTGTGTACTTTCTAGCAGCTTTGGCTTTGAAGGGTATCAGCCTCGTGGTCGTGGTGGCCCACCAATGCGCGGTGGTCGTGGAGGTGGTGGATATGGTGGTGGTGGAGGAGGAGACCGCTACAACAGGGACTTTGGTGGCTACGGAGGTTACGATGACTACTTCTACGAGGGCTACGGTGGCGGATACGGAGGTCGCTATGAGGGAGACGATTACGGCTACGGGTATGGCGACTATGATGGTTACTACGGCGGTGGAGGGGGATACGGACGCGGTGGACGTGGGATGAGGTCGAGAGGAAGGGGCATGGGAATGCGAGGAGGACCCAATACACAGAGGGGTTTTTTACGGGGAGGCGGGGCCCGAGGTGGCCCCAGGGGAGGGCGCGGTGGTCCCAGGGGGGGACGTGGTAACCGAGGTGGGCGTGGTAACAGGGGAGGTAACATGGGTGGCAAGAGGAAATTAGAGGGACAATCTATGGGGGACCCAAAGCGACGCAACACCCAGTCTGCGTGGGGAACGCAGCCCATCGCCCAGCAGCCTCTTGATCAGGGATATGGCTATGACTCCTACAACTCCTACAATGACCAATGGTCATCAGACAATTACGGAGGTAACCAGTGGAAGTAGATGACCACATCTACAGGACATTGACCATAAAGCGAATGTCCACTGGAAAGGGTGGATGAGACCTGTCTTCGCTCCTTGATATCATCAGTACAGGTAAAATCACACAACGGGCTGGGAACATGGACTTTGTCTATTGTAAATAATCAACTAGAATATACCTCTCTAAGGATGCTCATTCATAAAGTGCCCAATTGTTTTAAACTTATTCAATTATTACTTTGCAAATTAACTATAAAGGCACATGCACGTTCAATATTTTAAATAGATTGAGAAAATGAAATCGTCATGATACTGGAGTTTGTTATCAAGTAATTTTGTCCCATTTTTGGATGGTTATGAAATGTGATGTATGTATAGGATAGTTTGTCCACTATAAAAATGGATATTGGAAAATGGAAAATTATGGCGAAAAAAAAGTTTGGTTTTCAAAAGTATTGGGTCTTTTTAATTAATGTGTCTAACGTGTAACTTTGTTAACTTTGTCTAGAATTTTGTACATATAAACCATTCTGGAACATATGTGCACCGTTACTGTTGGTGTTGAAAATATTTGAAGAGATATGTTTCTTTTTGCGGAGCAAAGAGACGACATTGATATGCAGTATTCATCTATCAGTGATGTAAGCAGGTTTGATGTCTCCTGGCGTTTTTAGGAGAAGAGATATTTTTACACTAGAGACTCAATTATGCTTTGTACATTTCTTTCGGTGTTGCACTGTGTACAGATAAAAGCATATTTCATGTTCGTGAGTAGTGGTAATACAAAAGGGGCTAGCTAGTTACATTGGTGTTCAGTGCAAAATGTTTCAATTTGGATAAATATGGTTTTAAATTTTCACGTCTGTTTTTATCAAATATGTTTACCACTCGTACTTTACAGCAGCAAAAAATCATGTTTCTTCGTCCTGTCTGAAAATTGTGACTTTTTGTGTAGATATCCCTTGTTTTGGCAAAAACAATTATGTAGTAGTCTAATTCTTAAGTTTTGATATTCATTAAAAGTTGACCATGTACAGAATTTACCAAATTGTTTTTTTACCAGTTTCTTTATTGAGATTACTCTGATCAAATGAGTTATCACATCTTGCATGAAAACTGCATGCTTTGGGGTTGCTTTGTAGATTAGTCATTCATGCAAATTGTGTTTGTGAGTGTTATTTCTTATTATAGGCAATTTGTAGTGTATTTAGTTACACATATGAATTGAGCTAGATTTGAAGAGTTCAGTTCTCAAATTGACGAAAAAATATCAAGGGTTATGTCTTTTTGGACATACATGGTGCAGCATGCATGCTTCATAGAATGGAAAAGATACAAGTGGAAACACAAACACTCCACAAGGCCTTTCTCATTTTAACACTCCAAGATGAAAATGATATAGAAACATGTAGTGCATGCTCTACAGTCTAACTCAATTGTGTTACCATCATTATGTGGATATTAACATGTTTCTTTCTCTCTCTTTTTCTCCCTCTTCATTTTCTCATCCCTGTTATCCCCAATAGAATAAAACCCATTCAAATTCTTGAATTTAAATTAGTTCCCAAATTGGAACTCTTGAAAAGTTCAAGATAATTCTTTTAAGTGTGTTTTGTTATGTCATTTGATAGCTATTTCTTTTTCAGATTAAATTTTGAGGGGGACCACTCCCCCTCAAACTCAATTACACAGTCATGCCATATGACTGTTTTGGAATTAATATGCTCTACAAGAACGTTCATCTTCAGGATCCTAAATTTAGGATTCCTATTTTGCGCCAAGTAATAATCAGGAGATATAAACCATGTACTTTGAACCAGGAAATGTGATTTGAAGCCTTTTTAAAGGCTAGAATTTTGCACAGAACGAAAGAATTTTTAATGATGGCTTTGAAAGAATGAGAGAGTTGTCTTCCTCTCTGAAATCAAAGAGCTTCCTTGTCATACTATACTACCCCTTGAGATATTCCAGATTCAACCAGCAGTGGACTATGGACATCTTCGGCGCCGTGGCTTTGGCTACGACACCTCGAACAATCAACATCAACCTACTTCATCACTGTCTCATTTGGATCAATTATTTAATATTCCTTGAGCAAGCATCTTCACGTTAATTCTCAATCTAATTTAGATGAAATTAAAATAAACCTCCTTGCCTTGGATAAATGTTTCAGCGATACAAGCAGATTTGTTTGACATTTCAGTGGAATAATGATCAAATTAGCCGCTTATCTGGCAACGCAAAATGGTCTCGTCTTCTTCAAATGATGGAATTAACCAGCGTATTATAAAGCCTGTTGAAACGCAAATCACCACAGATTTGGGCATGGTTTTTATAGTGATAGAATTCCATTAAAATGAAATTTTATTACATGTAGTTCTACATGTAATTGCTAAAAGCACTCGTGTGACCAGTTATCAGCAAGAATGAAAGAGGAAATTTATTACGGATACTTGGATTAATTTTTTTCTATGATGAGTAAAGGAAGAAGACGCTACAACTCGCTTCATCATTTTTGTCGGACCACATCGAAGAGACATGTCAAGAAGACGACTTCACTCAACTCAAAGCGATATGTAGATTTGAATGAGAAATCCCCCTACATGAAGTTTATGCAATATAAATTGACAACAAAACATTTGCAATAGGATTTACAGGCCCTGAACAAATCGTCATTCTAAAATTGTTAAGTGTCCAACTAAAATTGGGCAGAATTGGAACAAAAAGTGGCCTGTGGATTTGCAAAGCCATTCTTATACCTCAATGTTGGGGAACCCATATTACAAAAACAAGTTACCCAAGTAAAGATAAATTATCAATACTTTGACTTGCCAAAAGATTTTTTGTAGCACATTGCTATAACAGAAAATTTAACACGAATGTGCAATTTTGTGTGCATATCGTTAACATCGTATTCGTATATGATGTCAAAGAAAAAATGTCATATCTTTGGCTGGAAAATTTCTCCAGAATACAGTTCGGCCTCTTCCAACTTTTATGAAAATATACACAACACCTTTCATTATTGAATTACAATTAGCAACCTAATCTTTCTGTTAAACTTTATTTTTTGCACATTTTGGAATTCCTTAGCAAATTTTCTTTTCATTTACTGGTAAGTTTTGTTCTACAGGATTGATGATTGACCCAAACTTTTTTCTTCTTTTTTTGTTGGGGGGGGGGGGGGGGGGGGGGGTGGGGGTGGGGGGGGGGGGGGGGGGGGGTGGGGGCTGGAAAAATTATACATATCAAGAGGACAAATGACCTAGTCCAAGTAGTTCCTTGATCTTTTATTCTATAATCCTGTACTAAAAATTACATGGGTCCATTTGGTAAAGCGAAGGTCCAGTTCTCGTCATTCCCATGTGAAAAAATAATCAAATTTGAGTGAACTCAATTTTTTTTTTTTTTTTTTTTGGGGGGGGGGCATATCAATTCCTCATTCTTCTTGCCTCATCCACCTATGTTCTTTGTAATAAGTATACAAGATCCATGTAGCGTTTTATTTGTTGACCACAAATCTTACTACAGTCGAACCTGCTTTAGTCGACCCCCCATCTACAAAGACCATATTTTGTTTTTCCCTGAAAATGGTGCCCTTTAAACATGTACTAAGGAACCTGTATATAAAGACCACCTGCCTATATAAAGGCCACTTCTCTCTCCTCGAGGGTGGTCATTATAGACAGGGTTTCACTGTATAAGAGATTTACATGCCCTGAGATAACAGTCTGTTCTAGGTATACGTCTAAAGTAATCCTTGTCCTATTTATATAGATACCAAATAATGCAAAATTGGGAGAGGTTTTTCTATTTTCCTGTTTGTACTTTTGAACTTGCGAACTTGATAAGAATTTGATCAAAGTCAAACTGATTTTAGTGCTTTTAAGGAAGCCATTTTTTAGGCCTTGGACTAATTTTGGCTTGCCAGCTAATCATTTGGCATCCTGGCGTAAAGCAGTTATCAAATTTACATTTTTGTTTTTATGATTTTGTCATGCTTTGTATCATTTGCTTATTAATCTTGATTTTCATTCCACCATCCATTGAAACTCGTTCATAGATTTTCATTTCACTTTTTTATTCAAGTTTCATTTTTCTTTTTTTTTCTTCTTTTTTTACATATCCTGTATAACCTCCAAATATATAAAAAAAATCTTGCATGATAACAAAAAATGTTCCTAATATTTTATAGTGGAGCAGAAGCAATTATGCCTATACAATTTTACTTGGTGGGCATACATTTTCAACCTACAAAACTAGTCCTTAAATCCCTAAATAACACACCGGGGTGCAGTATTACCTTACTTCATTCATTTGGTGTTTTGTCTAGAGCCAAAAATGTTTAGTTCACTATGAAACTGCCGTCTTTTGGAGTTTATGGAGGGTGTGTGCTGGTTTTGAGATAGTAATCCCAATTATTTAAGACTGGCGATATAAGGTAATTACATGTACTCGACCATGCGTTTCAAAGCTTAGATGTGGACTTGAAAAAATGAAATGGAAGCAACCTTGTTTAAAAGCAATGCTTCATATTTGTAACCAATTTACATCAAAAATCGGAAAATTTTAAATGGCATGAACCAGTCGTGAAACTGCCTTGGGTTGGGGAAAAATTGCTGGTGTGACGTGGTGTATTATGGATTGCGAGTGATGTGTTTGTGAGTTGAAGTGTATTGCCGAAGGGCACAAGTCTGAAATATATTTTCCAAGCAAAAAGGGAAAAATACATGTTTTTAGGTGTCTAAAATTGCCGGAGGGCTCAAGTCCTTAAATATATTTCAGAGGCAAAAGGAAAAAAAAAAAATTTCAATGACAAAAATCAGTGACAAATCTGCAGATAACCAATCAGAAGCAGAAGCTTAAAACGAAAAGTTGTCATTTGTCACAAATGACAATTTTTGTGAAATTGGGCCCAGGATTCATTTTGAATGAAAACAAATAATTGCATTTCCAGTGAGGGAAAGTGAGATTAGCAGTTTTGAAACGAGTTCCCATTTGTGATATTCGGGATATCATCTCTGTGTTCATGCATCTTCCATGGAGTGATCTTTTGGCTAAAGTGTTAGTGTCTTTACTGTTAATTTATTTAACACAAAACATACAGGGGGTAGATATTACCAGGGTCACTTTCTTGGTAGCATGTCATGTTGTCCTCGACATTATTCATTTGTCATCCTATCAATTTCTCTTTCTGTCTCTCTTTACTCATGTCCTCTTACTAGGCTGGTCTTTTATAACGCCATTTTTTCCTGTCCAATCTGAAATCAGTTTTTCCATTTTTTCCATTTTTTTTTCAATTACAAAAAGGGCAAAACAAGCGATAAGATAATTGGGAATATGAACCTGGTTTTTTTATTGGGGGTGGGGGGGGGGGGGGGTGGTTTGGTGTTCAACCTCCTCTGGGCCCAATAAATGGACTTTTACTAGCGTTGCTAATCTTTAAAGGCATTCAACAAGGTTTTCAGTTTTTTTTTTAATATCCCAGGTGCATGCCCCTTCGTGTTTGTGATATGGTGTAATATTGAAGACGCCCCCCCCCCCCAAAAAAACAAAAAAAAAGCACTTCTTAAAAAAAATCAATATTAGCTGTTCAATCTGTTTCAGACATAGGGTTACAATTATGATTGCAGCACGAGCTAAATCCAGGATTGAGTAGGAAGCAGATCGAGTTACCTTTCACCCTATTTAACTGGGCTATTTCAGACCAGGTTATATTCGATAGACCATTTGGAATAATAATACGACAAAACAAATTGGAAGAGCCAGGTTATTCCTAATGTTATCTTGTTTTGATAATTTCTTATGTATTTCTAACTACAATTAACTATTTTGCCCCAAAACACCTAAACTTTAAACAGACCAAATAACCCAATTTTTTTCAGGATTGTATTTCCATAGGTTTTGTACACAAATTACAAAAATGAACAATTTTCGGACCGACATGCAAAGACAAAAGGTCACATGATTTCTACGTCCGATTTTCAAATATGTGTAAGACTCTAAAGAAAAAAGTCATGAAAGGAAAACTTTATTTCTGCTACGGTTCCTGAGTAGTCGCAAATTACTACCCCCCCCCCCCCCCCCCCCCCCCCCCCCCCCCCCCCCCCCCCCCCCCGGATAAGATGGGGGTTTAAGAGCGGGACTGCCATCTATTTGATAACATTGATGAATGTATCTGGGAAAGCTTGGCCACGCACAGAATTTAAGTTGGCATCCCTTTTTCTTTTTGACTATACAAAAACAAACCAGGTGGATGTGAAACTTCCTTTATTATTTACATTTATTTTAATTTGACAACCAATTCCAACAAAACATTTTTTTTTTTATAGTTTCTCAATCATCTTAAATCGATACACTTTTCAAAGTTAAAGAGAGAATAACATGTGATGCATGAGTAAAAATCAAATTCTTCAAATGTGGAAACTGCTAGTTACAATTGTTTTCCTCAAATAGACAAATTATACCCCTGCAGTTCAGTTTACACCAAAGGTAGTTATTATATGACTAAGAACTTTCCTGCACAGAATTACCTAGAACTAACATGTTTATAACATGGGGTACTTAGCAACACAATTCTTTGGCAAACAATGAATGGAATACACAGAATAAAAATACTTTAAATCATTCACAGCATTTAAGAACAATTTCTTCCTCCCTGCAATAAGAGACCTGCAGCAAAGTCCAACAGTGTACAATATCTTAAGTAGAAAGTCACTGATTCACATTCAAATAATATTTCTGAAATTGTGTTGCCTAAGCAAAAATCGGATGAAATATGAAAATCTACAAAAATCTATGAAACAAGTTAGAAAAAGAATATTCCTATGGGACGTCAAACACTGTTGACTGCCCAACTTAAAATTTCAGTTCTGGAAAATTATTTGAATTGATGTGGTGAAATTATCTTTGAATGGCAACTTTTCATTCAGGTATCAGCGCAAAATTATGAGAACAGTCGGCTCTGTATCCTCTACTTTATACAGTTATGAATACTATTATCATGCAGTAAATTATTCATACGCCTTGTAATTTTGAAGTCTTTAGTGTTTTTCTAAAAAGGAAATCAAATTTTAATAGCAAACAACTCTATAAGAAAGCAGAAATATCAATGAAGCAAAGTGGTGCAATTTTTTAATAAAATCTGACCAAAAAAATCCTTCCTGACATCCAATATCCCTACTGCCAAATGAACCTTTCCTTTCACAAAATACACTGAATAAATGGAGAACCAATTTCAGAGTAAATGGTTCTTAAAATTTCACCATTCTACCTTGAAAAAGTACCTTGGTATAAGTAACTGCAGAAAACAACGCGGTACATGAACTAGTATATCTACACACGTAGGCCTCTTAGAAAAAGATCATTTCTGCAAAGAGTGAGGAAAAAAGCTTGAGTACGATTCAAAAATTGTGTACCCATTTTTCCTGTACCATAGATCTTTAAACAATTCATGAACAATTTGTTGTATCAGGAATGATTCCAAAAGGAATTAGGATCCCTTTCTTTTACTGACTGTAATTGATGATTAAATTAATTCCTTTTGGAATCAAATTCTTTTTATAATTTCAATTACTGGTACTATGGAAGTATTAAGCACAGGAATAAGAAATAGTACAAATTTGAAAGATATGAGCCATCTAAAAGTCTACTGAAGTACGACCTTTCCTGAGAAGCCCACAAATGCTACATTATCCTCATCCCCCCAATCCTTGATATATGTAGGTCAATTCTTCCAACATTCCAAATGAGTAAAATATACATGATTCCAATGATTTTGCAACTAGGATGCAATTTTTTAGACCTTGTACGATCAGATAAACTACACCATAAACAAAAGCATTTATTTGCCTTGTGACTACAGATAATTGACAAACATTTCTTACGTCGTCGTCAAGGGTGATACAAAAGAAACATTGATGACGTTAAAAAGTATAGAATAAGAAGTGCCATTCTCACTGATAAGCATAATATAATTTTTCATACCAGGCCCCCTCCTCCATTCAGCTTCAATCTTAACTCCCCCTTTTTTTTTTACAACAAAAGAATTTGAGTTTTCTGTCAATTTTGTCTAGTACAACAGATTTTAACCTATGCTATTAAAAAGAAAAATCAATCGTTTGAGGAAACTTGACTAATATGTACAAAAAGATTCAACAAAACAATTCTTAAGGTCTCCCTAATCGACAGATTGCCTCTTGCTCATGGACATCAAAGCTCGCTCTCTAAGAAGACGTTCTTTCTCCTCTTGGTCGCTTTCGGAATCCTGAAACAAGATGATCAAAATTATTAGTTAATTTCTCTAATGAATCACATCTTGTTTTCACTATCATGATAACACAAATATGATTATGCTAGTAATTTTGTATTGAAGTACAAATAAATATTATAGAAAAATCCAGAAGGGCATGAAAAACTCTTAAAAGTAAAGCAAGACCTATTCCCTTCCTGCCCCCCCCCCCCAAACCTTTAGGTTTCTATAAATTGTCACAATATTTTTATTTATTTATTTTCAAACAGAAACTAAAGACCGAAGCTAATATTAGGTCACCTATAATGGTTATCATTCATGTTTGTTGTTTCGTAGTATTAGGATCCTCTGAATTACATAAAGATTTATAGCTATAACTCTATCTTCTCTTTCCTTTCTTGAGATGGACAGAAACTTTGTTCCACGGTAGTGGTACAAGCTTGCACTAACTGAACAAACAATCTACACTTGGACATACCTGATTTTCTTCTTTCTTCTGCTTTTTGTGTTTCTTATGCTTCTTGTGCTTCTTGTTTTTTGTGTTTCTTCTTCTCCTTCTTCTCTTTCTTCTTAGCGCTACGTTCCTCTGCCTCATTGTCTGATTCCTAAAAGACGAAGAGCAAAAAAGGGGGATGAAAGACGAGAATATCAATACACTATTCTCTTGACAAATAACCAAATTATCACACATTTCTACAAGACTGAAGCTACAAAGCTTAATTCTTGCTATTATCATTCAATCCATAAAACTTGGATGTCCTTTATATCAACACTATGCATTCAGATGGCTTCCTGTAAACTGCAGCAACAAATCAGAACTCGTCATCTTTCTTGCATTTTCACTTTCCCAATAGAGTACCGAAGCTGTGATGTCATAAAAATCTATTTTTAGATTTCTCAATTTTCCGAAAGAGCATAAATAAATAATGTTATATGGTCTGCTCTCATGGTTAGAGCCGCTTTTGCTAGGCAGGCGAGACAAAAATTGAGAAATTCTCAAAATAGATTTTTGATGACATCACACTTCACCACTCTATAGTGTCTGATTTAAGCTTTTAAAATCATTTTTGTATTTCACTCTGACTTGTACTACTCCTCCTCTCAACAGACAGTTTTACGCAAAAAACTGTGAGAGAAAGATAGGATTCAACAAAACAAAGAAATCTGCATTTAAGGAAATACAAAGTTTGGGGAAATTTTGAAAATTGGATAAATAGTAATTCTTTCCAATTTTGATATATTTGGATGCCCCTATGTATGTATTATAAGCACTAGAAAATTTAGCCCGTAAAGGCAATACAAAGTTTTGGTAAGGGGTCATGAATTTGGTTCAAATGTACATATTGGAAGCATATGCGATTTTACAATATTCAATGATTGTTGTTGCAGTTGGAATCGAGTCTAAAGTGATGAAATTGTCAATATTAAACTCTTTCAGTTGTATAGCTCTCTCTCAACACTGATATTACTTTAGCTTTAAAACTATGTTTCTTGACGACAATCGACTGATTTGCTATTCGGATCCTGTTTGGAAATTATATTTCGGAGCTGCATATCCTGAAATTGTCATGGTCGCAGCTACCATGGAATGGCCTTAGGAGCTATTTGAAATATTTAAAATTTACCGGGAGCACCAGTAAATTTGTATTATTCAAATTTCTTGAAAGGATAAGTGTTTTAGGGGCTAAATTTTCTAGTCCTTATAATACATCGACAGGGGCATTCATATAAATCAACATTTTAAAGAATTACTGTCCATTCAATTTTCAAAATTTCCCAAAAGTTTGCATTACCTTTAACCAATACATGAGAATGCACTTCAACTAGAAATAGCAAAATTATAACTTACCTCAGATGATGCCTCAACCGATTCCCTTTTCTTGCTCTTCTTCACCTTAGGACTTTCTTTCTCCTCATCAGCATCCATCTTCCTATCCTCTTCGCTCTCATCATCACTGTCATCTTGTTCTCTCTTCTTCTTTTTCTTCTTGTCTCCACCTCCTCTGTCCTTGCGTTTAGGAGACATAGGTTCTGGAGATGCTTCCTTCATGGGTGAAGGTGATGCGGAGTCATCATCATCATCATCATCTTGTCGCCCTCGATTCGGTCTCTGCTTCTTCTCTGGAGAAGCATCATCGGAGGAGTCTTCTCTTGACAATCTCTCCTACGTTTGTCTTTCTTCCGAGGTGGACTTGGACTCTGGCTATCTTCATCGCTGTCTTGCTTCCTCTCTTTGACTCTGGAACGGTCAAGACTTTGGCGAGTGCTACTGCGGTCTTTCTTGACTAGTTCTTTCTCATCTGCACTGCTCTCTGCAGAGCTGTCATCTGAGGCAGCCTTCTTACGCGCTTTACGTCTCTCATCGTCCGGAGGTGATGTCTCACGTTTCCCTCTTGAGGGGGGCTTTGCCTCCTTGACTTAGAGTCCACAGGTGTCCGGCTCCGATGACGTCTTGGTGATCGACTTCGAGGTGGTTTATCGGTAGACGAGATTCTTTTCCTGACTTCAGGTGATGATGCTCGCTTACGTCTGTCAGGACTTCGACTTGACCGTCGACCATCTGCAGACCTCTTGCGGGGACTCGGACTCCTCCTTCGCTTCTCTGGTGTTGGGCTACGCCTCCTCTTCTCAGGACTTTGTCTACGTCTTTCAGGAGGAGAAGGACTTTTCCTTCGCCTCTCCGGAGTTGGACTGCGTCTGCGTTTTTCAGGGGTAGGGCTGCGACGTCTTCTCCTCTCAGGTGTTGGGGAACGACGTCTCCTTCTGTCCGGTGTTGGGCTCCGTCTACTACGTCTCTCAGGACTACGCCTCCGTCTGTCAGGTGTGGGACTCCTGCGTCTCCTTGGTGGTGATCTACGAGGAGAACGTCTGGGAGGTGATCTGCGACGACGAGGAGGGCTGTATCTCCTGGGAGGAGTGCGACGGCGGGGAGAAGGTGATCTCCTACGTCTGAAAAATCAAGAATACAACATGAACATTAACTCTATGTAATCATACAATTTCTGCTCTTCAGCGATTCACAAAAATCCCAAGAAGAAGAAAGACACTATAATAAATTAATTTGATTCTAAGCAGATTGTAAGGGTGTGGAATATCAAAAACATAAGAGACTGAAGAGTATGCTTCTATAAGTTCTAATTTGTAAAAACTTTCATCTCATCATGTTTTTTCATGATAATTCATATACATTTCTGAACAACTTTGCTTTGGCATGTATTTGTTGGTCGACTCCAAGTGAAAGAGGGATGACAACTCCCAATGAGATATACAAATGATGTACATTATGACACATAAGATGATGACGTGGATCCTAATCAAATGATTGGTTGAAAGCGTACACATGAACAGGCCTTATTTTTGCCTAACGCGTAATTTGGGTAATGACCGGTCATTACCCAATCCAATGACCGGTCATTAGTACAATCGTGTTATAAAACATCATTTTATATAACAAAAAACATAATCTTATAAAACAAATAATACACAGTATTTGTTCAGGCATTAAAAATTACCCACACCACTCTGTACCTTCTAACCAGTCTGTTCAAAAGGTACCTTGTGTGGGTAATTCTTACTAATGCCCTCATGCTGTGTATTATTTGTTTAACCCTACATGGGAGATGACTATACCTCCACAATCTCTCATGATTGACCAACTCTAAATAGAGGGGTCATGTTTAAGTGGATATGTCACCTGACTCTGGGTCACATGGTGCGCAGTTCGAGTCCAACCACAGCACTAATATCAAGATATCCATCTACATTTGCCTCTCTCCACCCAGGTGTTAAATGGGTACCCAGTAGAATGTGAATGTTAATGTGGTTGGGATTAGCATGTGTGCACTTGGAAAATGGTGCCTAACAGGAATACTCTCCAGGGAGGTGGAGCATGTGCGCTTTCATTTGCGGATTAGCAATCGATCCCATGACCGGGGTAATAATAATTACAAAGTAAAATGCTTAAGAAAGTTAGTAAAAGCGCTATACAATGTGACTATTGTTATTCTAGTTACCTAATTGGTGAACGTCTTCTCCTTCTGTCATCCAGAGATCGAGATCGTGATCTAGAATTCTTCCTTTTTTTCTTGTCTTTGTCATCGTCTGATCCAGAGTCGGAGGAATTAGATGGGGACCGCCGTCGGTACTGACGTTTAGGGAAACGGCTTGGTTTTGCAGGAGAGGGTTTGGTCTCGTCTTCCTCATCACTGCTTGAGTGTTTGCCCTGCAAATAAACGTAATGATTATAAACACATCATTTATAATGAACAATCAATTTAGTTCCTTTCACATTCAAAAGACGTTTTAAGGCCAATCTTTAGTTCAAGTACTGCTATTTCTCTTCAAGAGAAACTGTCTTGTCATCACACAGTAGGGGGTTGTTTAGACAATGGAAATACTTGTAAAATAAAGTAAATCTTGGTAGAAATAACATTTATTGAAGCACAATGCAAATTTTTACATATCCGAATATAAATTAGGGATTTGGGGAGTAAAGTTTGCCTTACAGGGTTGATATGTGCAATACATCACAACTTCAAATGTTTATCAATTATACATGCATCGTACATGATGGGACATCATACCATTCAGAATGATTAAAGGAAAGTCCACCCCAAAATAAGTTTGTTTCGATAGAGCAGAATAATAAAAAATCAGGTGAGTGAAAGTTTGAGCAAATTCTGAATGAAAATAAGAAAGTTATGAATTATTGAAGTTGTGATCAATCAAATACAAATTGGCAACTCTGTGACTTATTATACGAGCTCTTCTTCATTTGCTTTGTGCATAATATTCATAAAATCATGTTTCTTCGTTATTGATGACGGAATATATATTTGTTCCTTGCAGGGGGAGTATAGAAACTATTTGCAATTATTATATTTAGTGCATGTATGGTTGAAATTTTTCTTGAGGGAAAATGAAATTTAAGATTTTTTTAGTACTGAGCAATTGGAAGTTGAGCTCGCATGATACGTCATAGAGTTGCCAATTTGTGTTTGATTGATCACAACTTCAAACCTAACTTCCTTATTTTTATCGGAATTTGCTCAAACTTTCACTGACTTGTTTCTCTCATTTTTCTACTCCTATTAAAACTAACTTAATTTCAGGGTGGACTTCCCCTTTAAGAGCACGGCCAACAGAGAGAGATGAGAAACTTCCCATTGGGTTTGAATGAAAAAGAACAACAAAAAACCTCCCATGATGAACCAGGCTTGGTTTATGGGTGCACAACTTTCTTGAATTACCTTACACAGCTTTACACAAACACATTTACAGTGTATGCACTCTGAGAGCAAAATAATTATTCTGTTTTATTTACTAATGTAAAGCACTTTGAGCATGTTTATGTAAAGGCGCTATATAAATATCAATATGTATGTATGTATGTATGTAAACCAAATTGCAAGACAGAAATTTATCACATCATCTGCTTTGGGAAAAATGGACAGAAAGTTAGATTTCCACATTTTGTTTGGATTTAGAAATAGAACTATTGATTTGCTGTCGAATGAAATGGCCAGGGCCTCATTTCACAAAACTTGTCATCAGTGACAAATATAAGCTAGTGAAATCCTTGCTTCTGATTGGTTATCAGCAGGTTTGTCGCTGATTTTTGTAATTGTAATTGAAGAAAGGCTTTGTGAAACAGGTCCCAGGAGATTTGTCCTTACCTTCTTATCATCATCACTGGAATCATCCTTAGTAGCATCCTTGGAGCGAGGTGGAGACATGGAATCATCCCGTTTGTCCTTCTGAACATCACCTGCCTTCTCATCTTTTTTGGGAGAAGGAGACCTTTAAAAGAGAGATGCAAAATTCAGTTACAGTAATTTTGACCATAAAGTATGCAAAAGTTTATGTAAAATTGTTGATGTCCCAATTTCACCACGATATAATCAATATCATCTACAATTTGGCAAGAGAAAAGATATACAAACAGAATATGTCTGCAGTCACTATGAATTTGTACTGACATTTCAAGTAGTGTTATTTTTCCCCGGTATCTAAAGGATAAAATTGGGAACAGAGCACAATTCATGTGCTTTAATTGATCGAATGGGAACAATTTCTACTGATGTTATTCATTGATCCCTATATGGAACTAAATGAAATGATGGTACAGGAAGCATTTTTTATAATTTTTTTTTTTAAATGATAGTATAGCCAAAACTACTTGCAGTTGCTAAATCTAATTTCCAATTTCTGGGCATTCTAGTTCATATGAATTGAAAGAGATAATAAAATGATGAGATTTAGCAGGACCCCACAAAATCATCTTTGAAATTATCTACTTTACTTAGTGCTAAGCCATGCAATACTTTACCATGATTTCTGTTCAATAATGTACATTTTGAGATGGCATCAAGTACTCACCTAGATGAATTACTTGATGATGATCGGCATCTCTTGGTGTCTTTCTTGGCTGGAGAGGGAGAAGGCTTCCTCTTAGATCCCAGCTTGGATTTCTTGGGTGGAGATCGAGAGCGAGAACGAGAGCTTCCAGATGAACTCCCAGACGGGGAGGAGGATGGCGAACGACGCTTCACTTCCCTGTCCCTGAAGAGGAATGAAGAGAGAGAACTTGAATGACCTTGGAAGTTTACTTCAATGATTCTCTGATGATGGAGGGTCCATAAAGCAACATTATGAGGTTGATGCTGGAACCAAATTCGAATAACCTTGAAGAACCTATAAACACTTTGTCTATGGAAATGATTATTAACGAAGTAGCATTGGAATTTAAACTTTATTTTCAAGACTGATGCAGATATTTTTTTGTGAAATATTGACTTCAGCAATTTATAAAGCTGAAAAACAGGTGATTTGTTTTCTTTGTTTATCCGTGTAGTGGTGGTTCGTGCGTGTACACGGTCAGAACACTAATTACCTCTTAGGTGACCTGCTCCTGATAGGTGACCTTCGTGGCCTGCGAGGGGGTGATGGTCTACTACGACGACGGTCAGGTGATCTCCGGGGTGATCTGTTAACAAACACATTATTTAACATTAGAAGGATGACAAGAAGTGGTGTGATCATGCACAAAGGGGAGCGACAGTGTATATAGTTTCTTTCTTCGTTAGCAATTTGTTACACTTCCAATCATTTAACGTTATGGTTGGCGAAGAGGATTAACATTTCTACAAAAAACCTAAAAATGCTGAATTGTCATCTTTACCCAAATGGCCATCATTACCTTATTGTGTTGCCCATGGGCACCCTATATTTATTTACAAAACAAATTGTGACAGAATTCTGACTTACCTTCGACGAGGAGGTGGTGTTCTTCTACGGGGGCTTGGTGATCTTCGTCGTGGAGAACGATGTCTTGTTCTAAAATTGAAATTAATACAGAAACTGTTTGAATCCTGCAGAATTGCTATCTTTAAGTGCATTCTATGTCTTAAAAACTGGAGAGGGTACAAATGATAACCCTTGGTATATCTCTGACATCTTGTATTTAACAGCTTTAACAAATATATATAGCTTCAAAAGTCCATCCTAACATTTTATTGAACAAATCTTTTACATGTACCATTGTAACCACACATCATAAGATCATGATTAATTCAGAATCCACTTACTGACAGTCTACAGCAGAAGTCTTCACCTTCAATTGTATATGACAACACTTAACACTGATTTTCACTTTTTACCAATGAAGTCATGGGGGTGTTTCACAAAGATCATAAGTTGAACTTATCTCTAAGTTGGACTTAACAATTATGGAAAGCCGTTAACATCATTGAAAATATTTTGTAAAATATATTTTAAGAGGCATAAAATGTTGATTCAAATCAATCATATTTTCTATTATCTTAGGAGAGTTCATGTTCGTGATGTGAATTAATGAAAAGTCTAAAATACTTGAATTTTGTTTTTGAATGTATTTCATTATAAGGCTACAATGGCTCTCCATAATATTTAAGTCCAACTAAGAGATAAGTTCAACTAAGGATCTTTGTGAAACACCCCACTGGTCTTGTAATGGAGTACAACAAGTCCTCACCTTGATCCAGACCTCCTCCTGAAATCTCGACCGCCTATCCCTGGACCGAGATCTAGTCCTTGATCTCTTGTCACGTCGCCGGGTGATGACCTGTGTCGTGACCTAGATCTACTTCTAGATCTTCGCCTGCGTCTGTACTTATCTTCCTCCTGTTTCTGTCTGGTGAAGATGTTCTTCTCTTCCTCCTCCTTTCATCATCACTGCTATCTTTTCCACACAAATCATCCCTAGACCTGATAAGAAAGATGAAACTTTGTTTAGAAAGCGTGTACATACATTTTATAGGCTCTATTACAATCCATGCACTTTCATACCATATAATGCAGCCATTAAGGTTTGCATCAACACACTATGACATTTCTGACATTCAATAGAAAAATATCAATTGATCAAATTTTCTGTATATGAGCAAAACTCTGGGATATAGTCACAACAAAGCATATATCACAAACAGTCAATCATAGATTTGGTAAGGGAAGGTGAAGGCAGACCTGCCAACCTCTGGAGATCAAAAACTGTATTTTACTGACAAAAGTTGTATTCTTAAAAAAAACACGGACTGTTAAGCGGATCAATGCCTCTTGCAGTTTCTACATACAGGAAGATTTTTTTTTTAAAATGGATTGTTGGTTGGAAACAATCCCCAAATTGCCTATGTGAGATGCTTAAAGAATACTTTACAGGACAGAATGGGCATTTTGCCATTAAAATTAATTAATAAATGAACAATTTATATAAATTTTAAAAAAATTAAAAAAAAAAATAATTGTTAAAATCGTATTTTATTAAAGAAAATCGTACTGTCGTATTTGCTTCTAAAAATTGTACGAAATACGACTGTACTGGTTGGCACGTCTGTGAAGGAGAGTCATTCAAGATAAGCCTAATCGTGACATGAGAGTATATTCTATAAAGGGAAGCTAAATTGTGGTAACCTAAAAAGAAGATTTCAGCTTACCTCCTCTTTTCAGCAGGTTTCACAATGCCAACAGGTGGGGGGAGGGTGTTCCTTTTCCTTCTTTCTTAGGAGGTGGTGTGCCTGAGTGGGACCTAGATCTAGACCTGGACCTAGACTTGGACTTCTTCTCTTCCTTTTCACCATCAGCTTCAGGGCCAGCAGACGTAGAGGGGCCAGAGGCATTAGGGGAATCCCCCTCTTCTTTTCCATCCTTCGAGGATTCGTTCTTTCCTTCAGGGCGGGGCTCCCAATCCCATTTAGCTGGTCTAGGTGCTGGCCTGTGATAAAAACAAACAGGATATGCCATACAGTAATTCTCATGAAGTAAAATATGCATGGGCTCAAAGTAATTTTTGTCCACATAAGTACTGATTCTCCAAGCAGGCCTCCAAATAGCTTCCAAAAAGCAACAGGAAGATCAGGAACAATAATGCCTCTGGCCCTACTTTCAGAGTTGGAGGCATAAAATACTTCGAGGTTTGAAAACTTTTATGATGCAACTTTTATTGCATTCCCCAATCAAATATAATTTGTAGTGTGACTTTATGCAACTTTGATTGTTTCTTTTTTATAAACATGTATGTATTTATCAATGATAGAGATATACAATGAGGACATGGTGGAGGACCCGGCATTTTCTTCAATATACTTACTGAGATCGAGGAGAACCTGGTTTTGTAGAAATTTATTTCTACTTCATTATTGTGATGTAAGGAGAACCAGCAACCGAAGTGAACATTTACATATCTTGATTTTGTCTGCTGAAAAATGGCACTAAAGACGACGACAACATGCATGGCGACGTAGACTTCGACCTATAGCTCAGTTCATCCTTCATGAATTTCGACCGACCGACGACATCGCATTATGAAAGTAATGGATGCTAACAGCAAACCACGTTGGATAGATAACGGACCAGGAACGACATCGACGAACAAGAACAACGCCCCTGGCATAGACAGACAACATGCACCCAGTACCATGATGAGGACATCAACACCTTGATCACTGTAACTTATCTACACCCAGAATTTTTGCTCAATAACTCTAACTTAAGAACCTGAACTTTCGACTTATCCTGTTTTTTTTTTCTTTCATAATTAATTCTAAAATGCTTTTCAAAATTTTATCCCACCAGACAGATTACTAGTTGGGTAAGCGAAACATTTTGTGTTCCAAGTTTGTGAGTGAGTGTGTAAGAGAGGATAGTGTTGTAGTTAATTGTTTTTAATACTTTTAATAATGTGCATCTGCGTAATTTATTTGCAACAAATCTGTAGTAATTACATGTAGTTAATTGTTTTTAATACTTTTAATAATGTGCAATCTGCGTAATTTATTTGCAACAAATTCGTAGTTTGTATACTTGTCGAAATCTTCTTAGTTGTTTTATCTAAGATTCTAAACTTCTACTTTATGTTGATTATTGGTATATCTGTTGTCATTATGTGCCTGTTGACTGACCTTGACCAAAATGACCCCAACCGACCAGACAAGTACGACTGTGGTGACACGTATAATATAATATATTATTACCCGTATCAGACATCTGAGCTGGTCATTTACAAAACCGTATTGCCCTAGTTTTCACTAGCAGTGGGAACGGAGGGGTATATTCTTTGTATTTTCCTTGGTCTCCCTGCGCGTATTGACTTTGCGTGTAGAGACGAGTGAAAATATACCTTGGTATTTTACACGGTCTCATCTTGTATTGACTGCGCCGTATTTTGTCATTTTCATTGCGCATCTATTATGCGTACGAGACCTGTGCACTTTGCGCGCACTCTATTGTGACGTAATAATCACACCAAATGCACACTGTTTGCAGTGTATCGAAATTGTGTCAAGCACTGGATGCACAGTGCTGGTTTGACAAAGTTTGTTCAGTTCTTGAGATTGTCATGGTGGATGTCTGTATTTGCTCTAGATGTCTGATTTGGATAACAATAAAAATATTGACTGGCTTTACTTTCGGGGGATATCAGAAATATTGACCGCGCTAAGACCATATTGCCCTCGTCTTTCGACTCGGGGCAATATGATCTGAGCTTGGTCATATTTCTGATATACCCCTCAAGGCCAGTCATATTATATAAAATATATGTAGCTAAACATGATAAAGGAATTGGAAGTTTAATAAATTACATCACCACCCTATATAAGCTTGTCTAAGACTGGTTCAATTGCTTAGGCTTTCGTAATCCTGCCAATTTGCAGTGGAAAGATGAGCAATATAATTTGTGAATGGTTGTGTCACATGCTAGTCTTAACTATTAATTGGCTTATCACTGTTTGAGGCTTTTGTAAACCTGCAACATTTCTGCAGTCAAAAGATGGACAGATACATTGAGTGATTGTGTTTTTTTGTTTTGATTCTATCATCTTTTTGTGTTTCGTATTCATTGTAGTTCAATTTTTTAATTTGAGTGGAAATTAGTTTAATGAACGATATATCTAAATATTCACCCAGGGTTATTGATGCAGTTACCAGTGGCAGTACGACACATTACAACTGGCAGATAGTCAGTTCACTTCATAATTTAAATGAAGATTGTCTCTGCAATATTGGTAAACTGAACAAACAATGTGCATATAGATATGAAGTTTGTTTTATTAAAATCCTGTAGCTATTTGTTGTTGTTCTCAGTACCACGAGGCAGATTAAGAAGACACTTACTAACTATTGACCATATACTTGCGCCACTTTGCGGAAAAGATTTGTATTAGTTGTTACATTTGGCGTGATAACAATCTAATTCTTACGTCGCTTTTGATTGACGAATTTGAAAATATCTGTTTGAGGTTTAATTGATTTTGATTCATTATATACAAGTTTTATGATTATACAAATATTTGCTTTATAACGGGATAGGTATATAATTATACTGCATTTCCATGTTCCAATTAGGCCTAGTAGCATGGACTAACTTTCATTACCTTGAGTGCACCCGTTGCTTTCATATTTCATCCGACAAAGAAATGACTCCATAAGTGTTTAATATTAGATGAAAATCCTATCTGAAATAAAAAACAAAACCAACTTACTTGGTTCCATCTGGGGATTTCTTGTCACCGCTTCCATTGACATCTTCCCTCTCCTCTCTGTCTCGTTCCCTGTCCCTGTCCCTGTCTCCTCGTCTTTTCTCCATCCGATCTCCATCTCCTTGGATCTCTGTTCCTTCCTTCAGCTTACTCAGCTCTGCCTGGATCCGCTCCTGCTCTTGCTGAAAATGAAAATAAAAGTAAATATACTTGGTGAAAAAAAAAAATCTAACAAGTATATAAACATTTTGATCGCATATGTTTGCTTTTCATCACTGCTTTGTTTAGTCTTCATTTATAAGTGTCTATTGAATGTCTATTGAATGTCCCGTCTCCCAAAAAGTAAAACTTCTAGTTCATAATCACTAACTTCTCTCCTTTATACACCATTCTCCAAGAAAGCTGCCATTTTTAACACAAATAAAAATTCCTTTCCATCTGCTATATATCATTGTTTGATCTTCAATTTATGTGAGTGTAGCTTAGTATCGTTTATTTTCACCATAAAAAGAACTGATATATGTGCAGTATTTAGTGATTTCTGTGTACTTAAAGATTACATTAAGAATATCAATTTTCTCAATCTATTAAAGATGGATCAGACACATCATTTCCCGTTGTATTGGGAGTAACACAGTTTTACATAGCATTCCAAATCATCACCATACTCTTCACTCCTCCTTTCCTCCAATTTTCAGCTTCCATTTTGATGAAACTGATACCAGGAACTATTAACCCCCCTTCATTAAAGTCTGTCTGCACTAGTTTGGCCAGGGGGATTAGACCTCCCTGCAAGGTCACCAACAGGTGGTTATCTCATCAAATCAGCTCTCAATTAACATAAGAAAAAGAGGATCATGGGGGATCAATGGTCACCGATGAGGCATTGTTTGCTATATAGAGGACGCAAGTAGCTTTAAGTAGTGCAGTGGGGCTTTAAGAACAACTTCTCACCTGTCTCTTCTTGATCTCCTCTTTCTTCTGCTCAAGGAACGGAGCTGGGATGCCTGCAATATTCTCCTGGGCGCTGGTGAGGAGCTCCCAGAGCTCTGACATGAAGGCCAGGGCATTCTTAGCATTCAGGAACCCTGTCAGGTTAATCTGCATATCCTTAGGATCAGGATGCTGCAAGGAACACAGAAGAAACAAGACGTGTTAGTCATGCTACATGACACACTAATTATGAAATCATAGCTACAATAGTGTGTTAGCAGAAAACTTCCAAAGCACATCCATGCATAATTCATCATTATCTCTTCTAATCGTCTGTTTGTCCCATACTGTAGGGTTGGACATTAAATTTCCCCCTGTATCATGTTAGCTCTGCAATGGCTGTATTCCCTTTACATTTACGCATGGATTTGTCTTGGGAAGTTTACTACACACAGTATTGTCTCTGCACAAGATGTTATCTACCAAGAAAAGAAAAGTTAAAGTTCTCTACAAGAGCAGAAACACTATGAATACATACAGATCTACTTTTCTCCTTGCATGTTACACTGACTTACCTGATTTTCAGAGATTTTCCCTCAATCTCCCTTGAAATGAGAGCAACAAGCAGAACTTTCCTTTTTCCATCCCTAACTTGATACACACAGGCGTTAATTGTCAACAAACTGTCAGTCTCCTAAGCTTTAATAGTACTCATTAATTTACCTAGTCTTTCATTATGAACATCAAAAGAATCAAAAGTTGCCTATTTCCTCATTTAAAGTGTACTCTATCATACTTCAGTGACAATTCAGTGAGTTCCTAACAGAGGTAACTGAATTCAAAACTTACATCCCTACACCCAACACCTCGCATTGTCCCAAAATTTAATCCTAACACAAAATAGCAACCCAAATTGAAGCAAGTGATGATTTATATAGAGGGTAAATTGTCCATATCACATAAAGTTGCAATCTCGTTAAAAGTAAAACTAAGTCTGTTAACTTTACTACTAAAAAAAAGACCATTATTTGCAGCAATCATCATCAAAACAACTTGTTTTAAAGTCTTGCATGGATAAAGTCCCTGAAAGAATCATAAAGATGATACTAAAAGGCTTTATCCTTATATGCCACTTAATTCATGAACTAAGAACTCACCTTTTACAGCTTCAGACCACAATCTCATATTCATACATTTCTAAATAAATCATTGTATTCTTATTAATTTACCAATATCCCACTTTAGACTCAATCTCAATACTCAATCTGACCATCAAAAAACAAATAAAAAAATATTGTAAAAAACATGAGCAGAAACATGTTTAATATTGTAAATGACCATGATATAAAAGTAGCCAAGTCATCTTTCAAAATGTGTAAAGACAAATAATTTAAAGAATGTTTAAAAGATATGCAACCATTTTTGCAATTAATTGAACTAAAAAGCATGTAAATTTATATAATATAATTTGAGTATTGTTTTACTTTTCTTATTGAACATTAAAGCCAAGAAATATACATTTTAAAATCAGGACTAAAGGCTATAAGTCAAAACAAATAACATAAAGACCAGCATGATCACAGCCAACATAAAGATGAAAGTACTTTATAGTCTGTCTTACTCTACACTGCATTGTTTTCAGAAACAAACCAAGCCACTGTAGAGAGAATACATGTCTCAATATGCCTGTACCGTGTGAAAGACAGAGAAATCCTTGTTGCACGTGTTGACTTTCTTTTACCCTTTCTGCTGATCAGGGAGCTACGAACGAAACCTTCTCACTGACTGCCCGCCCGCATTAATAGGGGCGCTTGCATGGCCGCATCGTAGGTAGGGGGAGATGTGTGATCGAATATTTAATCAAACAATCTGAGCGTAAGAGATGAAAGTCAGCGTATCAGCTTACCAGGATAAAACATGACATTACGCTACAAGGATCATGAACAAACATTAAAACTAGCTAATTAAAACCTATCATAAAATTTGCTTTGTTTTTACAAATCAATTACATCAATAAATCTCAAGTGTTTTTCTTTTTTTAATATATTTGTCCTCTATGATAGATTAACAAGTCTCTGTATGGCATTGTTTATTAATTGTTTGACCTGGAGCTAATTTTGATACATCTTTCTCTTACTTTCAGATAATTACTTCTTGTGGTCATGGTTTTTTTCATTAACATGGTCTTATGTTAAAATGTTTGAAAGGTCTTGGTAATTCTGTTGAGTGTTCTTTTTGTAAAGGAGATATCTTGTTTTTTTAAACCACAGAGCTTGAATAATAAACCAATATGAATTTGTAATCATAACCACATTTGAATTTATAATTTGGATATGATATTACAGATCAACCTTTTTTTCCAGTGAGGCATTGAAGTCCATGCTTTTTGATGACATCACTTATAAATATATTAGTTTCCTATTCACTCAATAATCACATTTTGTCTTTTGTATTCAATCCTGAGGGAATGGAAAGGAAACCTGCAACAAAGTGATCAAATTTTGAAGGAATGGCAATGTGGGAATACGCTAAAGACAATAAATCAAAATTCTTTTCAGTAATGAGCATCTCACAAACAAAATTAACAAGAATTATGAGCTCTTTTTACTTATTCATGAAAGAGAAATTTTGCAATATTTCAAAAGATTATTTTGTTTTCATTACATGAGGATTTTCTTCTCATATCCATCACTTTGTTTTGCTCATAGCAATTCAAAGTACCATAGCATGGTAAGAACTCATGAAATGATAAAAAAGAAAAGCTATGCAATACTTACTTCTCTTGTGCTACAAGTAACACATCATCATGACAGACAAACTCTTTGCTATCTGTACAAGATTTATTTGATTTGGATTACCTTTTGCAGTCACTTCTCCAGTGGCATCTCATCACTGACCGCTAAGGAAAGGGCTCATGTGACAGTCTGACTGCATTAATTGCAACATAAAACGTTTTAACTTCACAAAATCTCTAGACGATATCGACCCAAAGACAACTAAATTTCAATTAAAAGGGTTAATGCAAAGTAAATTGATTTGTAAGCCGAATCAGTCACAAGGGCCCTTTTCTAGGCAGCTTTATAGCGTGATGCATGTGCATTTTTACACTTACCAGGTTGCCTATTACTTAGGTTCAGCTTGCTGGTAGGGACTCTGTATGGACTTGTTTTCTCTCTGAAGACCCTGCAAAAATCATAACCATCTCAAGAATGTCCAGCCCCCCCCCCCTGAACATGGTCTCATCCGACATGCGTAGGCGTAGTGAGGGGTCCACGTCGGGATGTTGGGGTTGTTTATGCCCCTACGCAAGTAATTTCAAGCTAGCTGACCCCTGCTTCGCCTTCAATTTCCTACGTGGAGAAAAATTGGACATGCACAATTTTTTGTCTAAGAAGATTTGTTGCGGCTACTGCATGGCTGGTGCGTAGAATTTGCCCATGTAGAGAAAAATTACCAAGTGTGAATAGTTACTGCCCTACGTGTGCGCTACGCCCAAGTTGGTCGGACGAGACCGTGGGTTTACTTACCATCTCTTAGTACAAATTTCCTTCCTGGATTAAAAATAATAAATGCATCTTTCCCACAGGAAATGAGACATTATTCTCTATCTTCCAGTACACTAGATATGTATTTGTAATAAACCTAAATAATAATCAAGTGTGTTATTGATATAAGGCAACATTTTTGTTCATCCCCCCCCCCCCCATGAATACTGCCGAAACCAAAAATGGCTATAACTGCAGAGAGTCAGCTTGTGTGCTTTTCTGCTGTATCATTTAGGATACAGTGCCTTCAATTATTTCTTTATAACTGAATATGACTCTACTACACTTTGCTTTAAATATGCAAGAGGCATCAATTTCCCTGTTCTTCCTACTTACCTGTATGCCGTCTTGGGCCTTGTAGTTGTACATGACTGAATCCTCTTATCAGTGGCAACCTCCTCATGGTTATTGCAGAATGAAAACAAAAACACTTTCCAATCGAAAATTGTATAAGGCAATGACTAAATACCTGAATAAGTTGACCTATAGCAATACAAAAACTTAATGAGTTCTTACCATAACTAATGCACGGATAATATGATAATAGTAAAAATTATTCTCCACAGACCATCACTTAATAAGATCTACAAAAGGCAATTGCAAGCACTTACTTCTTCTTCCAATTGGTTGAAGATAAACTCAATGAGAACGTCATCTTCGACTCCAAGCATCTCAGTGACTTTAGTTGTAATCCATGGTTTCAGTGTGTCCAGGTTCACTTTGCTCATGCTCACCTGGGTAAAGAGAAAAAGAATTTGATATAAAATTGAGGACATTTCAATACATACAAGAGAAAGAAACAGGATTTCTGATTGAAACATGTATTAAAGGAACCTGTCTTCAAAGACCACTTTTTGTGTTTTCCTTGGTCGATCGCTATAGACAGGTTTGACTGCAGTACAGACATGATAAAAATATTTTCTTTTAGAGCATACTTTAGTTTAATATAGTGACTCTTCATGTAAAAATGTATAAGCTCCTGAAGCCTTTATCAACAAACATTAAATTTGAAGGATAAATCCTGTCAACACTTAGGTCGATGGAGACAACTATAGATGTAGATAAAATGTCTGGTCTGAGATTTGAACCATCAACATTTTGATAGAGACTCTGTGAATGAAAATTAAAATAAAAGAGATAAGACAGTCAAAGAACAATTTTTTTTATCTTCTTGCAAAGACATGACCACATCTGCCTGATCAATACAACATTGTCATTAGTTACTATCTAGGAACTTCAAAAACTCCAGAAGAGAAACAATGTTTTATCTCTACGATTGCCGATTGAAGATAAAGACCTTTATACCTTCCATATGATTAAACCAAATTGAATCAAAAACTTGATCTGCTCTTGACATTTACATACAAAGACAATTCAGGTACCTTAAACCTCCAGCCCCTCCAGCCTTACTTAGGCTTGTTCTCATTTTATTTTCATGTCTTTTTTTGCCCGTTTCCAATCAACTCAGTTGAAATACAAACCTTTTTCTCCAGAATAGGATTGAATTTGAGCGATCTTAACAGCTTCTTCTTCTTATTTGTGAAGCGATTGTCCTGGTCGGCACTGGTGCCCTAAAAGAAATATAAATCACAGGAAAAAAAAGAGTAACTATCAACTATGAGTAGAAAGAAATAACAAAACCCAAAGTCAATATTACCTTCTACATGACCTATGGAATTTATTTTGTTGAAAATGTTGTAGAATTAAAAAATCTTATCTGATGCATGTCTGTAGAGTGTAGGCTTAAAATTGTAATGACCCACACCTAGCCTAAGGGCTTGGTGATAATGTACATAAGATATTGATATCACCAAGCCCTAAAGCTAAAGACCAGTTATGTTCATGCGATTGCATTGTGAAAGAAACATTGTGAAATTGATCAGAAAAGGTTGATGATCAGAAAAGGTTGATCATCTAGCATAGATGTACTGCAAGAAAATCATTTTAAAATCTTGCGTGCACGCCATTAGGGTGTCTGAACGATTTTTCAATTTTCCCTTTTGGATCAAATTTTCACCATTTTTAAGAGGTCAGCATTTATGTCATGTAAATCATAAACAGTAGGGGTGCTGATGCGAGAAGGAGGATCGTCCGCATAAACGAAAATATTCCTGTATCGCGGACAAAATGCGTCCTTATAAATAAGGATCGTCTCTGCGGGTTTCGGTTCCCGATCCATGCGCTGGCGGTGCGAAAAACAGATTCCACATAATAAAATACCCCCAGTTCACTGTCTACTGTTAATGTTATGGGTTGTCCGTCTTCCCGAGGATTTATCGCTCATAACATGAAAGTCTCTGTATATTGTCCATAACATATTCAATGTAAAATGCATCAAGAAAATTGTTGCGGCCGAAACCGTTTTTTCGCATCGCCAACCAGTAGGGGAGCTGGTCCTAGAATGAGCATCGTCCTCATAAACAAGGATATCCTTATAAACGCAGACAAAATGTGTCCTGAAAAATAAGGGTTGTCTGCATTTTCGAGGACGTTTTTTTTTCATCGGCGCTCTGGGGGTTTTATGTTACAGAACGGCCTGCTGGCGATGCCAAAAACGGATTCCCCCGGGGAAAATAACCCTAGTTCACCGTCTACTTTTATGGGTTGTCCATCTTCCTAAGGATTTATTGCTCATAATGTGAAGGTCTCTGTACAAAGTCAATGTAAAATGCATCAAGAAAATCATTGCAGAATACGGTTTTTGCATCGCCAACGCACCAATAAAAAATTATGAAACTTCTGCGAAAATGCAGACGGTCCTTATTTTTGAGGAAGCATCGGTCCGTGTTTATGAAGACGATCCTTGTTTATGAAGACGATCCTTATTCTCGGACCAGCGTCCCTACTGCCAACGCACGGATCGGAAATCAGAATCAGAGTAGGGTGTCTGATCGCGCACCCGATGTTGTGTGCTAAAATTCTTCCCATAGAGATTACACGCATCCCTATGCAGTCTACGTGATCCTGAAGGTGATAATCAATAAATGAGGTGTCATATGAAAGAGCAGGTGAATTCCAATATTTCCAAAGGGGCGTAGCCCCGAAATTCTAAAAATATCTTGGTCAAAACAGCAATTTAAACATTGTGTCCTGGCCAACTCTGAGGTTTGTCACTTTTGAGATATGACGCCCCGATCGATAAGTAGTCCCAGTCCTAAGGAACAATTCTATGTGCTTATATTTTCGCTAGCCCACAGGGATCACAACTGATAACAGTTTAAAAATACCCTTCTCGCTATTTGGTCCAAACTCAGTCCAAACCATGGTTACATCGCGTAACATCTCCGCGTACGAACGAAACCCCAAATTAAATTACACATTATAGTGAAATATTGCCATTGACTACAACGTGTATTCACTTCCGGGTTCTGTGCCGCGAATGGCCACCCATACTAGTCAATGGCACATATCGCGGAGACAGCGTGGCTCAAGCTGCAAGTCGCGCATTGGCTTAGCAACATGCGTACTATATGCATACGCTTGCATATCGCGCGATACAGCTGTTTGTCTGAATTTAGCAAAGCAACATCACTCTGCGTGGACGTCTTTTTCGTCGATTTTGACCAAAATGATATGAATATACCAGCGTTTTGGAGGGGCGGTAACTTTTGATAGAAACATCGGTGAGACTTGAAATTTGAAATGTATTATTCTGATAACATTCAGGCCTTAAATTAATCGACGGCCAGGCTGTCGATGCCCCTATGACTGGCCGTGGTGCCCTCCCAAAAAAAAAAAAATTCACGGCCAAAAAGGCCGTGCCCTTTTTTTCAAACTGGCCGACGTGCCTTTTTTTCCAACTGGACGTGCCCCTTTTTCGAAATTTGCGCTCATAAAACCACCAATTGCGCCCATAATTATCTAAAACTAGACGGCAAGGCGCAAGTGTTTTCCGTGAAAATGCGCCCATAAATTATTAGAAGAAATCACGAACAGTTTGCTGCCCAATCTCCGTGTAAGATTGTATACACAAAAATCGGTCGTAAAAAAAAAATCAAACCATATTCCATACCTTACCTGGCTTACCATGTCGCACGCAAGTATGCCAAAACACGTACATTTTCGCAGTTGCGAGATCGAGTAGGGGTCGAGTTTTTCGCGGTCGATTTTGTTTTGGTGGATCATATTAGCTGAACCTAGACCACTAATCGCGAAACTGAAATCAATTTCCATCATGATTGCCGCAATTTTATAAAGTTTCCATGATAGAGGTATGACATTAAAGCCTATTTTGTGATTATTTTCCAACATCGCCATGTTTACGTAATTTTGATAATCATTTCTTCAAAGTAAAGAAAATCAGACAAAATCACCATGACTGACGCTGCGCTGCAGTTAACTCCAGGAGGCACCAACACCGGCACAGCAGGCGCACGCCTGTGGGGCCAGTGTTGGAGCTTCCTGGAGTTACGCTGTGCGCTGTGCAGTGTGTGAGTTGAGCTGACGTAGCTGAGCTCGAATCAAAGAGTTTTGACACTTTGAAATTGCTATCTGTTGGTTTGCATCATCATTGCCGCGATTTCAATATAGTTTCATGAATAGATGTACGAAACCTGAGCTTAGAATTAGTAAAAGTATTACTAATGTCTAAGTTTTTAAATGACTGTCTGATTTTCTTGTGAAAATTTTACTTTGAAAAATGATTATCGAAATTCATGGCCAGAAATAATCACAATCTAGGATCTATTATGTCACAGTTCTTGCATCAAATCAATGCATGAAAACTTAGTTATTGAACTAGAAAAAGGGTTTCTTTTTTACTAGGCAAATTTTATGAAGCAGCAAGCCCGAAACCTTAGCCTACAAAACAAATCCAGACAAACTGTAGACCCCCTAGGTCTATCCTTTTATGAATTAATGAAAAAGTAGCCCCAGAAAAAAGAGCCCCCGAAATGGAAAAAAAAAGCCCCCGAAAGTTGGAAAAGTAGCCTGAGAAAATTTCCAAAAATTTGAAATGGAGCCCCCGAAATGAAAAACTTATTTTTTTCCCTGGGTTGGTTAACACAACAATCAAAAAGATAATTTCTTCAAATTTGCTCCTACTACCAGCTACCGAGAGTGTGGCGGAAGGTTTGTGTGTGAGGTGCGATTTTGATTCGGGATACTCGGTAAACTTGCCAAGTCCTTCTGGCTTTCGATGTTTGTGAAATTTACAATTTATTTATTCATTTGCTCGTAAATATTTTTAGTTACTTTAAAATATGCAAGTTTGATATTCTTAATCAATCTTTCCTGTTGATATTGTTGAGCTTAAAAAATTATTAAATTGATCGTTCTATTCACATTATGAAATTAACATTGTATCTTTGAACTTATAATTAGATTAGGGGCCTAGTCTATCTGTTTTTGGAAAATTGCCCCTTGCTCTGGTAAATTCGCGTGGGCAAGGGGCAACTTTAGAAAAAAAATTGCCCCTTGCTCCTGGCTGCTTAATCTAAGGCTTGCGGGGGCTGCCGCCGTTGTTTGTATGTACCGTAGACCTCTATACATTATGTGAAGAAGCTGGTGCTAAAAGTCATGGGAAATTGATCCCGCACAAGTTTCATAATAAAATACACATGACATCTAACAAAAATAGTCTAGAATCAATTTTTTTTTGGCCTCGATGCCCTTTTTGTAAAAATATTTTGGCCTTGGTGCCCTTTGTAGTGGCCTTGGTGCCCTTAAAAATATGAGGTACTTTAAGGCCAAACTGGCCTTGCCCTAAAAATGACGAAATTTAAGGCCTGAACATTTTTTATTCAAATAGACCTATCAAACAAAAATGGTGAAAAACGATCCCAAATTGAAAATTGAAAAATCGTTCAGACACCCTAATCAGAGAAAATTTGGACAATCCTTATTTTTGAGGACGTGTCTGTCCGCATTTATGAAAATCGCTCCTTATTCTCGGGCCAGCACCCCTACTGCTAAACCAACTCAGCTCCGTCCCATTGAGCTCCCTCTCCCAGATCCCAGTCGAGGGCGGATCTCGTCTAGGCCTATGCGTCTCGGCTCGAGTCGGGTACAGACAGTGCAATGCAGTGAAGCACGCACACACAAAGTCAATGGCACTCAGGCACACACTGCACTAGTCACCCGGATCTCACAATGTTTCAAACAAAATTGCGAAAATTTCAGGCAGAAATACTGCAAAATCATCTTCCACATTTATGCTAAACCGTAGAAAATACATAAATAAACTATAGAATTGAAAATCAGTTCTTAAAATAGGAAAACTTACACGGAAAAATCCTGCGTCTGTCATGGTGCCAAATCTGATTTGCAGGCTTTCTGACGATTTTCAGATTACAAGCTGTTACGATTTGTTGACGTAGATGGCGTCGATTTCCTCGCGTTTTCATGATCGAATCGAGGGGCGGTATTCTGACCCCTGTGTTATCTCTTATATATATTGTTGTATCTTTGAAGATAAGATAAAAAGTGCTAAACGGTAACCTAATTTATGTTTGATATTCTGCATAGTACCTCCATAATGTTTAGGCCTTTTTCACTAGTCTAAGAAACTATCGCATATATACCCTGTTTAAATAAAACGGAAAAAATAAATAAATAAATATAAATATATATATATATATATATATATATATATATAATTATTTCTTCTCTCATTCACTTCGCAGCTTGGCCTATTTAATTGTGCATTAAACGTGCATTTAATTTTGTTTTAAATAAACATTCGAGGCTCTCCGCGAAAGGGATGGATGGTCGTTTCTTTTCGATGCATTCATTGAATTTCATATCCATCAGGAACGAACATTATTTTAAGAGGTGTGTTAATTTGATTAATTCCTTCTCCATTTTTTCTCCGGCCTGTGTAATAGTATAAAAACGTTTAATTTGTCCCGTGAATCAAGGCAAAATATTATATTCATATTTTCTTTATCCAAGAGGGAGAGAATTATCGAGTACAACTATGAATTGTATTCTTTTTAATATGATTTAATTCGCTGCCAATATTCAAAATCTGAATATGATAATTCCACATAACACAGCAAAAAAATTCACCCCATCCATCACTCCAACCAAAGCCCATATGCCAATACACCACATTGAGCTTATATGGAAAGTTTCCAAATAAAATTTGAAGACAATTTTTTTTTGTTTTATATTACAAAAAGTTGCAGGTAGCATGTCACGATGCCGTTCAGACTTGAGGAGACCACGTCCAAAGCGCAGAAGGAGATCAAATTTACAATGCACTGACAGGCTACGGTAAAAAAAAAAAAAAATCATAATTTCTGTGACTGGCTTAGTAGGCCTACTAGTTTCTGAGGGACTAGTCACTGAAGATTCATAATTTTACAGGTGCCTTGAAAAGAGTGCAATGTACATTTAAATTATATCTTTCATCAAAAATTGAAAAAAAACTAAGCAAATAAGAAATGCATCAGAAATCAAGTATGAATTCACACCATCGTAAACAATACACGCACACGATTATACGCACTATGTGCTCGAGAAGAGAGTTGTCCATTCCACCGAGTTGCTGAGGGATTTTTAGTGGGGGGGGGGGGATTTTTTGTTGTTGTTGATTTGGAATGTTATTTTTTTTCTCTCAACAAATTAATTGCACAATTAAGAAACACAACAATACAATACATGAAAGTAACAGCTTATATTTGATACATGTATATAAAAAGGACAGTTGGTCTTACTTCCACCATGATGTCCTATTACACTTCCTTTATAATAGACAAAGCATGCTTCTGTTATTGCTAGAAAAAGTGGATCATCAAATAATTCAGTCGTTAAAAAAAGAAAAACACATGTATCGTAACTTGAATTACAATTATCAAATAGGAATAAAATGAGACGAAAAATGTATGGTTCTCCTCCTCCTTTTAGCTTGTCTCACACAAGAACACACTCCCCCCCCCCCTTACAATTTTTTTTTCACAGATCCACTCGCACATTTAAAATTAAAATTAATGTTTTATAAAAACATGCTCGTGGATAAAATCTTTAAGGAATCCAAAAAGCATGACCTCAGAACACATTTTTTGATTATTTGTTATTCAAACTTTTAATGATTTTCATTGTCATCAGTTTGGTAGTTCCATTTTTTATTTAATTTCTTGTCTGTGTATTAACTACAGCTAGATTTCGTATTGCTTGATAGCTCGAGTAGATATATCTAAGCATGCCGGTCTCACGGTAACCGACAAGTCACCACATTCATGTGCAATTAAAGAAATCAATTCAAATTAAATGTAGGCTACCTTTAATTCTTATGTATCGCGAACGAACACTGAATGAGTTGCTTAAATGTTTGTTTGGAATAATTTCCTCCCCATTTCTTTCTCCCTGTTTAATATTGATAAAATGTTCAATTTTTCTTAATCAAGGCAAAATATTATTTTCATATTTTCTTCATGCAAGAGAGAGAGAGAGAGAGAGAGATTATGTTAAATGAAAATTGTCGCTTTAAACTATGAATTGCATCCTTTTCAATATGATTCAATTCGCTGCCAATATTCAGAATCTGAATATGATAATTCCACATAATACACCAAGTTACGCTGTTCACCGCATCAATCGCTCCAACCATAGCCCATAGTATATGTCAATACACCATGTTGATCAACTTTATGGAAAGATTCCAAAATGAAATTAAAAAAAAAAAAAAATTACCATGCACTGACAGGCTTCAGTTGAAATCATAACTTATCTGTGACTGGCTTAGCACTTGTTTCTGAGGGACCAGTCACTGAAGATTCATAATTTTACAGGTGCCTCGCAAAAAAGTGCATCTAAAATACATTTGATGTACATCCTTCATCGACAAAAGAAAAAACTGAGCCTGTAAGCTATGAATCTGTAGATATCAAGTATCAAATCACATCTTTCTACAAAATACACATAAACACACATACGCACATACTGTGCTTGCGAAGAGAGTTGCCCATTCCCTTGTGGCTGGGCTTTTTTTAATGGGGGGGGGGGGGGGGGGGTTGTTTTTCCTGTTCATTTTTAATGTTATTTTCTTTTCTCATGCTCATGTACACTCTAAAAACTGAATGTTAAATCACTATCTAAAAGGGCCGAGGAGTGACCACTCTTTCAAAATGGTAGATTACCACTTTGAACATGCTGCATAAAACACTATAAAGGTTGAATCTAGCATGTTAATAGAAACAATCTACCAATATGTAAAAGTGTCACTTCTCGGCCCTTTTAAATAGTGATTTAACATTTCAGTTTTAAGAGAGTACCATTTACAGCTCATGTTATGAATGTTATTACCAAAGAAAGGAAGATGTCAGTCAGTCACTCAATAGTGTCTGACAGTGAAGTTTAGAATGTAAACGAGTTTCCTTGCATAATTTAAATACTAGGACACTGCTAACGTTAAGATTTTTACAGATAGGACATACGTGATATCTCGGAGGCGGCGGAGTGCCTACCAAAGTGGGGGGCACCAACAAAAAAGGGCACTTTCTGGAGAAAAAGGGCACCTTCAAAGGGAAATCTCAAAGCGAAAATATACAATATTTGTAGACAATGGTATATATCCCTACATTGTGATTACATTATCAGGGATGATTTCAATATTCGTTTCTCTTTATACATATAAGATATTTCTTAAGCATCATACTTTGCAAATCATTTTCGAGCGAGCAAAAAAATTAAGATTTGTGAGGTCGCAGAGCGAAAAATTACATCTTATAAAGAGGAAAAACCCAATCCTGATGGGGTTATAAGCACATTCTCATAACAGAAGACTGAAAAGACCTTTGATAAGTAACATAGGCCTAATTATGGCATCTAAAAATGCGTGCGAATGTAGCGAGCGATGTTTGGGGGATATTGCTTTAAGTCGCTTGAAATTAGAGGCACGTAGGGGCGGATCTAGCTTTTTGCCAAGGGGGGGGGGGTGGACCCAGGATTTTCCAGAAATCGCGCCGTTTTACTTTTTTCCCCCTTTTTTTCCTTTTTTTTCTCACTTGGCCTCCCAAAGGGGGGGGGGGGTGGGGTAAACCGCGAATACACCGCCCCTTAGATCCGCCCCTGGCACGTTTAATGATGAGGGGAACAGGGGACACTTATCGAAAGGGATGACACTTATTAGAAACGAAAAGGAGCATGTGTCAAAGTACAACGGGTAATTATCAGAGGTGAAAATGGGGCACTTCTTACACCTAAAAAAGGGGCACCCACCAGGGATGAAAAAGACAATGAAAAAGGGGCACTAATAATAAAGGGAAATATGCATTTGTTTAAGATATTTGAAAAATATCAGTGAAAATTTGAACAAAATCGGGCAAGGAATAAGGAAGTTAGAGCTTTTTGAAATGACTAGTCACTAGAGGGCGGTATTCAATTTGATGACATCATCTGTGGACAACTCTCCATGTCTTTTGTACATCAAATTTTATGTTTTTCCTTCTTTCTTGTGATTGAGATAATCTACTCCCCTGAATGCAAGATATAGAATTCAAAATGATATTCTACTTCACATGTTATGAAGTCGGATCAAGAACACAAATAAATACGAAGAAAACAAAAAAAATCGTGAAATTTTATGTACAAAAGGCATGGAGAGTTGTTCACAGATGATGTCATCAAATTGAATACCGCCCTCTAGTGACTAGTCATTTCAAAAAGCTCTAACTTTCTTATTCCTTGACCGATTTTATTCAAATTTTCACTGATTTTATTCAAATCTTTAAAACTTTACAATAAAAGTAACTCGAAAATAATCATCGTCTGAATTCAGTTTACCCCCCCCCCCCCCTCTTGTACGAAGCGCGGTAGCTTTGACGTTTCATTAAAGTTTTAGAGAAAGAAGGCGATTCGTTGCCCGTTCTCGAAAATAATCCTCGTCTGAATTCAGTTTACCCCCTCCCCCCTCTTGCACGAAGCGCGGAAGCTTTGACGTTCCATTGCATTATTAGAGAAATAAGACGTTTCGTTGTACCGTTCTCGAAAATAATCCTCGTCTGAATTCAGTTTACCCCCTCCCCCCTCTTGCACGAAGCGCGGAAGCTTTGACGTTTCATTAAAATTATTAAAGAAAGAAGACGATTCGCTGTTCCGTTCTCGACTCGGCTCAAGGGTTTTAGGCACTAAATTACGGTCAGCTGAGTATCAAGGGGCCCGCCTTAGGGCCCTCGGTTGGGTCCAGGGCCAGAGCCCCGGAAGCTCAGGGATTTTAGGCGTTTGATTACGGTTAATACCTTATTTTGTTGTGACACTGGCATTTTTTCTTACTTGCTCTCTTTCTTTCCATTTCTCTTTATATACTATTTCAAAAAAGTGGAGGGGGGGGGGGGGAGGGACCTCAAGGCTCCCGATCCCCGACGTTCCGTGGGCCCTGACGTG